AAACATACAATGTTATTATATCAACGCGTTGATATAATAACATTGTATGTTTGAAGACCACAACCCGAATCCCAATCAACATCGTATGAAGGCTGGATCAACAAACATTAGATTTTTTTCAAGTTCTGTGTGCAGTTCGATCATCTCTGGTCATCATGATCAGCGAGAATTGGCAGGCCATGACGACTGAAGACGATCTAACTACAATTGTAGTGTTTAATAGAAGTGAAAGTTCTAAATAAAAGAACTAAAAAAGCATATTTACAATTGATTATTTAAAGATCGTGAAATGCGGTCTGGTGTGATGTATGTTAGAAAAACATTTTCTTTATCTTGCCAACGTTTCGATCTTTCTTGAGATCATCTTCAGGGCCTGGGATGTATAAATTATACAAATACATATAAGATCTGAATATGAATTTATAAAATGATGTATTCAATTAGAACATTTAGGTTCTTTACAAATACTTCGATTAAACTTAAAAGTTCTACATTGTGTACACTATACATTTATATCTTATGCATATTGGTATAATTTAAGCAATGTTTATAAATCCCAGGCCCTCAGAATGATATTTTAAGATTGAAATGTTGGCATGATAAAGAAAATGTTTTTCTAAACCTACATCACACAAGACCACATCTCACGATCTCCAAATAATCATTAATTAATGGTCACTAGATAGTAAACATATTTACAATTATTTATTTATTAGTGTAAAACTACTGTTTTGCATAAGGGAATGAATTTTTAAAAAGTGATCATACAATTGAACAAATTTGATAGAGTTGATGGGTCATTGATCATATGTTGGCCTGTCACTGGCCCTGGGTCTGTCTACATTCGTGGGCTTTGATCTTACTCAAACCTGGTCCAGCTCTTTGTGCCATCTTCAAAGAGGCTTTCTTACATGGTGCGTAGATGGCACAAAGCCAAAATATGATTGAATAATATCTGAACCCTCAAATGTAGACGGACTCTATACTGATTCAAAATTTAATATAATTGACAAATTGAAGTGTTTTATATTTGAATTACACATTGTAAAGTAAAACAAATTATCAATATATATTTATTTAATAATCAATTAATTATCCACAATGTAAAATAAAAAGAAACAACTATAATTAGTTTTGCGGATCTATAATTTTGCAACTATCAGAATATGTGCTTCTGTGTCTGTCTGTCTGTCTTATTCATATACATGCAGAAAGAATATTAAAGAATAAAAAATGATAATAATTTATTGGTTAGTCATAAAGAAGTGTTTTATACCTTAAACAATTTAAAGAGAAATATCTCAGAGCCAATAAACAGGCCTTGATTGATGATGGTGGAATAAACCACCGAAAGCTCGGCACAGCCCAAGAAGTTGTTTTCGCTTTATACGACCTCTACAGAAGGTACACCTAAACTTAATTTGCTGCAGGCCGATAAACGTCCAAAACAATATCTCATAACATTTTGTGAACAAAAATTAGATGGTTGGTGGAGAAAGGAAAGTCATGTGTTCCGTGCCATAAAAATCTATTCAATAGATTTTTATATTTTTTTTACTGTATCTTTCAGGCTCATTAGAAAAGAAACAAATATTCCACCTACTTTATTACTGATTTACTTCTTTAACTGACTTCACCCTAATTGAACTGAGGGGAACCACTAAACTGTCCAATATCCAAAGTTTCCAATCTTTTCAATACAAAGTCCTAGGATCAATAGTAAATGTTCCATATTATGTCTCCAATACTACCCTACAAATTGATCTTAATATCCCACTTATTCAAAAATTTAACCAAGTTCCACAAGTAAACTCTCCTATCACCTCCTCAATAGTCTTTCCCAAGCCTTGTCCAGCAGATTTTAGATCAGCAGAAATGACCACATGATCCCCTTTTTTGAGGAATTATGATAAAAGTTCTTAGTAGTTAATTGAATTGCTATTGTTAATATTTTGATATTGAATTAGTCCTTCTAGCCCTTCTCGTAGTTTCAGTTTATTGTTATATTATACTTGTATTCGGAAATGACCCATTGTTTCTGATGAGGATAGGCCAATAAGCCTGAAACGCATAGAATAAACAAAAGATTTGTATGTCACAGTACACAAATTATTTATTTCTCTACCAACCATTTAAACTATAAAACCCTGGCAGATTCAACAATAAGAATATAATTAAGAAAAAATAATATTATCTGATCAATAATTTGTTTACAGGTAACTGTGAAAGTTCTAGACAGTGTGTACAATAAGTTATAATCAGTTAATTGACAACATTATGCTGTGTGAAAACATAATTGATAAGTACGGAGTAAAAAATACACAAATGTTTGACTTTCAGTAGTTGTATCAGGCACTTTCCTGCAATTTGAGAAAGCCTATCACTACAAACTTTGAGGTTTCCCCTTAAGGTCTACATGATGAACATGTAGTTTGGTCTTTTCCGATTATCTCCATCTACAAGTCTACAAGCGGTCAAAGTACAAGATAACACTTTTATTTTACTCCAATTAAAAGTTGGAAAGGGTTGGAAATGAAATGAATCCCATCTTTTAGGCCATCCTTTCATACCATTTTTCCATATAAACAGCCTATTTCTATGTCGGAGGATCTTTATCTTACGAGATAAGTCGCCACCGATGCCCATTAGATTATTATAATACTAATTAATTATAAATTGATGTATTGAAAATGACCTCAAGAAGATCCAATACATTAATTTAAACTACGGAGGTCGATCAATATCAACTAAAATACTAATTAATTATGCAATGAACAACAAATTTGGGAAACATAATAGCCGAGGATTAACATGATACACTCTTGGCCCGTAGACCCCACAATCATGGGTTCAATTCCCACTGTCGCCCCTGGCCCTTTGCCTCACGGTACTCTTCTCCCCCATTACTTAGAAACAATCGACTACGTACTCAGTGAGTTCATAATACCATTCAAAAAACATTAATTATTGACTTACAAAATTTGTGTTGAAATAACTCAGTTCAGCTTATACCTTTATTCTCTTTTTGAATGAACATTTTAGAAAACCGTAAAAGACATTACAATGGTAATTATTGATTTTTTTCTGTAATTTATTTTCAGTCAATTTTAAGTGTGTGTAAGTAACCTTTGATTGTACGATGGCTAATTAAAAAAAAAGAAAAAATCAAAAGAAATTTCTTTCATGTCTTGGATAATTGAGCAATTAGATTAATTATCAAATTGATAGTGTTTTTTTGATCCAAGGCACATACAACTTTGTACTAGAATGCCACCTATAGCATTGATTTCAATTAAAAATTTGTACAAATAAATTCGATTGCGTAAAAGCAACTTTTTCCTTTCTAGACGCTATTGATTTTATAATTTTTTTTTCCAGATCAAGCACATGATGGCTTTCATCGAACAGGAGGCAACTGAAAAGGCAGAGGAGATTGAGCAAAAGGCCGAGGAAGAATTCAACATTGAAAAAGGTCGCCTTGTCCAAAACAGGAGGTTGAAAGTCATGGAATATTATGATAGAAAGGAAAAACAGGTCGAACTTCAGAAAAAAATCCAGTCTTCCAACATGTTGAACCAGGCGAGACTAAAAGCCCTCAAGGTCCGTGAGGACCATGTTAGAAACGTCTTAGATGAAGCGAGAAAGAGGTTGATCAAATCAGTTTCCAACACTGGTGATTACCAGGTTCTACTCCAAAAGCTCATCCTTCAGGGGTTGTTTCAGGTAATTGAAATAAAACTTTTTAAAAAAAAATAAGTTTTAATTTTTTTTGCTTTTTAGCTCCTTGAAAATGAAGTTACTCTCAAAGTAAGAGAAGTCGATCAGGATATCGTCAAACAGGTTCTTCCAAATGTCGTTGAAGAGTACGAAAAGAAAACTGGCGTCACTATCAAGTTAAAAGTCGACTCAGACACTTTTCTTCCTGCCGAATCAAGCGGTGGTGTTGAACTCAATGTGTGCAATGGAAGAATAAAGATCAGCAATACACTCGAGTCTCGACTCGATCTCATTTCCCAGCTGCTTGTTCCTCAAATAAGAAATGCGCTCTTTGGAAAGAATCCCAACAGGAAATTTGACGATTAAATCATTTTAGTTCTGTCAGTATATAAACATTCTTAAAAAACAGAAGAAAGAAAAAAATGTTTGCCTTTGTCGTACAATGAGTACATGTACATTCCACTTGCAAAAAGTTTGTTTTTAATGTAATATTGCAATATTTTAAGATTTTATTCGATGTTATTATAGGTTATGTTATAAAAACTAATAGGTGTTGGAATTTTTTTTTCTTTTTCGTAAAAAGTATAGATTGAAATTATCCATTATTATATGTACATAAAGTGTATAGCAAATAAAATTCAATAGTCCAGTTATTTTTTTGTTAATTTATTTTCTCAATGTAAATCTCTTTTAAGTTTGTTTCTACGATGCTACTTTCACCCCAATTTATATTTTATAACTGCCAACAAGCTTAATAGCCCAATTATTAAAGACAATTACACAAAGGGTTAACAATCCATTTTTGAAGAGAAAAGAAACATGGCAGCACAACCAATCAACTTCAGACTAACAGTCCAATCATGAACTTTTTTGCATGCTTTTGTCATTGAATGGAAGACATTTTTAATCAATTATCCAATGGACCCACATTTTTGTATGTTTGGAATGCCACAAAAGGGTTCAGAGCCAAGAGGTGTTCTCATCGAACTTTCTTTGGCCAATATGACATCATCTTCATTGCCCTATGTGCCCTGCTAACCTGACGTAACAAAAATTTTCTTCCTGAGATCTGCAGAATGACGAACCTGTAATTTGGTTGTTACCATTATGGTCTGTATGCGGATGGCAAAATCTCGAAAAGTCTGACAGCGATTGAAAAAAAGGTTCGAATTAAGGGATGTTGAGGTTCAAACCTGGGATCCTAACAGAGTCACTCTAATTATTACATCCACTGTCAGGATACGTGTATAATTAAAATTGTCATAATTTACATTATGAAGTATGTATATTTATAAAGGGAACAATAAAAAACAAGGGAATGAGGACTGGAGGAAAAACATTTTGGGATACTAAGAGAAAAATAATAAATCATATCACCTTTTTAATATCATACACATATTTTTATGTAAGTACAGATTATATTTTTTTAAAACTATGACATCGAGTGCAGAAAACTTAAACTGATTGATTCTCGATAAAACAATATTTTTTACAATTATATAATGGCAGTGATTTTAAGCACTAAGTATATATTATTAAGACAAAACTATTATAAAGGAAGCTGAAAGACTAAATAGTTTGTCACATAGTGCTTTGTTGATATTTTTGTATATAAAATTTCTTCACAATTTCACTCAAATTACATGTACAATAATAATAACAATGTCATACATTAACGCTTATATGTTTGATTCTAAGCTCGTTTTAGAGAATCTATTTTTTCCGTTCTGCACTCGTCATCCACAAAAATATTGGGAAAAAACAAATTTTTTGTAACACAAAACCATTTTTCCCCCTAAAATAAAGATAAATCATAACAAAATAATTATAATTACAGATATTTAGCGTTTAAAAAATCAATAAATATTTAGTTTTTTTTTCTCTTTAATTTCAATAATGGTAACACTACATTTATAAAATGTAGACATCAATTATACACTACTAAAAAGTAATTATTGTCAGAAAATTTGTCTTAATCTCCTTCTAAGACAACATTATTATATACGTGTATATACATACAAATAATAAACATATAATTGATTAGTTACATTACTACAGAACTATGCTTTTTTGCCACCACAGCACACATTTAAAACAATGCTTTATTAAATGACCAATATTGCTTTTTCTCTCACATATATAGTTAAATTTATTCCAAATTTAAATGGAATCACATGAATGTCAATATTATTTAAAATCACTAATTTTTGAAGCAGTGACAATTGACTACGTATTTCGCCTGCAAAGCCTCATGATATAACTTTTATTATATACAATTTCTTATAAAAATTAATTAGTTATAAAAGAATTTCTCTAATTTTGTCTTCTATTTATATAAGTTTCTAGTTTTAAAAAATATAAATTGTTTAGAGAAAAATAATAATAGTATAACTCAATTTAAGAGGACTTTGTCAATGGTTGAGATGAAACATTTGTATGAAAAAACCATAGGCAAGAGAGAGATTTTAAACATTTAACCATAGATATACATAGAAAATAAATATAATTTTTAAAAATAGATTTCTCCCTCGGCCACAAACATTATTAAAACACTTAACATCAAGCTAAAATATCTACTAACCTGGAGTTTGTTAAATTTTTTTCCACTAAAATGCATTTTTGGTTACCACTTGACAGTATCCAAAACGCGTATTTCTTTGTTACTACACGGTCTTCTTGTGATCTAAAAGAAGGAGAGTAATTTCTCCGCCACGCCTAGATAGTAAACCATCTGGGCTATTCCAAAAAGAGGTGCTATTACTATCATACGACACGCACCGCCTTTGAAAAACGCTGTAGGGCCTTCATTCTTTAATGTTTTTCTAAAAAAGAAAAATCCAAAATGTTAAAAACAAAAACAAAAAATTAGTACATATAAACAAAACTAACAGGAATGTATCTGCAATTCCAGAATACTTAGGAGTGGTATCAGTCTTTGTAATTGCTTGCAGCCTTGTTTTAACAACGTCAAAAGGATTTACAAAAAGAGCTGCAATTGACCCTGAAGCACACCCAGACAAGAACGACCACCAGAAAACTGCTTCATCTAAATATAAATCATCATATTGAGTATTTAAAAAGCATAAAATCATTCCAACTTGCATTAACCTGAATTTTTTTTCCTAGGTCCGAGAGAATTTAGTCGTGCAAACATTGGAAAGTAAACGATCGAAAATGATACATCTCTGAGCATTGTAGCAGCTGTTCCTTTATAAAGTCCTACAATACCTTTCTCCCTTAATAGATCCATAGCTAGAGATGTTGCTGATGTTTTAGGTATGATCTTTCCTTCTAAAAAGCAATATTTTTTATTATTATACAAATTTCTTAATGCAATAAATAGCAAGATAGTTAATATACCAACCCGCTTTTGCTAATGCTGCCACCCTTCCAGCATCTTGCATCTGAATTTTTAAAAGCTCCATTGGAGTTGTTATAACTATCTGACAAAAACCTGCCATACCACCGGCCACCATTTCTTTCTTCAGTGGCAACTTTCTGTTGACGGTAAAACAAAACATAAATATAAAAAATACCATTCTAAAAAACTATAAATAACAGCATACCCTGAATCATTAGTGGATAAGTGGTGCCTAAAGAAATCATTAGCTGCAAGTTTGATTGCTTTCTCAGGGGTGATTAAAAGGATATTAACAGCAGAACCTATAGGTAGAAAAAACATAATTCTCCCATAAATGAAGAAAAGAAACCTGACATTTTTTGTTTATCAACAATTTATAATTAATCATAAATTGAATATATAGGTCCTTAGCACTATTAAATATACTTTGTACAGTTTACATTCTTTCAATTGTAAGAATTTAAAATAGGAACCAGCTTTCCAACTTATGTCAGTGGTGATACAAACTTGACTCAAATAAATCTGATTCTTTAACAGTTCCGATACTTTTATTACTACTAGAATAGTGTCTGATGTTAGCAACTTGCAGTCACCCTGAAGCTTACTCATTTTGTAGGTTTCTGTCACTTCCACATTTAGTGTATCCTCCTCTTAAAATTGTTAGTTCTAAGCAGTAAACTGTTCTCTAACAATGTTGTGATGTTACAAGAATTTCAAACCTCAGTAGCATTTTGATTTGTCTTTTTGTAATTTAACTAACTTGTTAAAAAATGAAATAATTGTTTTAATGAACAAGATATTTTCTGAAAATTATTGCCATAATGTAAGTTATTCGTATAAATCAAAGCAAATTTTGAAAATACAAATCTTCATATCTATTGTAAGCAAGTTTGGGAGGTGTTAATACTCAGGCTGTGTGTAAATCAATTAAAAAAAAAAAAAAAAAAATTACATCCATTACAACATACAGAACAATTACTTATTAAAAAAAAAAAAAAAAAAAAAAAAAAAAAAAAAAAAAAAATCATTACCCCTATACATTCCGAAGTATCCTTCAGCTCGATATGTTTTCTTAAAACAGTCCAACATTGAACTGTACATTTTCTCGCCATGTAATCCGACGGGTTGATTCTGAAGTCTTGTCTTAACGAGGTCGAGCGGAAAGACGACTGAAACCCCAATTATCCCGGCAATCCCTCCATTTATTATTTTTGGCAAGAGGCTGAAAAAATATATGAAACAAATAAATTAATAAAGTCATACCATATCAATAGTCTTTTTTGGGAATTTTAGAACATGGGAGTAAGAAAACTGAGAATTTTTGATTTTGAATATTTATAAGGATAATTATAAATAATAAAACTCGTTATGCTTGATATATATTGAAATAAACAGTCATAAATTACTCATTTGTCAATAAGACAATGCAATCATATCAGCCTCCATAGCACTGTGAGGGCCAATGGGGTCTCAATATTGCATCACCAGCCCTCTCACTTATTCAGTCACACAAACATAAACATAAAAACCTCACATAAAAAAAATAGATACAATAAATAATTAATATATACGTATATTATTTACATACAGAGAATATGGAAGTGAGAAAACACCCGTTTCCCTTAAGAATCTAAACAGGCAATCCAATAACCTACTCTCATGCCCAAGTCTTTATATCGGTTGCCACGCCTACTCGCTCCCTTCAAGAGACCAAAGGCCTGGCATTCCACAACCGAGTGTGACGCACTGAGCGATCTTTCTCTACAAGTGGTACTCCTATATGGGTTTGCTCCAAATGCAGGTGTCCGTGTGCCAGCCTGGTATGGCTTATCCTCAAGCGGGTGAGCACGACCTATTTCTTTTGTTTCAGACTCTTAGTGAGACAGTACTTTTTGGACAATCTGGCCCACTGTCATTACCAACATTCTTTTATTGTATTCTTTAGTACTAGTTCAGCATCTGCAGGCCAGATCGTGGTCTGGAGGGTGATACCTTTCACCGCCTTGTCTACACATTCATTACCCTCCAGACATATCCAGGTGCACAAACGACTACTACCATTTCTCTGATCTCCCCCCCCCCAATATATCATCAATTTCTCAACAAATGTATTCTGGCTAATAAAAAGGTTATAAGATCATTAAAAATTCAATTGTGGTACCTAACAAGGTAATGATTAGTCGTTTGTGCACCAGGATATGTCAGACTGAAGGGTAATGAGTGTGTGTAGACAAGCTATCACATAACTATAATCTCTTCCAAAATTTATTAAATAAAATAATTTAATTTATTAATGTTAATTTACAGTGTTTTATTAAGACACAATTCAGGAATAGTAGCAGATTCCAACCAGTTATATTACTAGTGAGATAACAATCAACTGGCTACACATTACTTTGTGCACATCAAACAAATCTAATTTTGAAACAAATATGAAGACATTAGTCGAACACTTGTTGAAAATAAATTGATTAAAACTTGTCGGCTGCAATTGTCCGGCTCGGCTATTTAGAAACTGGCTCAAGGGCAACAGAATTAAAAGCTAATTTCCCCAGTGTGCGGGAAATCTCAATGTCATTGTATCTGACCATCACTAGTCACTAATGAGCCAAGGTTTTTTGGCTCAGTGCCTCAATATACATTTTGTAATTGAATCAATGTAATTAACACTTAATTTTTTTGTAGCTCACCTTAACTGTGTTAACCATGAACTCTTATATTACATTATTACAATTTGATAATAGGTTTAATTCAATATTATCTACATTTGATCATTTATAAAATAAACCTGCTATATAAGGAAGCTTTTGTACCATATATAAATAACTTTTTTTTAAAGTACAATTAATTAAGGTTTTTAGTTGAAATAAAAAAGCTAATGGCACGAGCAGGATTCGAACCCACAATCTTCAGCTAGATACGCTGCTGCTCTACCACTTGAGCTATCGTGATCTCAATCCACTCGGACACCAACTTCCTAACTCAACCCCACCTTTTAATTGTAAGATATTTCTTGGTCAAGCGGACCACGAAACTAGTGAAATTTTTTTAAAGACTTATCTTAACTTTTCCACGTGGTTATTTTGTAATTTTTTGGTTTTATTTTTACAATAACTTTTTTTTGTACCTTTTTAATTTTAAATTGTTATTACATACAGATAATATACTTTTTAAGTAAGGCTTTGGCTGCGATGAAAAATTTAGTGTCACAAGCGGGATTCGAACCCCCGACATTCGGCTCAATACACCGCTGCTCTGTGCTAACTGTGGCAAGTGGTTAGAGCAGTGGCTTATTAAACCGAAGGTCATGGGTTCGAATCCCGCTCGTGACACTAACATTTTCCTGTCAGCCAAGTCCATTAGATAAAAAGTAAAATAAATTTGTATTTATTTATTTTTTAATCAATAGGTAACTTTCTTCCATCTTGGCCATGTGGCTTGCCGTTGCAAAACGGTCATATATCTTTTGGAAAGAAAAAACTATATATAATGAAAAACTAAAATAAAAAAATACGATGCTGATGATGGAACAATATTATTTTAAAATTCTTAATTTATAATGTAATACTGAAAAATATAGCAAGTAATTCCTGTCATAAATGAGGGCTTAACATCCAACTCTACGTCCATGGGCTATGTCAGGATTCGAACACAGGATTGAAAGTACGGCAAATACGAGTCAGATGTCACTCTGCACCAACGGTCCCATTATATTTAATGAGTTTGTTTTGGTGCTGTGTCCATCTAGTTTGTGTTTGAAGAAGAAACTCATTTTTGTTTTTAATGATTTACTTTATTAGGAATAAAAACAAAAACCTATTTTTAAAATTGTTTTTGCAAATTATTTATAACCTAATTATTATGTACAAGTCATTTGCAAAACGATCTCATTTCCAACAACTTTTGAGATTTGTATTAGGGTCGTAATTTTTTAACAATGTAAAATTCCCCCTCATAAAAGTCAACATAACCCGTAAAGCATTAATGATAGAGAAAATCTGAATGAATTCAAAACCAATAATTCTTTCTTATTATTGCTGCTATTTATTTAAAGAAAATATGAATTTTAAAGGAATTTGTGTTAATTTAAAATAGATGGAATGTAAAAGATAGACAAAAAAATGAAAAAAGAATGATTCATCCTTGGCATTTCTACAGTTTACTTACAAATTATTGATTCAGCTACTAAATAACAATAAGTTGATTCAACCCGCTTGTTTTGTGAACAATGCTGTTCTAATTGAATATTACATGCCATTTCAAAGAATTTTACAAAAGCCAATTAAATTCCATTACACGCCAAATGTTCTATATTGGCAAAACAAGAAGAGCTTGAAAAAATTAACATATGTACCTAAAATGATCATATCTTAATAGAATATTTTCGTAAATTTTTGTACAACTAAATCAGTGAAATGGTAGGAATCTGTAAATTTGTATTGAAATAAAAATATTCTTAAATATGGATTGCCTGTGAATTTCAAAATGAACCGAGATATCTATTAGGGAATTTAAATTATGTAAAAATTAGAATTAGATGTTTCCTAATATGATATTTCTTTAAAACGGGTGAAAAAAAGGCTGTCGTCAAACGTGAAATTTTTTTTGATAAACTGATTGGCTCTATTGATAATTCAGTAAGAGGCAAATTTATGACTACTTTTACTAATGGGTGGGGGAAATTGTGTAATGGTAAATGGCTTTAAAGACACTTATTATTTCACAACAAATTTCTAAGCCAATCTACAGAAAATACATAAAGAAATGTGATATTTATAATAGATATATAAGAATAAACAATATAACTTAGGATATGTGTTTTGTATGGGTTTATTTTAATAATGGAGTCAATAATAGTTCATAGTTTTCATACACTTTTATGAAAAGTAGTAATATATTTTTATATTCAACAGCTCCTAAACGACTGAAAGTTAACCCAAGGATCTCATGGATCCGTAGGGAACTCAATAAAAAAAGTTTTCTTTTAAATTTTAATGAACTTATTTAGTAGGCTTGGTTCTGGCTGAGGCAGTTTGTCAGTGGGGAGCATGTTATATGTTCAATAGTTGAAAACTGAACTTGAACTGTTGTTTTTTATATAATTTGTGTGGTGTTTAGTCACCGTTAGCCAATGATTATTTGGAGATTGTGAGATGTGGTCTGGTGTTACGTAGGTTTAGAAAAACACTTCTTTATCATGCCAACGTTTCAATCTTTATTGAGATCATCTTCAGGGCTCAAAGTGGGCACTCTCAACACGACAGACAAGAATGACACATCTACATGGAAAGCAAACACTTTGAGCCCTGAAGATGATCTCAATAAAAATCGAAACATTGGCATGATAAAGAAAAAAATTTTTGTTATTGGTCTTTTGCAGCGATCTGGATTTCAAACATTAAATGTAGATTACTTGTAGATTTCTTGCACAGTCTGATAATGAGCAGTTAATGCTTGAAACCTGGATCACTGCTTTCAACTACTGAAATGATGTACTCACTGAAACATAACTATTTTTTATTCCATTCTGTGTTTGTTGTACACATCTTTTATTCTTGTTTTTCTTACTGTGATAACATGAAGTACTACTAATGAGAAACTGACTCGTTAAGGAAACAGAAAAAGTACACTAGAAAATCTTTAAAAACAACACTCAAATGACTGCAATACACTTGTGGAAGAAATAAAATGGATTCTATGCCCAGAAAGCTGTCACTATTTGTAACCCCACTATGATTTAGTGGATCATAATTCCTTGTTTAATAAGTTTTTTTAAACTAGTATTATTGTACAATATATAAGGTATTACATTATACGACTTACTAACTATACAGTATCAGAATTTCCTAAACATAAGGAAGTGACTGTAAAAATCATTTGAAACCAGTCATCTCATTGTACAATTGCCATATTTATGTTGTTGACCTATTTAACATTTTTTTGCAATTTCTCTATTGTTTCCCTTTATCAAAGACAACCAATTCATGAAGTATACAAAAATACAAGAAAAATCCTATCGCACCATTCAAAAGTCTGTCTTCCCAAGAAATAATGTGATCACAAAGCAGTGAAAAAATGTGATATTAGATTAGACATCAATAAAAACACTAAAATCTGAGGGAACTGCGGTTGCCGAGTGGTTGAGTGTCCAATTTGTATTACCACCTGGGTTCAAATACCACGATTTTTCTAATTCCAGACTCCCTGTTATGCCCTCCTGAATGACAGGAAATACTTTGCTAAAATCTTATAGGAAATTTAGCATTTATTGTAACAGTGCATTCAGATTTGCTCTACTGTTTATACCATAAGTTTTATGACAAGTTTTACGGAAAGTAACTATTTTAAAAAAAAATTATAAAATGCTATTTCAAAAACACTTGGTGAATATCAAACCATAGTTTATAGTAAGTAATAACCTGTAAATATTAGTACAAACCAAAATCAATTTATAATTTTTTTTTTAATCCACCAGTGCAGTTAAAAATAATAAGTTGAAAATAAAATAAAAACCTAGCTTCATTCCGACTTAATTCTACTATTATATGTTAATTAATTAAGATGTGATGACCGTATTGAGTTATTAGTGGTTTTTTGGGAGTGCAGTCACCAATATGTTACGTTTATATACAAAAAATGTATTACAGTAAATATTGAGATCCATAAAAAAAATCTGTTTGCCTTGTTAAACAATAAATCAAGATAGAATTATTTAACTCAGTTGTAAAACAAGACTTTTCGCTAACATGCGACCAACAAGAGATAAACGATATGAACGACACAATTTCAAAATGCTGCCAGTTGTTTAAATATAATGTGGCTGAATTTATTTTTATCTATCACACAAAACCGAGGGGGGGAAAAAAGTGATACGAGTCGTTATAAGACTACACATATATTTTTGTTTGGGTTGTTACGCTTCCTTTTGAACACTGACATAGTGATGTGTTTACTGTAGTTTTTTAAAATTGTTTGGTTGTTTTTTTGTTTTTTTTTTAATGTGAATGAATGAGCTGGGTTGTGAAGAAGGGATTTTTAAGCAAGAGGTTAATAGTTTTTTTTTTTTTTTTTTTTTTTTTAATATAACTACAAGCAAGGCAAACATGGTACATAGAAATAGGAAAAAAACTGTAAAACAGTATGAAGTACTTACGCAAATTTCCGTTTTTCTTCTTTATACTCAGACCTGTCAATTTTAGAATAATTAAGAGTCATTATAAAACATGAACTGTGAAGTAAGAATATTTTTTTTTAAACAACTGTAACAGGAACAATTAAATCTCACATATTGCGTGCGGCGTTGAAGAGGTGTTAAGGGTGTATAAAAATACCGAAAATACCAGGACAAAGTGCCTATTGATAGAGGGCCATCTCGACTTTCGACGACTTTCCCGTAAGGCGGTTTGTCAATCGGTGTAGGGCGGTGGCGGCTGACGGCCAAACTGGAGCAGAGGGCAACCTCTTCGGTTCGATCAGCTTACGTCCGATCTGACAATTCGTGGTAAAATCTATAATTTCCACGGCGACGCCGGCTCCGGAAGCGTACAGCAGTCAGCTGACGGTCTTCCCGCTAAAGCTGAGATTTATTTGAATTCCTTTTGATGAAGTCACTGCTCAGAGGTACTAACTCTCTGGCAAGGCAGCATTATAAATCCAGGGGCATTCTTCGGAAGCAATTTTCTTACAAATATTATCTACTGTTTTTAGCTCACGAGCGAATAAATTTACGAACACAAGAAAAAACCCAAAAAAGTCCATAATTTCGGACCATAATCATGATGAATTCTCGAAAAGTAGAATTCTCAAAAGATGTAGTAGTAACATATTGTTAAAACATGGATTGACCTTGTATAGATTCATTTGTGTGATAATCAAGTATTAGGTCACAGAAACAGAAACTCCCAATTTCATTCCAAGCTTTCGTTTAATTTGTATGTAATCTTCAGGGCTGAGTTAGTTTACAACTTCTTTATCATGTACATGTGTAGATTGCAATGTTGGCACGATAAAGAAAATATTTTTCTAAAACCTAAGTCACACCAGACCGCATCTCACGATCTCCAAATAATTGATGAAAATAATTTATTTATTATTGTTTTTATTATTTTTGATGTTTTAATTGTTGTTTTTATATGTTATTTATTATCAAGGATTTATAAACATCTACACAAGTACATGATAAAGAAGTTGTAAACTAACTCAGCCCTGAAGATTACATACAAATTAAACGAAAGCTTGGAATGAAATTGGGAGTTTCTGTTTCTGCATCTCACGATATCCAAATAATCATTAACTAACGGTCACCAAACACCACACATTTTCATCAATGTTGCTAATTAATAAATAAAATAAAACAGCTAAATCGGCTATGAGATTTACACAAGGTCAATTCATCTCTTAACAATATCTTACTAGTATATCATGCCTTTCTTCTTGAGAATTCATCATGATTATGGTCTGGAAGTATTTCACAAATTTAAATCATTAGCCTCACAATCTATAATATACTATAGACCAAGGCTTCCCAAACTGTGGTACACTGACCCAGACTACAGTATGCGGCGAACTTCAAGAAAAATTATTGATTACAAAAATAAATGTAGAATGAATAAATACAATTTAAAAAACTAAGCAATGAGTATTGAAAACGAAAGTTTTTTATTTTGCAGCAGCACTCATTGGGTTCTCCACAGACATGCTTTAGCTATGAAATAAATACCAGCCTCTGTTAAGAAAATTTTGGATGAGTGTGTTCTAATTATTAATTACATCAAGTCGCGGCCATTGAATTCAAGAATTTTCACAATACTATGATGATTGCGATATGGGAAGCCTTCATCATTCCTTCATTCACCATCCATTCGATATATAATATACCCTACAATGGATCTACTGCACTGTAAAGGAAAGAACAATTACAAAAGTAATTCTTAGTCATTTCTGTAAAATGTTAATGTTATTCTTCATTAAATGTAAATCAGTAAGATTGTTTTCTTTATCAAAAAACCTAATATTCAGTATGTCTGAATAACAACAATAAAACTAAAAATTAAAAAAAAAAAATTTATACTTAAAAAAGTAACTCCATTTACAAAAATGGGGATACCACAAGGTTAATAACTTGAACTTGAATATAATATTAAAGCGAATTAACACATAAAATCAGTTTGTATATTCAGAAACATTTAATAAAGAGTTATTATAAGTTTATGAGATGTTATTTAAGCTTTAAAATTATTGTTTTAAACAACGAGTTTCACATTTGGTATAGAAATAATTGTACTTTGGCATTTCTGGTTGCACCTATCCTGCTATTTTGGTTTAAATGTTTCAGTGCTTCTGTATTTATTGTTTTTTCAGTTGCGTCCTAGATATTCAGTTGCGAAATAAACCTTCCACTAAAGATGTGAAATGACATAATGCATTCATCAGAAAAAATATGACATCAGAATAAAGACCGGAATGAGTAAAAACTAGAAGTTCATTTTCCTTTAGATCTGAAGGGGAAACTCACAATTTAAAATTATTGGTATCCACTGTTTCTGATGGAAGGTAAGCGACCAGATTTTGATCCCTGGAAGATATCATAGGAGTTTAAATTATTCAGTTTTCTGGGAGTGTTGAACTATTTTTAAAACATTGCATACATACTAAGAAAATTATTGGTAAGATTGATGTTTCATTTAAATTAGAGTATAATACCTTTCTCATACATAATCCAGTTTTAACTAGGCGAATAAACTACTTTTATGCAAAATGGTGCAAATATTAGAATTATTTCATGACAACTTTGACCCACAGTACTAAAGTAAAGATTCCAATGATTTTCCTATAGATCATGTATGTTAAAAGATGTTATCATAAACCTAATGTTTGGATGTGTATTACGTATCAATGAAGAAAACCGTCGTTTGAACAATCGATAAATATACAAAATTAAACATTGCTTAAATATCAGAAACACCTTGGTATTGATAATTCATTAAATTATATTAATTAATAATTTCCAGTTGAAATGACGTGTGTACCATTTTCTTCCGCGCCTTCTTTGACCAACAGCCAGCTGGATATAAGTCTCTTATAATTAATTCCGTCTTAATAATAAATAATATATTTTATAACAATTATAAATTACATAATTAGTAATTAACAAAAAGGCTTAATTTGACAGGAATTGAGTTATTTCTTGACAAAAAGACAACGGAGCACAACTGTTGCAGTGATAACTGTGTTAAGATGATGGTTTGAGCGGGAATCGCATCTTAACAGCGGCAGGTTGCTGAAGATTCCGGATTGTTTTGTTTTTGGCTGTTTTTTTTGTTGTCACAATTCGTAGTCTCTTAGGAAGATCAGAGATGAAATGCACCATTCCAGAGATCTCTTGGCACAACAGAGACCCAGTTTTAAGCGTTGATGTACAGGTCAAGAAACCAGACGAACCATTTTACAGATTAGCCTCTGGAGGATCTGACACTCACGTTCTGGTATGACCATAAATCACCACAAAATTATGTATAAAAAATGCGTGTATTTTGTTTGTTTACCATCTACAAATGTGTCTAGGTTTTTAATGTTTTATAATAATAATCATTTATAAAAGAGATTTTCATACTTTGTTAGATATGGAGAATAATAAGGCAGGACACAGGGGTTTTACAGCTTGATTGCGTTTGTGATTTGACCAAGCACCAAAAAGCAGTAAATGTTGTCAAGTTCTCACCATCTGGCGAGTTTCTGGCTTCGGGAGATGATGGTAATAACCATTTATCATATGTCATCACCTAAATTATAGATTCCGTAGCTTGCTTGCACTGATCATCCTGAGAATAGGTTTGACTTGTAAATTTGACCACAATGTTAGACAATTTCAGAATCATATATAATCATTTGGAAACAGAGGTCCAAAGAAGATGCTCCTGATTTGGACAAAGAAGTCGAAATGAATGATGAACATTGGATACAGTTTAAAATTTTGAGAGGGCATCTTAACGACGTCTACGATCTTTGCTGGTCACCTGATTCCATTCACTTGCTCTCAGGATCAGTCGATAACACAGCAATTATTTGGCATGTCACCAAAGGTTTGTAATAATAGTGTATTTTACATATTTTGCACGAATATCTGAGAGGTGGTCAACAAAGAAAATCTCAAAAATTGTCATCAAGGACTACACTTTAACTTCAATGAGAACAAATGACATTTTTAGTGTCCGTGGACCTCAGAGATGAAATAACTAGCCGGACGCTAAAAATTCTATAGAGTGTAGTCCTGATGAAGGCAATAAGCCAAAATCTTAATGACAATTTTTTAGTTTTCTTTGTTCTCCTCCCTCCCCCATATTCATATAACAAATGTGCCATCAGAAGGCTAATAAAAAAAAAATAAATAAAAGTATATTTTACTGTCAAAGAAAAACACAATATTTATATAAATATAGATATATTTTTTTTATAGGGCACAAAGTATCCATTTTATCCGAAGGAAATAATTTTATCCAAGGAGTTACTTGGGATCCTAAAAATAAATTTGCAGCAACTTTGAGCAGTGACAGGTAGTTTATTTCTCAAAACAAAAATAAAACTGACTCGTAAATCTTAAAACTATTCTCTAGCAAATGCCGAATTTATGATTGGAGGAGTCACAAGATGGTTTTTAACATTGGACGAGGGCGGATTCCAGGACATCTGCCATCCCCCGGGGAGGAAGATAAAAAATTAAAGCTCTTTCACGATGACACTCTTAAAACATTTTTTCGTCGATTAGAATTCAGCCCTGATGGTCAACTACTGTCCACACCAACCGGAACTATAGAACCACCTGTAAATACTTCAGAAAAATTGTTAAACGTTACATGGATATTTGCTAGGAAACAGTTTAACACGTACGTTTTTACATTCATTTAAAACGTTTATTTTAATAAGAATTGTTCTTTTAGCCCGGTGTTGTATTATCCGTCTAACCAGCCATCCATGATCACGAGATGGTGCCCAATAAAATTTCAATTGCGTCCAGAGACCAAACCGGTTATTCTCTTGCCTTATAGGATGATTCTTGCAGTCGCGTCTAAATCAGCGATTGTCTTATATGACACTCAGTATGCAGTTCCAATTGGCCTCATATCCAACATACATTATACTAAACTTACAGATATGGCCTGGTAAGTATTAAATCACACATTTGTTTATTATAAAATTGAATTAATTTGTCCTCAGAAACATGAAGAAAACTGGTTTTGATTTTTGGGTTTTGGAACCTGGAATTTGAATAGTATGACCGTGTTGAATGCAGAAGCCTGAAAGTGTAATCCTCCGGGCTGCATTTTTTTTTTTTTTTTTAATTAATAATAAATATAAAAGACGGTAAAAATATTTTTTTACATTTTCGGGTGAGTCTCATATAATGTTATACAACCCGCACAGCACCTAGTGAACAAATTTTCATAAAATTTGTTTTTAATTGTTATTATTTATTAATATTTCACTTTTCCAATTTTGTTTTAAAAAAATAATATACAATATGTTTAAAAATAAACTATTATATACAATAAATCCAAACTATTTACAAAGTAATTATTACAAACTATTATAAAACATTATTATTTAACTAAAATTATTAACAAATCTATATAGAAAGTTCTTCGAAGCACTGGGGTTACAGTCTAATTTTTTCTGTAATCAGAGCTAGAACCCCTGGCAAGTAGAAGCATGTTCTCACTTTCCTACCTTGCTCATCGTCTTTTGCTGCAAAAAGGATTTGTCCATTTTGTCCCCTAGGTGTTGAAGGTAGTGGAGTAGGAAATTGGCCATCAAGATGACGAAGGACTCTGAATGGAACAGTTAGGGCATTCCCTAAACACCAAGTACTCTCATCGCGTCTAGTCACAAATCGTTAGCTTCTTCTTGTCTTTAGGAATAACTATTGAACGAGACATTATCCATGAGAAGCATCCGGAAGAATGATGTTGAAATAAAAACTTAACATTGTTCATATTAATTATGTGAAACTCCTCCGAAAACAAATTTAAACCCAAAATTTATGTTTTAAGGTCATCAGATGGCAGAATACTAGTGGCATCATCGACTGACGGCTATTGTTCTTTGATAACCTTCACTGAAAATGAATTGGGCGACTGTTATATTGAAGCTGAAACATCTTCATAACTGTAATTTATTTGTAAATATTGTTAACAATAAAATTTTATTTAAATTTTTCTGTTCGTAAAGGATAAGGAGTTAACAATGACAAAACCTTTTATTATAAAAATAAGGCACTTTCAATAAAATTATTTTAAAAATAAAATCTCTATTTTATCAAAAATATAACAAAATTTATAAATATTTTTAATGGTCAGTGGTTAAACTTGTATGTTAAGAATGTCTGCTACTGTTATTCTTGATCTAACGGTTAATATCATCATCTCTCTTTCGGCGAATGGTAGTAAGCAAAGTAGTGTAACGTACATCGTGTATGGTATTGGTGATGTCGAACCAAATGGCCAGAACCACAAACCTCTCCTTGTACCATCTCGAATGTGGTGACTAATTGACGCCGCACTCAACAGCCAGCAAAGCACTGTCAGCCACTCTGTTTTTGTAATCTAAAGCAAATAAAAAAATCTCTTTCAATTGTTTTATATTAGCGTGACTAAATTTAAAAATATAATTAGGGTTATTATACAATTATCTGTTTTCACAAAGGCAATTTTTTATCTGTTTGAAATTCTTAATACCGCATCTTTTTTGCTGACAGTGCGACCTTGAATGCATGACAAAATTGGGCTAGTGTTACAAATTAAATGAATATGTGAACACTGTTTTGAAATGAAAATCACAAACAAATTCAAACCAAAGGATTTTCTTGTACTACTTGAAAATCGATGAGGCTATTTTTTTAACATATTCTGGGCATCATCCACCTGGTAAAACAACTTAGTGGCATCATCATCAATCAGTACTCTCAAAAAATATTCGCCTGGTACACAAGTAAAAAAAAAAAAAAAAAAAATAGGTCCTGCAGTGAACATGTTAAGAAAACAAAACTTTAATAATGATAAATGAATAATTGGCTTTAATTTCAAACCCTATTTTCTCGTTGTTAATAATTTTAGTATTATATTCAAATAAATTATATGAATAAAAGTAATAAAAATGGAATAAAAGTTATAAAAAAAAAAGACAGTACTCTTTAATATGTTTACACCATTATATTTTAATGTGTATAAAACAATATAATTATTTTTTATATTAATGATATTTTTGAAGACTTTACATGGTCTCTGATACTTATGTAAGGAATGATATGTTGTGAATCTTTTCCAATGGTGACCTCATCTTCTCTGAGGTTATTCTGAATTATAATCGCTTCATTTAAATCTTCTTTGCTCTTGATAAAGACATGAGTTTCAAAATCAGGAGCGATTTCCATTTGGTTTGGATTAAGTTGGCCTACAGGGCCAGGCATCCTCTCACACATCGCTTTCAGTGGGTTGACGCTCAGGGTCAAATATTCTTTTAAGTAGACGGCTTCCTGTGGTGAGAGGGAGTCTGGATTTCTATACAGCCACATTGAGTATGTTTCGATTTTGGAAAGGCGCGTCCTGAGGTAGGACCTGAGAAGGAATTTAATCCTTTCTAGTTCATGTCTGTGAATCAACGACCTGAGATCGGTCGGATCGAGGCCTTTGACGTTTTCCTCCATTTGTTCAACTTGTTCGATCATGACTTCGACAAATTCGGCCTTGTGAGGCAGTAATTCTGGGCTTAGCTTTTCATTGCTCCAAGCTTCGTTTATAACGTTCAATACTGCTTTAGCAGTCATCACCTCTTCGTCTTCTTCCTCCCCAAGAAACATTTCCTCAATGTCAGCCATATTTGAAACTTTTTTACTAAAAAAACCCAAAATATAAAAATAATATAATCAATTTAAAAAAAGAAGTGTAAGTAAAAGAACTTATAGCTTTATTGTCTCTGATCATCTCGTTCTGCCTATTCTCAATGGTTTAATGGCCTAAATGTAGCTATCAAGCCAGTGAGATTAGGAAAACTCAAGACTGGAGACAATCACCTCAACAAAATAACTCACAAAAAAACTTATATCACCTGGTCATTTAGTTTACCCATTATTTTTAATAATACTTTTAATAAGTAATAAAGGAAGATGTTTTATAAGAGTTAATGTTGCAATGATATTGTTATATTTTAGTAGACTGTCCATTGTTAGATTTATATTTAGGTGAAATGGCCGGGGCCAGTCAATTTTTTCTACTTATATATCACCTTATTTGAGTTCCTTCCAGGGATTACAAATTTTGTCTTTTCTGGAGAATGAGCTTAAGTATAATATTATGTTATGTCTGCCTGATTAGCCCTACCATTTCAACCAAATATAAAGTTACAATGATAAAAGATTCTACATGCTGTTATATTCTTCCTTTCCCATTCTTAAAAAAGATTTACTGATGTTTTAACTTTTAATAATTAATTTGAAGAAGAGAAGAACTGCCATACTTACTTTTGACAACGTGAAACAGATTACGCAGATGGCAATCCACAAAGTTGTACAGTGCAACAACGGCCGGTGTTCCAACAACAGGTCTTTCTGCAAAGAGAAAAAAAGTAAAAGTTGTCCAATCAAGACAAATTAATATTTAGAAAAAATAAATATTAGTTGTTGGAGCACGAAGTTTCGTCGATTCAGAATGGCAGTTTTTATGAACCTGAGTGAAATTGTTGAGAAAGAACTTGCAAATTTCAACTGCATAACAAACCTGCTCATTTATATATTCTGTGAAAATAGTTTAAATAAATTAACGCTGAAAACTCAAATAGCAATAACACCAAAGGAAAATCAATTTCTCGAATCGAATCAGTTTCTCGAATATGGACAAAAATCAGTGTAATAAAGAGCATTAGTTGATAATTAGTATGTATTGGGTTGTCCGGAAAATAATGCAGGATTTTGGTATTAAACAAAAAAAAAGAAACTAGTTACTTTAAAGCAATGTTCTTTAATCAAAATAATTTCCCATNGTAATCCTGTAAACGTAAACAGAATATTTTATATAGATTTTTTTTAATGAAAACTTAAAATCCTGCATTATTTTCCGGACAACCCGATAGTAATTTCCAAATATTCCTTTCACTCTTTCTTACTAACAATAATTATTAATCTTAACATAACATTGTTGTTACAGCCATTAATTTAGAGATCGTGAGATGCAATCAGATGTGTAGGTTTAGAAAAAATTTCTTTATAGTGCTAATGTTTCATCTGGGATTTATAAACATTGTTTAAATTGTATAATTTATACATATAAGATGTGAATATGAATTTATACAATGATGAATTCAATATAGAAATTTTATGTTTAATCAAAGTATTTGTACTTACTCAAAGTGTGTGTTTCTGTGTAAATGTGTCTTGTTGAGAATGTGAATGAGATTTTAATGTTTTTTGCTTATAATGTGTGATTTTGTATATTTTTATATATGTTTTTGAAGGTGTGTGGAAGGAAGTAGGGATAGAAATTCATTTTTCTGTGAGGAGTCAGTTTCTTTGAGGTGGAGGGACCAATGAAAAAGGGGTAATGGTTTGTCGTTCGGACCTGGTTAGCTTTTCAGGATTATTATAGGCAGAATTATTAGGGGAAGGAGAGATAAATCATTAAAGATTTGATTATGTAGAATTGTTTGATGTATGTTGTGTAATGATTGTTTTATATTGCTGTATTATATGTATGTTATTGATATTGAATTTGATTACTGATATTAGCGTAGCTGCGACTGAGTTTACTTGTATGTGTCTGTTCTGTAATTGATGCTATGTTTATATTTGTTGATGTAAACCATTTCTACAAATGTGAGGTGATTAGTGACTGTTAATCGATATTTATTTAGAAATCGTGAGATGCGGTCTGGTGTGATTTTTTTATATATTCAATCAAAGTATTTCTACTCACTCAAAGTGTTTGTCTTCTGTGTAATTGTGCCATTCTTGCGTGTCGTGTCGAAAGTGCCAGTGAGATTTTGCTATTTTGTGTTTATACTCAACTGTGTCACTGGCACTCTCGACACGACACGCAAGAATGGCACAATTACACAGAAGACAAACACTTTGAATGAGTAGAAATACTTTGATTGAATATATAAAAAAATATATTTTGCAATGTATAAAATTCACTTTTCCACATCCAAAATGTAATTGTTATATGTAAACAATGTTTGTAAATCCCAGGCCCTGAAGATGATCTCAATAAAGATCGAAACGTTGGCACGATAAAGAAAACGTTTTTCTGAAACCTACATCACACCAGACCGCATCTCACGATTTCTAAATAAACATTTCTACAAAGTTACGTTTATGCTTGTTTTGTTCTGTGTTTAATATTTTTAGATTGTTGAAATCGAAATTGTGTTGATGTTCAAAATGGTGGGTAGCCAGTGCTGTAGGATTTTGTTTGGGTTTTTTGCAATCACAGATATGTTGTTTTACGATCTGCCTGCACAGATTTTCCATATTGTTTATTTATTTTGATACACCTATATTTAATATTTATATTTTAATTGCTGTTATTTGTGGCATGAATAAAATGAATACCACAATGGAAATTATTTCATAAGGCAATAAACAATTTTCATGGTGTTCAGCAGAATAAAACTTTTCAAATCTACACACTGATTTCTCCATATTTCCTGGAATTCTTTCTCAACTAACTATAATGTACACCAATCCTATAATTTTATTAATTCGGGCATATCAAACTGAAATTAACAAAATATCTGATGGACGCATTTTTACTCTACACCCATAGGATAAAAATGTGCAAGATAGCTGTCTAAACATATTATTTTAGAGACCTGCAGACAGAATGACAATCACACCTCAAATGACTTTATCCTCTATTTACGGTTTGGATATTCATCAGCCGAAGTTACCATCAAATTTAGAGTAATGACACATGAAGCGGTTTTGACAGATGCATTTATCGCATCTGTTTAGCCAGCTGTGACACATGAAGTGGTTAAACAAAGTATGTATCATTAATTATGAGAGAACAATCTTAAAGAAAAAAATCTGCCAATTTTTAAGCTATGTTCTCTCTTTTCCAGTATTTCTTCAAATGTATCATTAGGTAAATAAATACAAATATTATCGTGATTTTCATTGAATTTGTTCTTGTCATACCAGCAGCACTACCTTTTCAGCAAACGATCAATAATTTCAGGAGTCCTGATGTCCTAGAAAAAAGTAGGCTTTTCTACCACCAGAATCAATTTGTGTTGTGGAACTAATAAAATAAAATATTAACAGGACATAAAGTGATGGTATGAACTGCTCAGACTTGCCACATATATTGGGGATGACTCAATACTGGGCCAGGAATTTTCAAACACTCAGGTCATCTCAACCAGCATGGACTCGGTTTCAAAACCAACAGGTGGTATGCATGTGCCAGCACAATGCTACAGCTGAGGGCAACTCAGTGACTCAATTTTTCTCTCAATAAACACTTTGATTAAAGCCACTGCATGTTTTATAACCCGTAAGATCTCTAACATGAATTTCAATCCACAGGAAAGTACTGTCAATAATATGGCAGCTGTATTTTGTCCATCTACTTTATTATGACACTCAAGTCTTGAATGTACTGGAATTTTTTTTTTTTTGATCTTGCAATTCAGAAACGTTTTCTATATTACTAGCTCTTGAGAACATCCTTGTGCCCTGGATCAACTGTTAATCCAACGGATTTTTCCTTCCGGACCTGGGGTTGAAGTCACCACCATGCCAAAGTATATCGGATGAAGATCTTTGGTATGTCATGTCACAATTTTCAAATAAAGGAATGAATCGGTTCAAAGTCCATCTTAGTTCTAATATATAAACCATGTAATTTTTAAATTACTCCATTATATACAAACCTTGATATTTGGCGACTTGACAAAGGGTTTTGTGATGTGATCAACGTCTATTGCACATGCGGCAAAACCGCAAAGGATCACGTCTACGAGTCTAGAAAATATGTAATATTTTCTTCCCTCAGGTAGAGAGACGACGACGACTGCCCAGGTGAGGAGGCCGACTGCCCCGTGCGTAGCGTTGTCTATGAAAGCCCGAAGGATTTTATTTGTGTAAAAATCCAAAAGTCTATCACCGCAGAAGGCTGCCAGGCCGATCGACAGGGTCAGGAAGCAGGACAACAGCATCGGACCATTCGGCAAGATGTATGAAACTGACCGGGCCGACTTGTTAAATCTAAATGTGTAATCGCATACTTCTCATAAACAGGACAACAATTTTTTACTCGGAAAATAAAAATAATGCTGGTAAAGAAGGTACATCGCGTCAATTCAGCGGGAATCACAGTAAACCCACTGTTATAGTAACATCTGTGACTCACACGACCCGTAATAATAACTTTTACTCCACGTCTTATGACGTTTAACAGTTCCTGACGTTTGGTTTTCAATAGGTAACTTTATTGCTTTGTCATTACATATTGACTGATCAAGCGTCATAATACTATATGTAAAATACTCTTGTTACATTTATATGCATTATTAATTTATTATGACATATGAATTTAAAATTTTGACTGCCACTGCCCGGATGAATAATAAACTAAACCCCCATGTGTAAGTAATAAACAACCTGTATGATTCTCGAAACCTACTATTATTGTTGTTGTTGTTGTACCTCCAACAATTTATCTCCCCTTTCCATAATAATCCCGTCTATAATAATCCATTATCGGCCCCTTTCACCTCAAAGAAGCCGACTCCTAATAGAAAAATGAATGCTTCCTTCCCCTGTTGTACTGCTTCACAATCATACACATATAAACAAAAAAACAAACATTAAAATCTCATTCACATTCTCAACACGACACACAACAGTGACACATCTACACAGAAAACACAGACTTTGAGTAAGTACAAATACTTTGATTAAACCTAAAACTTCAATATTGTGTACATCATTTTATAAATTCATATTCATATCTTATATGTATTTGTATAATTTAAACAATGTTTATAATTCCCAGGCCCTGAAGATGATCTCAATAAAGTTCGGAACGTGGCACGATAAAGAAAATGTTTTTCTAAAACTACATCACTCCAGACCACATCGCATCTTGTGATCTCTAAATAAAAAGTTATAATTCTTTTAAAAAGATAGTTCCTACTCACAGTAAGTTGTTTTAATAACCGGATTTCGAGCTTTTAGCTCATCATCAGGTTGAAGGAGTTCTACAACCACGTCTCTCGACATGAATTGCAAAAGTGACACTTACTGTGAGTAGGAACTATCTTTTTAAAAGGATTGAACACGGCACTCATTCCACCATTCATCATTTCTGTTATTACAATTATTACTGGAATCAAAATAATTTAACTAAGTGAAAAAAAATTCCATGGAGCCAACTGAATACAAGTGCGTAAACAAATTAATTTAAATCAAAACTTATAAGCAATAAAATTCATACAAACAAGTTCAATTATTCATGGGTCAATCATAAATTTGAAAAACTTATTTCATGGCGACGTCATTTTCTTTACATTGGTCACTATATAATCACAGTTCTTCATTTTATAAATTATATTAGTATAGATTCATTTTTCAAAAATAAGATTTAATAAACATTCAGTTTTATTTAATTTGACTAAATTCTGGCCAAAGTTTAAATAATTAATGAAATAAATGGAAAAAATGTAGTTGAATACGTCAGAGTCAGGTGTTCCCGTTCGGGAGTTGACGGGCTGATATTTAGTTAACTTCCAAAAGTCACATTTATCCTTTAGGATCGTGTTTTTATTATGTAAATATTTTAAGTTTTTAAATAAAGTAAATATATTTACGTGATGTACTTAAGCGAGGATTAAATCAAAAGGTTTTTTAGCCAAACGAGTCAAATATTAGAAATTTTATTATAGAAAGCCGCTATTTGTGAGTGGTAAGGTGATTACAACATTCCAAGAAGATGTCTGCGTCGGCGATTTATATTTTGGACGTTAAAGGGAAAGTGCTTATATCGAGGAATTACAGAGGTGACATTGATATGGGAGTTATAGAAAAGTTTATGCCTTTGTTGATGGAAAAAGAAGAAGAAGGTCTCGTTACGCCTCTCATTCAAACGACGGAATGCACTTTCGCCTTCATCAAGTACAACAATCTTTACATAGTGTCGACGACGAAGAAAAACGCCAATATTGCTTTGGTATTTGTTTTCCTTCACAAGATAGTACAAGTCATGACGGAGTATTTCAAAGAAATCGAAGAGGAGAGCATAAGAGACAATTTCGTTGTGATATACGAGCTTTTGGACGAGCTGCTCGACTTCGGCTATCCGCAGACTACTGACAGTAAGATACTGCAAGAGTATATAACCCAGGAAGGTCATAAGCTTGAGATACAGCCGAGGATCCCGATGGCTGTGACAAACGCAGTATCTTGGCGTTCTGAAGGAATCAAGTACCGCAAAAACGAGGTGTTTCTTGATGTGATCGAGTCCGTAAACCTCTTGGCCAATGCTAACGGTAACGTATTGAGAAGTGAAATAGTCGGAGCTATAAAAATGAGGGTTTACCTTTCCGGAATGCCAGAGTTGAGGCTGGGATTGAATGATAAAGTTCTGTTTGAGAGTACGGGGAGAGGTAAATCGAAATCAGTCGAACTCGAAGATGTCAAATTTCACCAGTGCGTGAGACTGTCTAGGTTCGAGAACGACAGGACCATCTCGTTCATCCCTCCCGATGGTGAATTCGAATTGATGTCTTACAGGCTTAACACCCATGTTAAGCCACTCATCTGGATTGAATCAGTTATAGAACGCTACGCCCATAGCAGGGTTGAGTACATGATTAAAGCCAAATCTCAGTTCAAACGCAGATCTACGGCGAACAATGTTGAAGTCGTCATTCCAGTCCCCGCCGATGCCGATTCCCCTAAGTTCAAAACGACAGTAGGTAGTGTAAAGTATGCCCCTGAACAAAACGCAATTACTTGGATGATCAAGTCGTTCCCAGGTGGGAAGGAATATCTCATGAGGGCGCATTTCGGCCTTCCCAGTGTCATATGTGAAGACACAGAAGGCAAACCTCCCATACAAGTTAAATTTGAAATCCCTTATTTCACTACATCCGGAATACAAGTACGTTATCTGAAAATTATTGAAAAAAGCGGCTACCAGGCATTACCATGGGTACGGTATATTACACAAAATGGTGACTACCAACTCCGCACCAACTAAATTAGTGTCATCATACAAATGTATATTTTATTTAATATTCCACAATAAACAGAATTCTATCTTATTATATAAAAAAACTCATTTCTTTATCTTTCACCCTATCCTTTCAAAGTTTTATTTTAGCTATCTATTTTTACTATCCGCACAGGGTATTACCATTTTGAAGGCTGGTCTAAAAGGCAAAAATAAAGATTATTATTATATCAATTAATCATTAATTTTATGTAAAGTTTAACTTATGATTTTTCCTTCTTGAAGGTGGGATAATAGGTCATCTCAAAAAAATCACAACCAGTTTTTATCCACAACGTTTCAGATTTATTTTAATCTTTCCTCAGGTGAGTTAACGCAATGGTTAAAACAGTGGTCATCTATCATTAATATTTTATAAGTTTATCTAAAAAAAGAGTCAGTATGGTACATATTTAAGTCTCTCAATCTCCGAACAAACATTTTAACATTTTGAACCTGACTAGGTTAAAATAAATACACTGATTAAAATAAATCTGAAACGTTGTAGATAAAAACTGATTGTCGTTTTTTTGAGATGACTTATTATCCTACCTTCAAGAAGGAAAAATCATAAGTTTTATGTATAGTTTTGGTTGAGATGAAAATGTTAGTGACACGAGTGGGATTTGAACCCATGACATTCGACTCAATACACCGCTGCTCTAACAACTTGAGCCATTGTGAGCTTAGAGCCGAAAGTTGTTGGTTCAAATCTTGTTTGTAACACTAACTTTTTCATCTCAACTAAGACCTTACTAAAATCCTCTCTTCATCTAACAAACTACCATCAAATATCCCTCACTTTATGCCTATTCAAAATACCAGAAAAACTAATTATGCTAAGATTACACTGGTTTCTAGAAACAAAAAACTACTGCCGAGTGGCAAAGCAAGTTCTGTAAACATCACAGCACAAGAGAAACCTAGTCTCTCTTGACACCTACACACTCAAGGCATTTGAAAAACAGGAAAAAGTCCTAGCTGTGTTTGTAGATATTGAACATGCAGATGACTTACTTCACACACTAATTGACAAGAATAAATGGACACATTCTGAAATTCTTAATACAGTTTCTAAAAAACAACCAATAGAGTACAATGCGGAAATACACAATCAAACCATCATCTAAAAGGATGTGTACTAAGTGACACATTATTCTGCTTAAGCCTCAACAATATTTTCAAACATGTATGAGCAATGTTGTATGCTGATGATTTGGTCATTTTCTGTAGCAGCAAAAACATAGATATATTACAACACCAAATGCAACAATTTAAACACAACCAACCATTGGCTAGAAAACAGTGGATTCAATATCTCCCCATCAAAAATAGCAGCAAAGATGTAAAAGAACTCCATGTACATTACCTCCATAAAAATTAACTACAATCCCCTATGTTGTCCCATTTTGTTACCTAGGCCTCAACTTCGACAAACACATAAACTGGGAACGACATTTTGCAACAATAAACAGTCATGCCGATCCTATATAAATCTCCTTAGATCTCTAAGTTGCATCACATGCAGAGCTGACATAAAGAGCATGCTAACCTTAAATAGAACTTTAGTCAAATCAAAACTAAAATATGGTTGCAATGCTTGTGTCTGCAACAGAATGTATACTGGCAAAATGAAGCTCCATTGGAAATACAGGATTCAGAATTGCAACAGGACTTTCCGCTCTTGCCCAATAAACAGCCTACATACTGGTGAACTCCCCAAATCAAACAGACTCCTTCTACAAGATCTTTACTAAAATCTCTACTCCCTCACGCCCACTAAATGAACTCTTACCTAACAATAGCATTTTTAACATTAACAACAGTACACGTAAAACATTTTCAAACAAAGTATAGACATATACACAAAACACAATCATTAACCTCACACTAATATTAAAACACTTACCTTCACCTAGTCAACCTTGGACTCTCCCAGAGCTCATGAATTTCATTACATCTAAGTCAACTAGCCAAAAGCAGTACATGAATACAAACAGGAATTTCTAAGAGTTAAAAGCAAACTTGATGCTGATTTTACCTACATGGATGGAATTGGTGCCTCAGTTTATCATGGCAATGAAATATACAAATTTAAACTTCCCTCAATATGTAACAACTTTACTGCAGAATTATTAGCAATAAAAAAATCACCTTTACTGATAAAAAAAAATGATAGTTACTCTACAGTCCGCAATTCCTTGTTTGCATTATTTGCCATAAAACATATCTTCACTGAAAACGCACTAATCTAGGACAACCTCATAAAAATCCAAAAATTGAAATATCAAAATAAACCAATCCTTATGTGGTTGCCCAGACACTGTGATATTCAAGGCAATACTTAAGCTGGCATTCAGGCAAAAAGAGAAAGAACAAGGAATTCCAGTGACAGCGAATCCACGTGGGAATTTAGAATCACACTAAAACACAAAATATGGAGAGATTGGGAACAAGCCTGGCACAACATCATAGACAATAAACTGCGAAGCATCAAAGATTCTGTCAGGTGCTTCTGACAAAGCAGACAAGAAGAAGTAACTGATCAGGCTACGGATCGGACATACCAGATACACACATGGCCACCTCACAAACATTGAAACACCTCCACAATTCAGCACATGCAAGTATCCTTGACTGCGAAACATATACTACCTGATTGTCAACTTTTAAAAACAGCCAGAGTTCAACCTCCCAAAAAGAGTAAGAGATCCTAAGAGACGAATCAACATGCCTAAATAAAATGTTTGAATTTCTAAAAAATACAAACATACTCAAAGCAAAACAAAAATTATCATATATTAATAATAAAATAAAACTAAAGTAAAACAATAAATAAAAGAAATAAATGGCGTTCTGAATCAAGATGAAATAGCCCAGCGGCGGTTCACTACCTTAATTACAAAAAAATAATTTAAAAAAAAGATTATTATTATATGCCATTTGGTGTAATATAAAATTAAAATTTATATACTAAGAAAGAATTATGACAAAAAACCTCAAACATCAATTTGCTACAAATTACTTATAATTATTATTTACATTTTTGTACAGATTTTTAAAGAAATCTAGAGAATCAATTCACTTTTGTTTAGGTTTTTTTGTAAGAGTTTCTTTTTTTCTATCTAAACATTTATCATCCCCATCATTTAATTGGTTTTTGAAATACAGAGACTCTTTGTATTCATTTTTATGTATTTTCTGCATTTTAAGAGGAGCAAATACAAGTTCTTTCTCATCTATTTCACTCAAATGTCCGTTCAGATAGTCTCTGAATTTTTTAAGGGCTACGTAATAAGGTACTTTATCTTCAGCCCTGCATGGTGTAGTACACCTTCCACTTGATGAAGGCATAACCCATATATGAGTGTAATTTGTCCCTTGTACGAGCTCTGGCTGGAGGCCCAAGTTGAACTTCTTCTTTCCGGAAAAAACCTCATATATCTGTTTACCGTTGAAGACCGCAATCTTGGGCCGGAGCTTGTTGATCTTCACGACGAGTATTTCAGCGCCGGCTTGAATTTCTTTCTTGTCTAAATCCGAACTACTCCGGGTCGTCCTCTCGACAATGTTGGTCAAACCGATACCCAAACCAGGCAGTGTTTCATCCTCAGAAGCAGACAACTGCCTCGGTGTCAGTCCTGAGAGATAAAGGCACTTCCAAAAATGGTTACCAGGTTTGGCATAATGATGTCCTTTGTATGCAGAAAACATACCAGGGTTTATCCCTACAACCAGGATATCTAAATCGGCTCTTAAACGGTCTGGCAGTTTCAACTGACACACTTCCTCCTCCGACATCCCATCGAACATATTTTTCCTTTTCCTGCCAGAACCCATCTGAATTTGATTCTACCTTAAATTAGATGTTATTTGAATCTACCTTAAAGGTATGTAGTTAACATTGTACATAAAAACCTTTCATGTACGGTTACTAATTATTAAAAAAAAATTAAGTTAAAATATATTTAATCTTTTAGAGTATTTGTTATAAATAATATTTCAGATTGACCATTTTTAAATAACTTTTACGAAATAGAATAATAAATTGAATTACAATATCAATATAAATCGATGATAAACAGATGTCACCACAAGAGGGTGGCTCCTCACAAACTGAACATCAGAGTAAATCTATAAATTTGGCTCTAAAATCCGACCTTAAATATCTTTTGAATTAAAATTAAATTATTAAATTTCTGGTTTTACATATCAAGAAACCTTTCGTTTTCGTTTTGTTTTTTAATGGGATATCGTTTAAAAAGGAAACATTGAAAATATTATCTCGCTGAAACAACATGAACATCAGAGAGATAAATAAAATTTTCTCACATATCTTTCTTTTAAATAAAAATTACGTAGCTAGATTTTAAATTAGTACCATTTTTTAAGGATTCATAAAGTACAAACAATTTTCTGAGAAGATTGAATCAAAGAAGTTTCTACTGATATGTAAACCAATTATTATTATTAAAAAAGGATTATTTCAATAGTAGCAAAAGAACAAGAAGAAAATTCCATTGCATTACAGATGTAGTTCCATTAGTGCTCCATCTCGTCGTCTCTAAGTGGAATCTGACACATTTGTGATACAGATGCTCTATTGTGTATGGTGGGAATCCAGGTGTGAGAGAGACAGAGATAGATTGAAGTTTTATCAACCGAGTTCTGTGACATTTTTAATTTCTGTTTACTTTTGTTGGCTTTAAAGCCAGATTTTTAAAAACCCTTCGCCCGCAGGGTGAAGTGAACTAACAACAAACATGATAATACTCAAGTTTTCTTAGAGTAACGATGCCGAGTTGAGGGGGAAAATAATAAAAAAAGGTTTTAAACGTTTTATATTTACTGTAAATAGTCAAACCTTTATCTTTTATCACCATCCTTATTTGTACATACACATTTTTTTTTCAAATAATCGAACTCTTGCTATAAACGTCCACTCTACCTGATTACCAACCCTAAAAAGAAATAATTATGGTAGATTTGCTACAAAACACCACCCTGTTAACTTTGCATGTTAATATCACTTGTTGAAATGCATGAAATAGCAAATAAGAATAACGTAAACTATTCCACAAAAGTATTCATTAATAGGCAAAAACCTGGTAATATATCCTTTATGCTATTGAACGAAAAACTTACGATTGTTGAACAGTTGATTTATCGTTTGGAAAGATCATTAACTTGAACTCGACAAGATTCAAGTTGATATTACATGGTTTGAACATTTGCATAGACAACATTTCTTTCAACATTCATTAAAATTGTATTTTGATTTATATGTGTTTGTGTTTTAAGAGGGAAAGGCTGTTTAAACAAACATAAAAGTAGAGAAAGCACATCTTATAGCAAAGATAGATTCTTTCTTTTTTTTATATATTTTCCGGATCCGTCTACTCAGGGTTTCTTGAATTACTCAAATGCGTTTTGGCCATTTGTTGCTGTTGTGCCATTGTCAGTGAAAAACCGTTCTGCTTCAACGAAAGTTTAATTTATTCAAAACACTGCGATATATATATGTGATAATTTGAATAAAATAAAAGTATTTATCGAGTTTGTCGTTTTAAATTGTTAAAATACACTAGAATCGTGAATGGTTATTTGTTTCCTTTTTCCGTTTCAGGTCGTGCGTGGAGGATATGGTAACAATGAGCTCTGAGAAGGGTGGAGGGCGGAGGAAATTTGATAATCACCAGCAGCAGCAGGCCACCACTCCCTGTCATGATGACTCACCAAATCACCTCGTTTATGCAAAAGTATATTACTATTATATCATGTTAAAAAAATTAATAATAATTAAACGTTTATTTTAAATAATTCCAGATGGAAGCAATTGTTGAAAGAATGCAAGATGAAACGTCAGGAGTCCCCGTAAGGACTGTTAAGAGTTTCATGTCAAAAATACCATCAGTGTTCACGGGTGAATATTTTCTAACTATGATGTCATAATAAATCTCATAAAAACACAAGATAATTCAAATATATACGTATGTTTTTAGGTTCCGATCTTATATTATGGATGATGAAAAACCTAGATGTCGATGATCAAAGTTAGTAATTATAAGACATAATAATCAAACTTAAAATTAATTTTGTGTTTTCTTTTAGCTGAGGCTCTTCATTTGGCTCATCAAATGGCATCACATGGATATCTGTTTCCTATAGACGATCACATGTTGACAGTTAAAAATGATAACACCTTTTATCGCTTTCAGGTGTGTTATTTTCTATTCTTGCCTTTTTTTTATTGTCAGTTTAAATCTATTAAATACAATAATTGTGATTGTAGAGAGTAGTAGGAATTTAATATTTAGTTTATATCTCATTGGTTTTTCTACTACAGGCTGGATCACATGTAGTAGGTTTATCTTCAAGAAGTTTATTCATTCTAAAAATCAATTTTTATTTTTGTAATAATAAACCGAGATAAGTCTGAAGAGGGGAGGCAGAAGCCCGTGAAACTGATATCTTATAAATAAAAATCAAAAAATGACGGGACTAAATTTCTTAAAGAAAAATCTACTACATTAATATTTAATTATCTTTTTTTTTTTTTTTTTTTAGAATGAAGATTGTCGATATCACCTCAGTTGATTAATTTTGAGGGAAAAAATCGCGATGTACATATCTGTCAAATCGTTAAAATTATTTTTTTTTTCTTTTTAAATGTTAAATAAGAAGAATATAGGATTATGACAATTCTTTCCTCCACTGTGACTTAAATACTTGTGGAACCCCTATAGTTTGTAACCATACTTTGGAAAGTGTGCTTTTTCTGATGAGCTAAGCACTTTCTTTGGTGCCTCTTCCCAGATCCCATCTTCTTTAGGTGTTAGTTAAGAGGGTATTGGAGGCGTATATTTTTTCTGAAATTCTGCCTGTTGAGAAAGAGGAGTTCCTCTGCCTTCTTTTATAAATTTTAGCTTGCCTCATACTGGTGTTTGAGTTTTTCTTTCTCAGGCCATTTTTCCAGTTCCATCTAAAGTAAACACTCCGGTGCGCCTAGTTGTGGTTCTGATCCCATGGGCGAGAGGGCTGCACCTTTTTTGGCTAGCTGGTCAGCCTGTTGATTTCCTTCTATGCCTTTATGTCCGTGAACCTACTTTAAGGTAATCTTGTTTTGTTTTTCCAGAGTCATTAGACTAGTTTTGGCACTCAGATGAGTGGAGTAGAAAGTATATGCATTTAGTACCATCTCATTCATTTTAATTCTTTCCAAAATTTTGTCTTGGTTCCTATTTAAATCTGGCTTTATTTCTTTGTATCTCGACACTCTCAAAAGCCACCTTTTGTACATAAATATGTAAAGGTAGAAGGTCAGGTCAAGTGCTCTAATGGGTATGCATTGCCCCAGTTTGGTCTGCGGTCCCTTGTTCGGTGTTTTTGGTCACCATGCTAGAGCTCTGTATGTAACCCAGGGTCCAACCGTGGCACAAGTAGGTCATTTGGGGGTTTATTCCCCAGTTTTAATTGAATAATCTTTGATCAGTGCTTAGTTGATCAAAGATATAGTCTTGATATAGTCTTGGCTTTATGCAGAATGTTACCTATGTGTTTTCCCCATTTGAGCCTTTGGTCAAGGGTTTTACCTAGGTACTTTGTTTCTTTGGAGAAATTTAAGGCTTCATCCTTTATAGTGGGAGCTTTTATAATGAGCTTCCTTCTTTTTATAAAAGGTATGAGGTGTTTTGTATTGTATAATAATAATGTTTATTAATAAAGCTATTTATAAAATAAATCAAAATAGGTCAACAAAAACTTTTTTTTTTGCTTGGATACTAATATGTCAATAGCTTTATAAGATTAAATTGGATCTTCGGTATAATTGTACATTACTATATTATATGTATAATGTATAAAGAAAAAATCTGAGCCTCATGTGAAATAATTTTAGGACAGATTTAGCAGAATTTCTCTTATGTTGCATGCATTTTTTGGACATAATCTAAATTGTTTTCACGCCATCACCCATTACAAATGAATTTATTGATATGAATTAAACTTCAATTGAAAATAAGTTTGGTCTGTAATTATTTTTTTAGACACCTTACTTTTGGCCATCCAATTGCTGGGAGCCAGAAAATACTGATTACGGTAATTAGAGAACAAAAAAGAGAATGTTGCATGAAAACACAATTCCTTATAAAATAATTATTTTTTGTTCACACAAAGATGTACAAATTAGCTTGAAATGGTTGCATGAGAGATTATTATAGATGCTTAATTTATGCTGTTTATAGTTTACTATAGTTGAACCCTTGTATATTAATAAAACTTGTAAATGTTGTAAAATCGATGGTATTTATGTGTTATAGCCGTTTATTTGTGCAAACGTACAATGCAAAACAAAACAAGGCTAGAACTGGCCGATTATGAGGCCGAAAGCCTCGCAAGACTTCAGAAAATGTTTTCAAGGAAATGGGAGTTCATCTTTATGCAGGCGGAAGCTCAAAGCAAAGTGGACAAGAAGAGAGACAAGCTGGAAAGGAAAGTTCTGGACTCGCAGGAGAGGGCTTTCTGGGATATGCACAGACCTATGGTAATTATTAATTATACAGTCAATTCTTGATAATTTGAAACCCAATGGATTTAAAAAAATTGTTTTTCTTTCCTCTTGATAATTTGAATTCTTTTTTTAATCCATTGGGTTTCGAAATATCAAGAGGAAAGAAGAAAAAAAATGATTAAAACTTGATATGCCCTTTTCCAAGTTATTACAAGAATTATACATATGTAAAACATCATAAAAATAATGAAAACGCCGCAACAGATCAACTGTAAAATTGAACATTGTTATACATTATTAAAAAAATAGAGAAGCAATTTTCAATGTGGTCTGGTGTCCATCGTTTAAATGATTTTCAAAATTGACTAGTGCTGAACATAACACACTGACAAAACACAGACCGCTGAACATAACAAACTAGAGAAATTTCTAAGAAACTTTAGGCAAGAAGGAATTACATAATTCATGGAAATTTAGAGGAATATTACAAAGAAAAAATTAAAATAATAAAGGAGAAGTAGCTACATTTCGATTTAAAGCCTACACTTTCTCCTCCCTCTGTTACAAAAAATATTTTGCATTATGTAGTGTATAAAAACAGAATTTTTTAAATTCAAAATTGACCTGTTGAGGAGTTTGTATTATCAAACATTTTATTATCAAGTTTCAATTTAACAAGAGTCCACTGTATATACTGTTTAAATAATAAATTAACAATTTAAAAAAATATTGTTTTTCTCAGCCTGGTTGTGTAAATACGACAGAATTGGACATTAAAAAGGCATGCCGAATGAATAAGCCTTCGACAACATCAAAAGGTGCGCAGGGTGGATCTTCAAATGAACAGGTGATAGAAAACTTGCAGAAAGAAATTTCTTTTCTCAAGACACGTCTGGACAGATCAAATATAAAAATATCTAAAGTCGCCGAGTCGTAAGTTTGAACGTTAATTACAATTTATTTTGTGCTGCATATAATCACAAATGTTTTGTATTTTTTAAGCTATATAAGCTATTTTGAGCAGTACTCAGAATACGATCCATTTTTCACTTCTCCTGACGTTGCCAACCCTTGGGTATCTGATAACCCAGATTTTTGGGAACAAGAAAAACAAGGGTATTTATTTATTTATTTGTTTAAACGATTCATTCTGTTCTGACTGATTTGTGATTTTAGGAAAGATGTTGCTGCCCGTAGAGTTAAGAGATGGGCCTTTAGCCTGCAAGAACTGCTGGCAGATCCTGCTGGGCGAGAGCAATTTGCTAGGTTTTTAGACAAAGAATTCTCTGGAGAAAACCTCAAGTAATTTTAACAAAGAAATATTTTTAATAACATAAGACATTATTAAAAATATTTAGAATATAAAAAAAATTGTATTTTTGTGTTTCAGATTCTGGGAAGCTGTAGAAGAATTGAAAGCCTTGCCACAGAGTGAGGTTGCTGAAAAGGTCAAAGAGATCTGGAACGAGTACCTTGCTCCTGATGCATCATGCCCGGTCAACATTGACTCGCATTCAAATGAAATAACAAAGAAAAACATGGTTAAACCCGACCGGTGGACATTTGATCCAGCAGCGGTAAGCATTATATTTTAAATAATTAATCTTTAAGTAGGTATTGGTCGAGGTAAAGCGGACGGCACGAAAGTCGTGGTTCGAATCCTGCCTGTGGCACTGTCCTTTTTTATCTCAACCTTAAAGATTAATTAATTTAATTGGTCAGTCGGACCATGAAACCTAATCATTATTTTTAACATGATTTAGATATAAATATTACTGATTTTGAATTGTAGGCGCATGTCTATCATTTGATGAAGACAGATTCATATTCAAGGTATCTTAGGTCAGAAATGTATAAGGATTTTCTTCAAGGTTCGAAAAAAAAGGTTAGAAGATTTATTTTTTCATAAAATTGCTTACATAATTAACACACATATATTTTTACAGACATCTATGAAAGGAATCAGGTCGATTGTTTCATTTTCTGGGAGGAAAGATGCTAATTCTTAATTGTGATAAAAAGAAATGAGTCCAAGGAAATAATTTCATTTTTCGTTCTTTTAATTTTCATTCTTTTGGTTTTTATTTTTAATGTTAACAAGCAAACAAGTCAACTCTTGGACCCTTGCCATCATTGTGTAAATTAAATTGGATACTTAAACGTAAATGAGTTTGCTCATTTTTTTATAATATATGAAAATTGCCATAAAGAAATATAGTGAGATCTGTAAACATTTTAAAAAAAGTGTAACATCAAATCAATGTACGGGTATTCTTACAGATTGTTAGACTTAATTTTTTTACACAAACCAATTATTAATATTAGCAGTTTTTTATTTTAACGATTGTACTTCTGGGTAAAAGGAAAAGATCTATTTTGATATTTTCCTAGAATTGCATTTAATAATTTATATGATACTTTCAGGACTACAGTAAAATAATCTCTATAAATATAAACTTAATTGGATCATTAAAAATCAATCATTTAAATTGCTTACAAACATTAGTATTTAGTAATTATTAACAAATGTAAAGTTTAGAATGATTTTATATCAAAATGATTTATTATTATCAATCATTTTATTATCAAATGTTTTTCAAAAAAGTTTAATAAATAATTAATTATGTTGGCAAGTATCACAGCATTTTCAATAATTATAATTTCACTTTTTTATTTGATAAATTATTTAGAATTAGTGATCCAATTAATGTGCAGTGTTATGCTTGTACGGTGCACCAGCTTAAGATTAAAATATGACCTTTAATTTAGTAGCGTTGTCTGATTATAATAAAGGTTTAGATGTATGGGAGGAGCGTTTTTTATAGACATTCACCTGCTTTTCTGAAATGTAGACTAAGTAGGTAAAATAAAAAATAATTGTATAGCTTCTAATTAAAAATAGATGGTGCAATAATATTCAATGATACAAACAAACAAAAAGTTTATTAAACAGGGAGCAATTGTAGATTTTATTTTACAAAATTGAGTTAATGAATTTTGTCAGAGCTTTCAACTTTTGCTAGATTTTTCTATCAGCATGGAATTTAGGTTTATATATTAAAAAAATTATATTATTAAAAAAAATATGTAAAATATTCAATTGGTGTTTTTCCCAGATTGTTTTTTGTTAACTTTTAAATTTGCAATGTACGCAAAGAAAAAACAAAATTATAGAAAAGATCACATCATATAATAGTTACGTGTTATAACACTCTTCATTATAGTTTACAAAAATAATATATATGATATATACAACATGTTTGATGTTCTATGTTACCAAGTAATTTGCACATAAAATTTCAGATAAATCTAAGTGGTTTATTGTTATTTGTTGTTTATCAAAGGGCTGTTACTTCTACAATCTACAGGATACTTCTCGACCATGCATTGCAAATTGAAATGTAATCTTTGGAGAAAAAAAAAAAATGTAAATATGCATAATATATTTATTGTTATAAACTTTACATAACTTCAACATTAAAAAAAATATATAAATTATAATAACAAAAAGATGCACTTTATTGTTATTTCCTAGCAATAATTAGTATTTGTTATACAACTATAACATAATATTTATTGAGAACGATATAAGCCGCTACATCTGGATAGGTGACCCTTAATTTAGGTGTAGGGACTATTAGAAATTGTTTTGGACTTGGAAATGTTTAAAAACTATTTTTATTTGATCGAGGAAATTTTAAGTATCTTGAAGCGGCTGAGAATGACTCTCATAAACCAACAGTACACCATAGCAACATATATGATATTTAAACAAAATTGTATAAAAAATATACAGGTGTGTATATTTATCCTTTGGGACAATGTTACTTGAACTCTGTTATTTGTAAGGAAGACAAAGTGACAAAAAAATAAAAAATGGTTAGTGATGGAATTTAATAATTAGTACTAGTTGAGTTGATAATTTAGCCAATGTAATCAAAATAAAGATAAGATTTAGGCAAATACATTTTGTAAATTGGAACTTAAAAAAAACTTTTTGTATAATGGAACCACATTTTCATGTGTAATCTCATTATTTGATATAGTTTTGTCTGTGTTAGCATTTAGACGTATATTTTGTTATACATATCATTAAATTTGTGCAATTTATGGAATTAAATTTACATTGTTGTAAACAAAAATTGTCAACGTTGTAGCAGGAAGGCTGAAGTATTGTAAAAATAATAAATAAATTTAAGTTAAAAGAGGCATAACCAAGATTTAATATTATTTACTCATTATTATTTATATATTCAGATTATTTATGTAATTTATATATTCACGGTCACTAATCACCACACATTATTTATATAAACAAACAATGATTTATTTTTTTGAAAATGGAAATAAACTCACTTTAAAATTAATAATTGTTAAATTTATTTCTACAAAAATGTTTTCTTGATTTTGTAAAAACAAGGGTCAAATGATTCCTCTTTCTTATCAAATGTTCAGCCTTCCAAATATAGTTTATTGATTTATATATTTTTTTAAATGATATTTTTTTTATTCAGTTATCCTTTGTATAGATATTTATATATAAATAAAATTAAAGATAGCAAATGTTGTTGGGTTGTGTTATCCAATTTACTAATGATTAGGAAGAAGTATAAGAAAAAATACTACAAACCATGACATAGAATACGTCAAAACAAAGTAAATGATTAATGAGAGAATAATCTAAATGAATTGTATAAAAAATGATCTCTGCAGTAATTGAAACTAGATAATTAGTCTATTGTTGCTTTTTAGTTTTTATTTTCACAACACTTGATGTCCAGTGTGGAGAATAGTCTGTCCTTATTATAGACTTGGTAAATATGATTAATCAAAATCATGGAAATTTTAAACTACTATTTAAAGATTACCAGTAAAGCACTCAAATGCGGGTCTATTTGCCTTCAAACCAGTTTATCACAAAGTTTGATGACTGTTTAGTGTTTTTTATAAATGTTCTAAGTATTAAAGAAATAAATGTAAACTCATGCGTAAAACCAGCCGTAATTAGTCATTTAACAGGCCCTGCACAAAATAACGAATTGAAATGTAGAAAAATTTGCATTTCAGAATTCATACTGTTAGATTTGAACTAGAAAGAAATAAGGAAAATCAGTGTTTACAAATTATCTGAAAAACAAATTGAAACAAAGCAAATGTTTGTGCAATTTTAATAAAGAAATATTTTGAAATTATTATTTTCTTAATTTCATCCTATTAGTAAAATGTGTTTTTGCAAATATAATTTTTGAATTATAAATCCACGTTTGAATTAATCACAATTGAACAATTGTAACCAATGTTTTTCAATTCACAAAGATGTTGTTCCTAAAAAAAATTAATATAATTATTAAACAAATTTTATAAATGAAGATATGTAAATCATTGAGATTATAGCAATTTAAATTTAAATGTGATGTTTTATTTCATCCCATTCATTATTTTTTCTCTTGGACAAAAAAAAAAAAAATTCTATCTACTCCACAATGAAAAAATAGCACGTGTAATCTACTTTTCCGATCTGAGGTCATTATTCCCAAATTATTATGCAATTTTCAATTTTTGAACTGTGAACTGAACTAGTTTATTCCCAATTGAATATTCAAGGCAGTTGTACGAGGAATATTTGGTCCGTCCTGGTGAAAACACAATTAGTCCAACTAATTATATCTTCTGCTTTATAGGATCCAGCATCCCTCAAAGTGATATTGATTGATACAAAAACAAAGGCCGAGCATTATATTTCAAGGTTTCAACTATTATTTTACAACTTTTAATTTTGTATGTTATGGGATAAATAGTTGTGTGTGTAGTTTATAAACTAACTAGTACACTTATCAACACTCACTCTATCACTGTTATTACCGATGGCTCACTCGATATGTCAGCCCTTTCATCATTAAACACACAAACATTTTTAATTATTTACAAATACATACACATATAGTTAAAATAAATATACAAAAGCACGTTTACATTTAAATGTACAAACATTTATCATACACACCACACAATATGTACAATTCTATACATGAAACACTCCCGTTTTCCTTAAGAAGTGGAACAGGGACACAATATGTACAATTCTATACATGAAACACTCCCGTTTTCCTTAAGAAGTGGAACAGGGAAGCCTACAATTGACCCGTTTGAATGCCATCTTTATGTCAGGGTTCATGCTAACTTGCCTATATATATTACACAGGGCGGGCAACCAGGACCCGAGGGGTTAAAAGCCTGAGTAGGCCCGTACCCCATCCCTAAAAGGTCCGGGACCTGGTCGGCTCACGAGTCCTGCATAAACCTTTTGGACCTATTCACAAACCCCAGGATTGTGGACCATTTTATCCTGGGGAGTGTTTTGGTTATGTCCTCTCCTTCGAAAGTATTAAATCTTTCCCTAGCATACCTATCGCATTCTGCGAGGTAGTGTCGGGCCGTTTCTTCTTTTGTTTCGCAGAAGCGGCAGAAGGGGTCTGGTAGAGTACCCATTATGAAGAGGTGTCTTCTCAAGGGGCAATGGCCCGTTAGGATACCTATCAGCCTCCTTATTCCCCTCCTAGAGTTAGAGAATAGCCATTTCGATTCNGTGACCCTGATTCTCAGAGTACTGTTACCTAAGCACATATTTACCATCCGACCCTCTAGGTATGTTTTCACCCATCCTATGAGGTGTTGGTGAACGTTATATTTATTTAGTGCTGCTATAATGCATGAGGTATCTGCATTATCAAACGCTCCTTGGATATCAAAGAAGCATCCTAAGGTGTACTCATTATTGTATAATGATTTCTCAATCCTTCCTACAAGTGTATGCAGAGCAGTTTCCACTGATCTTCCTGGTAAATAGGCATGCTGATTAGGATGTATCAAGGTATTGCTAACTTGCCTACTTGCTCCCTGTAATGGGCCAAGGCTTGGCACCGTTCGATCAGATGACACATTGAGCAACCTTTGTCTAAAAATGGGACACCTGCACGGGTTTTCACCCAAAAGCAGGTCAGACAGGTTAGCCTATCCTATCAGTTTAGCACAATCCTTTCCTTTTGCTTCAGGCAAGTTTTCTATTATGTCCCTAACTGTAATTTTAGAAAAAATTTGTTTTTCAAGTTGAAATCAAAAATGTAATATTGTAGGTTCTAAATTATGAGGCAAGGTATAACTTGCTCTTAATATCATTTTTTTTTAAATTAACTTACAAATAGTGCTTGGTTTGTGTGCACAATACATCTTTTGTTTGTACATGTTTGAAAGACGTTTCATCTTTAACCAATTTAATTTTATATCATATGTATTAAAATTTAATATATTAACTAATTTTGTTTAAGATTAATTTAAGACAGGTTTTTATAAATAAGTTTGGAAAATTTCTTACAATGCTTTAAGATATTGTAAGCAAATATGTGTTTTTGGCATTTTATTTAAAGGTGGTAATGGGTTGGTTTTCAAATGGGAAATGTACGAGCAAAGTAAGGTTGGATGGAAAAACAGCGGTTATTACAGGAGCCAATACTGGGATTGGAAAGAAAACTGCACTCGATCTTGCTAAAAGAGGTATTGTTGAAAATTTATTTAAAAGAACCTGTAAAACATAAAAAAGTGTTACAGGTGCGACAGTCATAATGGCATGCAGAAACATCGACAAAGCTAAAGAAGCGACAAAAGGAATAAAAAAGTGTGGAAATGAAAAGGTTATTGTTGAAAAACTCGACCTTTCTTCACTGCAGTCAGTCCAGGATTTTTGTACACGGATACAAAAAAATCACCAGAATATTCATCTGCTCATAAACAATGCTGGAGTTATAACTAAGTTAAGAGAATTGTCAGTTGACGGCTATGAAATGCATTTTGCCACAAATCACCTTGGACATTTTCTTCTCACACTACTCCTTCTGCCAACGATAATTGCTCCTCAACCTGCTAGAATTGTCAATGTTTCTTCCAAATTTCATATTTTTAGTAATTATATTGTATATGTTACAAGTTTTTATTTAATTAATCAGGAGGACTTTGAAATTTGCAGCTCGATCTTTACATTTTGATGATGTAAATTTGGAAAAGTCGTATCAAACACTGTTAGCTTATGCAAGGAGTAAGTTAGCTAATATTCTTTTCACTAGAGAATTAGCACACAGGCTAAAGGGTAATTTTGTATTTACAAAAATATAAAAATAAATAAATATTATACTTTAAAACATAATACAAAGTTAAACATTTCAGACACTGGTGTAAACGTTTATTGCTTACACCCAGGTGTGGTGCGCACTGAAATATCTCGCCATGTTGATAGTTCATTTTTTCGAGGTGCAAGATGGCTTTACCACACAGTCGGCTATCCATTCATGAAAAGCCCTAAACAGGGAGCACAGACGACACTTTATTGTGCACTAGATGAAAAGACAGCAAACAATACCGGGCTTTATTATGAGTCAGTTAACTTAATTGATTAAACAATTTTTGTGCTCTAGATATACTTTTTTTTTTTCAGTGATTGCAAAGTATCCTGCACATCAGCATTAGCGAAGAATGATGAGGTTGCAAAAGAGTTGTGGGAGGTGAGCGAAAAAATGGTCAATCTTGGCGATTTTGATCCATTTCTTTCATTGAAAAAATAATTAATAAAAAAAGCTTGCCACAGTTCAATTTATTCAAGAAACCTTAAAGTAGGAACCAACCAAAAAAGGAAGAGCTGGAGGATTTTTTTTTTCATCAAGAAATAATTGAATACACTGGAAAACTGCACATTCTCAAGATATATGACTCTGAAAATTGTACATTTGCCTCCTAATTATTATTGCATCCTTGTTGCATAATTATATAATAGTGTTAAGTATTGCAGCAAGTATAAACTGAAAGGGGAGGCTTAGAGTGAATTGCTACTTTGTTTAGATCAAAAGGCATCAAGAGAAATGCGTACAATTGTTCATACAATCAAAGTTCTTAGAGACTACGTTCAAAGTAAAGCAATTACACAGTGTGCAGCTTGAAAAGAGGAGAAATGAAAATACCAACCTACAGCTAGACATGGTATGATGGTGCATATATCAAACAGCCTACCATTGAACACCTCCAAAACACAACCAACGACCTTCAATCCTTTTAAAAAAAGATGGTTCCTACTCACATTAAGTTATAAATTGGGGGTTTCGGGTTCATTGGTAGTAGTTTTTTAACTGCATATTGGTCATCTGAGAATAAAAAATCACTATTTTTTATGGCTGTTTGAACTCTATTTTTTAATTTTAAGGTGGGATCTTTTTGTATTTCTTTACAGTCGTTATTTTTTAGGAATTCCTCAACTTTAGAAATGTAATTTTGATGTTGAAGGATAACTACACTATTACCTTTATCGGCTTTTAAAATAACGCTGTTGTTACTTTTTATCTTTTTATCAATAGACCTAATTGTACATGGGATATTTAATTTTTTTATGTTTAGATTTACCAAATTTTGTTTAATTATTTCAGCACATTTATATTTTATATTTGTATTTATGTTACAACAATCTACCGATGAACAAAGGGATAGTAGTTTTTTTATATCTAATTCTGTTTTAGGGACAAATTTTAAGCCTTTGTTTAATAGTTTTCTTCTTTATTTAGTACCATGTTTGTTGTTTATAACCCTTGGATAAAATTTAACTGGAGTTTTTGGATCTTTCTGGGTATTTTTATTTTTAAGTGTACCGTATTTAGGTTTTTAATTTTTAGAGTAGGAACCATCTTTTTTATAAAGGATTGAACTCCACACCCACCCCATCATTTATAATTTCTATATAACGACCTTCATGTTGTGCCATGTTGAGGATAATGAAGATCACAAACAACATGTGAAATTCCTAGGTGGATCCCGCTCTTAAATGAGATGAGCATTGCAAATTCATCAATGGGGGAAATCATTAAAAATAATTTCTTTCTCAAACATTAAAAGAGAATACTCTGTTTACGAGATTGATGGTGTCAGGCCACAACAAATTAAACTTTCAATATCCAATTGGTTTTATTACTGACCGGTTTCAACCCACTGGGTCATTCTCAAGGTCCTAAATCAACATTTCTGTCAGTTTTAAACATTTTTTTTTTTACAAAAACAGCAAATCTGTACTCACAAATAAATACAAGTATATAATCTTTAAACTACAAGGGGATTTATGAATATCTTGGTATCATCTGCAAAATAACTGTTTTCAAACTGACATAAAGAATTAATAGAATTGGACCCAAAACCAATCCTTGCAGAACTCTGCTAAGCACTGGATAGGAATTAGAATATGCTTGATCAACCTTGATTTTAAAACTTTCAGGGAGTTGTTTCTAGAAATTTAGGAAATTACCATGGATCTCAAGCACCTCCAGTTTGTTAATTAAGAGTCTGTGAGATATAAACACCCTGGAGAAATCAAGGTAGATAATAGTTGTAATATTTGAGTCCATGTTTTTTTGTCCAGAGGTTGTCATTTTTGTTGTGTTCTTCGAGACTAGCGACAGGATGTATTTCTTGGACTATGGTAGTAAACTAAAATTAAATGGCAAGATGCTATCATATAGATCTGTCATGCTTGAAATGATGTTCCAGTTATTAGTTATTTTTAAATTTACGCAAAAGTTGTTCATCAAGATCAAATTGTTCTTTTCTTTTAACTTGACATTTAGGTTTCAAAGTTTACGCCACCTGGCGCATCTATAGAGTGTTCTGCCATAATTTCGCTAGTATCGCTATTTTTATCAAGCCCTATTTATTTTAAATAATAATTATTATACTTTTTATTTGCGGTTATTAATTGTCGAATTGTTGTTTTTCGCAGGTTTTCTTCTCTATTTTTCGGCTAATTTGCATATTAAAATAGAATCAAGTCACATTTCGATTATCAGTATTTTTCTGGGTCGTACATCAAAGTCGAAGCACTATCATCGAATTAATTTTATGTTTTCAAATAGCAGTTTAAAACGGTTCTTACAACGGGCGTTGAATACTGAATTGATTGAAATTCTTTCTAAATTTCCCTAGAATAAATAGCTAATTGTTTTTTAAATTTGGCCGTCAGAACGTCAAGTAGCTCTCTCTAGTCTCTGTCATTTCAAGTTCATCTAGTGAGACTGTGAGAGACTGAGTGACTAGTTGTACGTCTGAATTCATTAAGGTCACATCAGTTTTTCCACTGAACGAAGCTCTAAAACTGAGCTGTTAGCAAAACATCAAATTTCCGAAGAATTCGATCGTTGGATGGCATCTCTTTGCATAACATTTAGTAAAAGGTTTAGCTAAGTAAGCGAATTCACAACGACTCTTGCAAATCTACGCCAGTAATTAAAAAAAAAAGTCAATACATGAACAATAGCACGCACTGCAAATAACAAAGTAACACAGTTAACAAAAACATTGTTTAATCATCAATAACTTTCTTTTAAATCAGTTTGGTGCATTGGAATCACTAATGAATTATATATTTTGGTTGAGAGACACCATAACCCAGATGTATCAAGTCAAACTGCAGTACTCTCTCTTGTGTCATTTTTTATATTAGAAGTGACACATGCATCTCTTTATAGTTTACCCAAATAAGGCCATAACTTATCAGCTTTGTTAGGTCGAGATATACCAGTAGTTTCATATTTTGTGATAATGCAGATATTAAAGAAGATAAAATGATCGAATATTGGTGGTGGTGCTTAATGAAATATTTAATTTAAATGATTAACTTTGTTACACCATGTTAACTAGTTAAAACAAAATGGTTTGGTAATAAAAGGGTTTTTATAGTGTTTTATTTTTTCATTCTACACAAATAAATTTATAATTTTTGTTATTATTAAGTGCCCAAGTAGACTCCTAGAAGAACAAACTTCCTTTGTAATTAACTATGAGTTTTTCTCATGACATTGAGCCTTGGTTACATAAGCATTCTCCTTATAAATATATCTTTATTCTCATTTAAATTAATTATGTAAAGATTAAAGCATTTATTAACTAATTTCACAATATTGCAGGCCATAGTCAACTTTTAGAATATTAATTTAAAGGGGAGGGCAGCCATAGGATTTTTGAACAAAGAGAAATATTTTCATGGGGGTAGGGCAGACCCCAGGATGAGATATTGGAGTTAAAACTTAAGACAGTTTTTTATAAGTAAGATAGAGTTGTTTCTTGTAATGTTTTACATAGGCATTTGTAAGCAGATTTGCAGTCAAATATGGGTTGGTTTACTAATGGGAAGTGTACTAGCAAAGTAAGGCTAGATGGAAAAACAGCGATTATTACAGGAGCCAATACTGGGATCGGAAAGGAAACTGCCCTCGATCTTGCAACAAGGGGTATTTGTTGAAAATTTATTTAAAAAAACCTGTAAAACATTAAAAAATGTTACAGGTGCGACAGTCATAATGGCGTGCAGAAACATCGACAAAGCTAAAGAAGCGGCAGAAGAAATAAAAAAGTGTGGAAATGAAAAGGTGATCATTGAAAAACTCGACCTTTCTTCGCTGCAGTCCGTCCGGGATTTTTGTACACGGGTACAGAAAAATCACCAGAATATTCATCTGCTCATAAACAATGCTGGAGTCATGGCTCAATTACGAGAATTGTCAGATGACGGATATGAAATGCAATTTGCCACAAATCACCTTGGACATTTCCTTCTCACACTCCTCCTTCTTCCAACGATAATTGCTTCTCAACCTGCTAGAATTGTCAATGTTTCTTCCAAAATTCATATTTTTAGTAATTATATTGTATTTGTTACGAGTTTTACCTAATTAATGTTGAGTATTTTGGTTTTTTCATTTTTTCAGGTCAATCATTACATTTTAATGATATAAATTTGGAAAAGTCATATGGACCATTATTAGCTTATTCAAGGAGTAAGTTAGCTAATATTCTTTTCACTAGAGAATTAGCACACAGGCTAAAGGGTAATTTTGTATTTTAAAAAATTGAAATATTTTACTTTAACAACAAATTATGATATTAAACATTCCAGACACTCTTGTAAATGTTTATTGCTTACACCCTGGTGTGGTGTACACTGAATTATCTCGTCATGTTGATAGTTCATTTTTTCGAGGTGCAAGATGGCTTTACAACACAGTCGGCTATCCATTCATGAAAAGCCCTAAACAGGGAGCACAGACGACACTTTATTGTGCAGTAGATGAAAAGACGGCAAACGAGACCGGGCTTTATTATGAGTCAGTTAACTTATTAATTAAACAACTTTTGTGCTTTATACATCCTTTTTTTCAGTGATTGCAAAGTATCCTGCACATCAGCATTAGCAAAGAATGATGAGGTTGCAAAAGAGTTGTGGGAGGTGAGCGTAAAAATGGTCAATCTTGGTGATTTTGATCCATTTCTTTCGTTGAACAAATAAATTTTTATAAACTTAAATAAATTGAAAGAATCGGGCATGAGGCCTTCAGAAAGAAAACACAATTTGACAGAGAGTAATGTTATTTTTTTTTCCTTGGGCCTCACACCCAATACTTTCTAGCCTACTAGATTTCATAATTGAAGGTAGATACTAACACATTCCAAACTATCAAATATATTTTATTTAATTGCTGTTGTTTTTTATTTTACCTTATTTATTTTTTTATTCATTAGTAATTTATTTTTGAATTACTGTTCTCTCTCACTCTCTCTCTCTCTCTCTCTCTCTCTCTCTCTCTCTCTCTCTCTCTCTCTCTCTTCTCTCTCTCTCTCTCCTTTCCTTTCAGGCCAGGTAGTTGCTAGGGCCATGCCAGCTCCTTGTGCTTTCTCCATATTGCATTTTATTATTTTTTTACATTACCTCTATCTTTAATGGTTAACCCTTCCACAAAAAATTAAAATGTAATAATAACTAAAATATAATTTATACTAAACTAGCCAACTAAAATATAATTTATACTATTAAAATGATTGTCTAACTGAGTTTGGCTCAACTGGCTGAGTTGGGACGCCGGCAAGGCATTTTCACCTTGACGCCCTCCCTTCATTCCAGCCAATAATTACATTCACCCATAGTAAAAATCATGCATTCACTATCCTAAGTTAAGACTGTGGCCCTTGAACACTGTTCCAAGGAGATTAAAAGGCTAGTTATTATAGACAGAAAAATAGCCGTTTACTAAGACAGTCAGATGGCACTGAGGGAAATTACCAATTATCGGTGGTAAAATTCAGTCATTTGGGATTGCATTAGGGCCTTGTCAGAAATTTGGGAAAACAACAAAATTACCCTTGCATGGGTAACAGAGCAGAGACAACATTAAAAATAAGTCCTCCATTCAATGGGACGGTATCCCAGGACTAAGGCATATGAAAAAGCTCATCAAAGGACAATGGCAGAACTAGTATTAAATCTGGGACGAGTTAGAACTGGAATAATAGTAGGACTGCTAACTGGGCAGTCCAGTGTCTTATAGACTCATAGTGGTAGAAACAAGTCTGTCGTTGACAACATTAATGTACTAAATACTTAAATTATATATATATATNATATAATATAAACTATAATTATTTTGTGATGGTATTATTTGCTGACAGAAAGGATAATAAAATTGTAAATCTGAAAAACAAATCTATCAGTGAAATTAATTTTATTTCTAGCCTTCTTTTAAAAGGGGCAAGTAGAGGGTAGAGCCAAAAGTACAATTAAAGCTATGAAAATTTCAGTGAACCTGTGTATAATTGATTGAACTCTTAAAGAAAAGTTGCCAGTAATTACAAAAAAAGGAGTGATTACAGTTCGCCATTTGTGAATAATTCGTTCAAATTGCCTGTTGTGGGTAGCTTCTTAAGAATGAAATAACCACGTCACTTTGTAACGATCAGTTTTCTTTAAACGTGAGAATGGGAAACTTTCTAAGTGCAAAATATGTCGGCAAGGAAAGGATTGATGGAAAATGCGTGGTAATAACTGGAGGAAACGAAGGCATTGGTAAATATACAGCACTCAATTTATGTAAACAAGGTAATTAAACATTTTAAGTAATTAAATTTGTATTTTATTTTAAAAAATATAGAAACAAATTAATTACACAGGTGGACATATAGTAATAGCTTGTAGAAGTGTACAAAAGGGAAAAGATGTAGCCAAATGGATAGAAGAAAAATTGCAACACAAAGAAAAACATGGAGATGTTAAAATTGTACAATTGGATCTGTCATCATTGACATCTGTTCGAGAATGCGCTGATAGTATACTTGAAACTGAAAAAAGGATAGATATTTTAATAAATAATGCTGGCAAGTAGTACTGTCCCAAAACATTAAAAAAATAAAATAAAATAAATAATACATTTTAGGCGTGATGTTCACACCCCATAAACTAAGCGAAGATGGCTATGAAATTCAGTTTGCTACAAACCACTTAGGCCATTTTCTGTTCACATTGTTGCTTTTGCCAAGGATACTTGCATCAAGGCCAGCTAGGATAATTAATCTTTCATCTGTAGCTCATTACTATTGTAAATATGTATAAATTTTTATTTATATATATTTTACAAATTTTTAAATTAAATTTAAAAAATATATATAAATTTTTAAACAAAATGTATGATTTTATTTCAATTGACCTTCTTTAGGTAAATCTATGGAGTATGAAGATCTTAATATGGTTGATGATTATTCTCCATTTAGAGCCTATACAAGATCAAAAGCTGCAAATGTTCTTTTCACTACAGAGTTAGCCAACAGATTAAAGGGTATGCTTTTAGAAATGTTTCATTTTCAATAAAAGCTGAGAAATTATGTTGTGAAACTAAAATTTTTAATTATATACTTAACATATTTTTGTATACAATATTGTGCCAATTCATTTCATAAGGACGCGGTGTCAACGTATACGCAGTCCATCCAGGGATAGTGCAGACTCGTCTTTGGAAACATTCAAGTGATACAATTTGCCCTGGAGTGACATTCATAATGGATAATCTTGGGTTTCTTTTTGGGAAAACTCCTGCCCAAGGAGCGCAGACTACACTTTATTGCGCCTTAAGTGAAGAAGTAGATTCTGAATCCGGATTTTACTATGAGTATGGTTTGAGTAAATTTAAAATAACAATAATGTTAAAATGCGAACTTGATTGATTTCAGTAACTGTAGAAAGAAGGCGCCGTCGGAGTTTGTCCTCAACCGAGATGAAGCTGAATTACTTTTTGTAAAAAGTTCTGAATACGTCAATCTTTCTTCAGATCCATATGATCCATTCACACCTGACAGTTTTCAGGAGCAAATGAATCGAATAGAAGAATAATCAATTATAAATTCAAAGACCTATAATGTACAAAAAAATAAATCAAAACTTCATTGAAATCCTATAAAAAAGTAAAATGTAACAACATAATAATAAGATGATAAAAAAATCACCGTATATTTAATTAAACATTCTATATTCATATAGAAAAAAAGTAATAAAATTTTTAAAAAATCATTAAAAAAAGTGAAATTTATAATATTACATAACAAAATTTTAAGCTTAGTATTTCTTTCCTTCTCACCCTACATTTCAATTCAAAATTTAAATGTATTCCATATGCTGCGAAGGAGAGAGAAAAAAAAGAAATGTTGGATGCCCAAACGGCGATGCCAAAAAAAAAAATTAAATGTATAAATTTTTTATTATTATAAAATATATTGAAATAACAGATGGATAAATATAGCACACCACTCAATGTATTTAGTTTAAAATTAACTCTATTATCTTTCTACATTAGTTACCAGTAATTAGGCGCTATCATAATAGTCAAAATTATGTTTTGTTTACTCCCTTTATTCTCTTTTTTACTGTGTACTGCTATTTGCCCAAAAAGTAACATTATTCCCTTCCTTTCTGCTACGGATAAAGATCGCTTTCATTTAATTTTTTTCATTCGTTGATTTCATTGGTCATTATTTTTATTGTTAAATATTTTTAAATGGCTCCAGTCAGGCAATTGAGTGAGTATGACAGTAACAGGGTCATAACATTATTAGATGAAGGATGCGGCTAGTGTGATGGTGCCAGGGACTGAGTATAAATCACTCTACAATAGAAAAGGTTCCTCCAATTCAGAGAAATAGGGCTTCACATTAGAAAGCCAGATCAGGGTCAACCTAAGACTACAGATGGGAGAGAGGATAGTTTCATCCATCATCAGGTGGGTCACTGATATTCTGGGGTGGCATTTCCTTGGATGCCTGCACCAAATTGGCTGTTGTGAGAGGAAGATCTCTAATTTCGTAGAGGTACTTAAAGAGCATGTAGTGCCATTTACCACCACCATCGGTAATAGATTCTTGCTAATTAATTAAGGTTTTTAGTTGAGGCAAAAAAAGTCAATGTCACGAGCAGGATTCGAACCCACAACTTTCAGCTAGATACGCCGCTACTCTACCTGAGCTATCGTCACTTCATTCCACTTAGACACTAACTTCTTATCTCAACCCCACCTTTTGAATTTTCCCTCCTTAATTAATTGAAAGATATTAATAACTATATAAATAAGCGGACCACAAAAACTAGTGAATTCTTGCTAATGTACGATGCCAGGCCCCATAGAGTACATATTATGGATGAGGTTGGAATTGAGTGCTTGGTGTGGCCAACTCAAAGTCCAGATTGGAATCTAATCTAGCACATTTGGGACCAATTTAAACCAATGGCAAAACCCAGGTCTTAACACCCTAGAAGAGTTGGAAACGGCTGTTCTTGATGAATGGGAAAAGATTCCTCAGGGTTTTACCAGAAATCTTTTTAGAGGTATGTAAAGGTATTTAATGGAGAAGTGATTCATGCCAGAGGTGAAAATAGATTTAAAAATTGATTTTTTTCCTATCTTATTTCTACAAACGAAACCTATTTTTGGTATACAAAATATGAATAAACCCAAATAAATTAAAATTTAACGGTGGTGTGTCAATTTTGTCCATAAGTGTGTACTGTTTTTTTCTTTCTTTCTCATTCACTCATTCTCTCTCTTTTCTTTTATTCTCTCAAACACTCTACCTCATTCACTATCTCTCATTCATTCTTTCTCACTCTTTCTTTTTCTCTCTCACCCACTCTCCCACATTTACTATCTCTCACTCACTTTTCTCTCTCCCTCACTCTACCTCATTCACTCACTCTCTATCTTTTCTTTTATTCTTAATTATATAATTACTCAATTAATTATACACATTTTTTTAAATGAAAAATTTGTGTCAGGCAGCATTCGAACCCACAACTTTCAGCTAAATTCACTGCTGCTCTATCACTTGAATTACCATGACTTCTTTTGCCCATGCCACAAACTTCCCATTTTGACTCTTATTCTCTCAAACACTCTACCTCATTAATTATCTCTCATTCATTCTTCTTTTGTTCTTCTCTCTATCACGCTCTCCCACATCCACTATTTCTCACTCTACCTCATCATTCACTCTCTCTTTCTGTCTTTTATTTTTCTCTCTCACATATTCTCCCTCATTCACTATCTCTCACTCACTGTTTCTCTCCACCTCCCACCACTACTGTTTCATTTGTTTCTTTTAACATTCTAAATTTTTTTCCAGTTCTCAGTACTGGTATGTTCAGAGTACCAAAGTTCTGATTAAGGTTACCAGAATTTAATTGTAATTAAAGTAGTTTATTAAAGTTGTGCAAAATAGTCAAATTTATTTATTTGTATTTTATTTATTGCTTATTGGTATTGTTATTGACTTTGATTTGAACCTTGGTTCATTGACTTTCCAGTATTCGAAAATGCTGTTTTTATTTTATAGTTGCTTGTTATCCTTGTATAGTTGTAACTTTGTAAGTGTATACATTTTACAATAAGTTTTTATGTTCAATTACAATAATAAAGTAGATTTTTAGTTTGTCTGTTCAAATTTCATAGGTATTTTTAAACGTTAAACTGTGCCGATTGTAGCGCTTCAATCGGAAACATTATAGACACTGAAGTGTCTATGTATGAACCTCTCCTTTACTCCACTAAAGTCAAAACATTGAAAATTAAACAAACTTCAAACGAGTAAACAAGGTGTTTTCTTATAATGCGGCTATGGATTTAGAAGAATCTGTGCCGGTCGAAAAGCCAGAAGCTGAGAAAGTTCGTTTCACCCACAATGAGCTTCTGGAAATCACGAATAAAACTCTAAGCGATTTAATATCCTGCGATTCTCTCATAAAAGACCTTCCACACGACCCAACTTTGGACGAGATAAACGCACAGCTCGCCCTTCACCACGGCCAGTCCATAACTGTCATCGTGAAAAAGGACAACAACGAGAAACTTCCTATTGTCGTAAGACATAATTAAAACAAAAACGAACTTTTCGCCAATTTTTTATTATATATTTCTCTGGTCTTTCAGGTGCATCACGGTGCTACTGTTTCCGATTTGAAAAAAGCGATTAGACGTTATGTGGCCCTGTCTTTAAGAAGAAAAGGTGATAATACGAAAATCTCCTGGAAGTACGTATGGAAGGAGAACAACTTGAAATCAGGTTCAGTGATTTTAGAAGAAGACAGAGCTAAACTCAACGACTGTGGTATTGTCAACGGAAGTAAAGTCACATTTGTAAAAAGATTCAGACAAAAGAATTCGATAAAATATTCAAAATCTAAAAGGGTTAATTATTAGTAGCTTTATAGTTGTTTTTTAAAATAATAAATTATATTTTCATGGCTGTCATTTCATTTCTTCCCACCACTCTTTTTATTTATTACTGTTATATTATTTACATTAAATTTTTTGAAGTAGTGAGGAGGATCAGGAATGGAGTACAGTAATCCGTTAACATTTGCAGGTGCTTGGTAACACTGCCGTGAATGTTAAATCTGCAAATGTTGAGTCTATTTTCCTATGCTATAAGGAGGGTTACATTCCATGACGAAAATTGGATACAATTTAAAACTATAAAAATAAGTTTATTCAAAATAATGTCATAGAAGACATAACAGTGTTTCAACATGTTAATTGTTTTCATTTCTTATATTTTTTGATGTGCAAGGAAAGAAATAAATATTAATTGTTTGCTTTTTCGCTGAATAATTAATTTCTTTAAGAATTTCCACATAAGGATTTGATCAGCCTCGATATCCCTTTTAAACTTAAAACTTCGATTTAAAGATGGGTCAAAATCCACTGCTTTTTTTGTAAATAGGTCCCTCAAGGCTAAAATTTCCCTGGGCTCTTTTGAAGAAAAGCTTTGGCCTTCATAAAAAATTTAAAAATGTGTCCAAAATTTTCATTCTTTCACCAAGGGTTGAGATGGGTTTTTTTTTTTTCTGTTTTAGAAGAGGAGGCATTTTGTGACACGAGAAAATAAAACAAACTGAGAAGAAAGAAGGAACAGTATGTCGAAAGCAGGCAAACGTTTCCTGAGAATCATAATTGATGATCTAATGAACCACCAATCCATTTTTTTAAAGAATTATTTTACAAAAATAAAATTGTTTACGCAAGAAATCGAACTTTTGCAAATGTGTGAAAACTTTCCCAATTTTTTCATACGAAAAGTGAAAACTGCAAATGTCAAAACCACGAGTGTTAAGGGATTACTGTATTTTAGAAAAACATCTTTTTTCATGTTTTTTGTCATCATTTCGACCTTTATTCGGGTCAACTTCAGGGCCTGGGCGAAAAAGGTCGAAGAGAGCTTGAATAGTGTCAAGGGTTTAAAGCAGACACACTGGCCAGATGAGGATATGCAAGCCTACAGTCCCTGAACCTACATTTGGGATAACAAAAACAAATACAGAATCATAAAATAGAAGCAAATACAACAAAAAGAAAAGTGGATAAAACAAATATTGTTATTATTATTATTAGTTATAAAGAATGATTTAATTGTATCAATTTTCCCACAAAATCGTTATCATTCAAATAGTGATAAGGTTGGAAGAAGGATATGTTGTTGTTATTACTCAAGGCCGACAAGTGGCGTTCATAACATGATTGTCATTGATATTTTATTCATTTATTAGTTTATACAAAAGAAAATGTCGTTACTTGTGGGTGAATTATTTATAAGAAGTACGTTTCCATAAATTGTGATGTTGAATTTTGTTTCATAGATGGAATTCGCTGTTAAGATGACCTGCCAGTCTTGTGTGAAAAAGGTCGAAGAGAGCTTGACCGGTGTCGAGGGTTTAAATATAATTGATTTGTCATTGGAGAAAGGGACGGTCTTGGTTGAAACAAGCTTGCCGTCATCTGTCGTTCAAGAAAGAATAGAATCGAGTGGAAAAGTAGCCGTTTTAAAAGGATACGGCTCCCAGTCTCAGAAAGGTTTGTTGCCCGTATCGTTCAGTATAGCCTTCTTATAAATAAGTTTGTAGATGGTGTACCTAAGGCGGTGACCGATAGCGTGACGGCTGCTGTTGCTATGCTCGGCGGAACCATCGGCTACGGCCTTGGAGTAAAAGGTGTCGTCCGGTTTGTCCAGAGGGGCGATGATTGTGTGATTGACGGCACTGTCGACGGGCTCAGCCCAGGGTATCACGGTCTTCACATTCACGAATGTGGTGATATAACTGAGGGTTGCAATAGGTAATGCAATAGCATAAGTATAAATTTGTACATTGTCTATCATATAATTTTTACAGTGTCGGGCAACATTTTGACCTTAATGGTGGAATCCATGGAGGACCAGACGATACACGAGAATACAGAGTAATAAATTACATTATAATATACACAAAATCTTGCATGAACACTTTCGTCTGGCTGCAAAATTGACAACATAAATCATTTAACACAATGATACAATTTTAAATAAACATTTAGCTTAAGTTATTAACAACAACAGATAAAATCATTTAAACTTTACATTTAGTGATTATTTAGAGATCGTGAGATGCGATCTGGTGTGATGTAGGTTTAGCAAAACTTTATCGTTTTCTTTATCGTTTCGATCTTTATTGAGATCATCTTCAGGACCTGGGATTTATAAACATTGTTTAAATTATACAAATATTTGTAAGGTGTGAAAATGAATTTATGATGTACATAATATAGAAATTTTAGGTTTAATCAAAGTATTTATACTCAAAGTGTGTGTTTTCTGTGTATGTGTCATGGTTGTGTGCTGTTAGTGAGATATTAATGTTTTGTTTGTTTATATATGTTTGATTTTGAAGGAGTGGGGAAGGAAGTTGGGATAGAAATTCATTTTTTTTTATGAGGAGTCGGCTTTTTTGAGGTGAAAGGGATCGACAATGGAAAAAAAGGTAATGGTTTGTACAAACTTTTTGTATAAACACCACACATTTAATTTAGTATGTAAGTTTTGTTTTATTTTTTTATATAAATAGAACTACAAATTGTAGACATTTTCAGTTTCATTAACATTCATGTACAGTACATTGAATATTAGATCAGCTATAAATACATATACTGTATGAATACATCCCTTCTTATCCAGGGGGTTCATTCCCAAATGTTCCACATATGACAAAAACCGTGGATAGCAAACTTTAGGGGCAGCAGGGGGCGTTGACACGGTGACTTCATTGTATTAGTATAGGTCGCAGGTTTGGATTCAAACTTACTTACAAATGGGCTTTTTTTCCAAAACGAAAACAAAAAATAGAAACCTTGCACACGTACACAGCCATTTGAGATGTATAGAAATTATATAGAAATTGGTCCCAACCTCCAGTCTTAACCACTGCAATCCGGCCCTCTAATATTAAAAATACATTTTTAAAAAAACATGATTAGATGAAAGTGGCAGTATTGTTGGGCCAGAACTCGAGACTACTTAATTGAAGAGTGCAATTCCTTGGCTGTATATAGAGAGCGCTTAAGAATGCCACCTGATATGCGAATCATGCTTGTGCATAGCAGCATGTAGTATGGCGTACTGATATTTTTGTGTCCTCTAGTGTGTGTGTGTTGAGATTGAATGTGTTTTATTAGCAAGAATATGTAGTGTCAGAGGGCTGGTGGTTGAATATTGAGTAGTTATGTGTGTTGAGGGTGGTAGTGGAATATGAAGTAAACCACCGCCCTGAGTAAATGGTATGTAAATAGGAATAATGTTCAGTAGAGTCTAATTATCTGTGGGACTCATCTGCAGTTGCCCCCCCCCCCAGTTGTTTTTTTAATGCCCATAATAATTTTTTGCCTAATTTCCTCCACCATTCTTGCCTTTCTAAGTGACTGTATTGCATCCAAAGCTTGATAGTCACAGAGGACAGGTTTTAACATCATTTCTCATTTTCAAAGTCAGCAACTAATGTCTCAGGTATGCCATTTTTTAAAATTATTATTATTATTTTTTATGTATTTTTTTTTATTGTGACTTTTTTTCAATTGTTTACCATACACTCTTATTATAAAAGAAAGGGATGATGATGATACACAAGGTTGATCATACACAACCTAATGTTAGTTAATGCAAACTTTAAGCTTATACCTTTATCTCAACTAAAAACCTTAATTGGTCTAGCGGACCACAAAAACTAGTGAATTTAATAAGTTAAAATGAAGTATATCTTCACTAAAGCTCTCCGTGGCCATTTCATTTGTTGCCGAGATTCAAATAGATTACACGACATTTGAATAATGGCAAAACGGAGGGAAAATTCAAAAGGTTGGGTTGAGATGGGAAGTTAGTGCCTGAGTGGATCGAAGTCACAATAGCTCAAGTGGCAGAGTATCGGCGTATCTAGCCGAAGGTCATGGGTTCAAATCCTGCTCGTGACACTGCCTTTTTTATCTAAACTAAAAACCTTAATTAATTGAAAGATATTAATTGCTCAAGCGGACCACAAAAACTAGTGAACTTATACTTACTCTGAACTGTTAGGCCACATCTATCATACCGAGTTCAAATTTCGACTTTTGGAATTTTTGAAAATAATAATATAAAAAAAATTGGTCATAATAACTACACCAGCACCTAATATTCCAATTCAGTTACAAAAATAGTTCAAATATAAAGAAAATATTTTAAAATAAATTAAATTCTTATTTCCAGCACACTGGTGACTTAGGAAACATAACTGCTGGCAAAGATGGAAGGGCTGTTTTCCGCATTACAGACAAATTTGTTAAAGTGTGGGACATCATTGGGCGTAGTATCGTCGTGACCAGCAGAGAAGATGATTTGGGAAAAGGGAAAAGTGAAATGTCTCCGATTGACGGCAACTCTGGCGAAAGGTGAAAAATCTGTAGATGATTAAAGCATACATTCGTATTGCTGGTTTAAATTTCAAATTGTTATGTTTAGACTGGCCTGTGGGATTATATCGAGGTCTGCCGGTCTTTTTGAAAACGACAAAAAGATATGCGCTTGCGACGGTGTGACCATTTGGGATGAGAGAAACCGACCATTGGCTGGACCAGGGCGTAAAGTACAAAATGGAAACAGCCTCATTCAAAATGAAGATAAAAAAACTTGTACCACACAATAAACCATTTAATCATAAGTCTTCATTTTATCAATGTTATTTATGATTATTCAGAAATCGTGAGATGCGGTCTGGTGGTGACCGACGATTTCTGAATAATTATCAATTAACGGTCACTAATCACCACACATTATTTATGATTTTAGACTTTAGTAAAAACGGGTATAAAGATCAAATTTAAAATAAATTAAGATTATTCTTAACTTCTTGTCACATTTTCTGCAAATTGTTGAATGGATAATAATCAGAGATGACCAGACAAAAGGTTTCCTTGTATGTACAAATTTATTTATAAAAAAATATGTGGAAAAAATTGAAAAATTAAGTTTGTCCAATTGTTGAGAAAGAACAATTTTAAATAAAGTATTTTCATTAATAATTTTACTCAATAAAATTAAAGATCCTTTATCAACTCAATTTATTTTCGTTATTATAAATCTTGGATAAAAAAAGCAAATCAAACAAAAATAATATATGTAGATATATCTGGCGAGCTCCTTGATAAATGTTACAGTTAGTATAGAGTAAGTATTAAACATGAAAGAGGGGTGAGTATGCAGATTCAATTAACAAATCCTTTAGTAGAACCATCATTTACAAAAGTGTAGGAAGGATGGCCTATCAGGGACTACTCTTCAGTAAATAAGGATTGGAAAACATTTCAGCATAAATAGACAATTTGTAAAAATGCAATATCCGATAATAATGATTGAATGGATAACCAAGATTCTAGTTTAAAAAAATTTCTCATATGCTTAACATGTTTACTGTAGGATGCACCAGTGAGGGATGATCAATGGGTTGGTACCACTCAGATAAACTTCAAATGACACAGGACCCACAGTGAATGTAAGTTGTACACAGTGGATGAGATTGAGATTTGAGCCCAGAACAACCAGTATGGGATATATGATATATGAACCCCCTAACAACTCTGAACAATGTATGTAGCTTAAAGTTTGCATTAATTTGGGTCTGAAATGTTCTAGTTTTGTATTAATGCGCCTGCACGTATCAGGTCAACTGTCTTTTTTCTGGGTGTGAGAGATGTTCGGTCTTTGTTCTCCCATTTATACGGTTTTAACTCTTCCTCTGCTTCATGCGCATCTCAATTTTGTTCGAAATGCCTAGGGTCGCATCAGAAAAGGGCAAATGTGTCACTAGCAACTGTCATTTCAATTTTTTTTTCAACTGGAAGTGATTTTTTAAAATTTATTTTATGAAAACCATATAATTTACTTTTCAGTGTGTGTGTTATTTTAATTATTTATCAATTTTGTACGGTTATGATTTTTTAAATTTTTATTTTACGTTATGACCTTATCTTTCAATATTAGCCAGAGAGAATTGGTGAATGTGATGAATTAATCTTGGAGGAAGGGTAGCATGAAAAAGACCAGGGGCAACGGTGTATTGAACCCATGCCCCCAGAGTTTTAAGCCTAGTAAGCACTGGGATTCTTTGTTTGGACTCTTTTGTCTCAGAGCTTTGTCTGGGATTCATTTTCTTGACAATGTATCATGAATCTGGTGTGTTGCGTTTAAGTATTTTTTGAATCCCAAGTTAAATGGGATGTTGTGCGACATGAAGACAGTACAGATACAATTTCCAGAGCGACAATGTTGCGGGGCAAAGAGGATGCAACATGTTTCCAACAGTCTGCGACAAAGAGCCCGAACATAAAATCCTTGTTTGTACTAGGCTTAACAGGCTGACCACTTCTCTACCAAGGTCCCCAGGGGTTGCCTACTTCATTTACTTAACACTGCTTAAATAAACGCAATAAAAAAAAAAAAATTCATTGTTTTTAAGTACCTGAGAACTATTTTATATGATAAATTGTGTTCAGCTATAGGCAACGAGGTGTAGGTCACGGTCAGCATGTTAAGTACCCCATAGATCATTAATGTACATTACAATTAAGTACACTGAATACTTGGCCACCTCATTTTTCTCAAACTGTTTACAGCTGAAAAAAATCATAACCCATTCATTCAATCACAAAAGTCTATAATTTATTTACAAGTATGGCAATGTTTATATACTTTATTTTATAAATTTGAAAAATTGAAATAGGTTTAATGTTAGAATTATTTTTTCTATTTGCTTATTTTGTAAAGTGTATCATAGGTATGTTTTTTTCTCTGTTAAATACAATGTAATTTTCTCAATATTAAAATCATTTACAATAATTTAAATACGATCAACAACAATTCGATTGCAAGCATTATGAATCAAGCACTATGTTGTAAGCATCAAATTTAAACATTTCACAGCACAATTCCTTGATGAATTACAATTCAGTATGCCAATGCTTCTTTTTTAAACTGAGCAAAACATAGTTTTTAATATTTTTGCATCCATTCCTTGAAAAAGTTTGAATGTCTTCGGGCTGGAAGTCTAAATTGGACAACACTTCTCTAAAAAAAAAAAAAGTTAAAAAAACTTTCAACAAAAATTGCAAAATGTATAATAATTGTATATATATCAAATCAATAAAATAATGTGATTTGATGTATGAGATATCTAGTAGGTTTAAGTTAAAATTAAATTCTATAACTAAATTAAAAAAAAAAAAAAGAGATTCCTCTTCAATCAAGGTCTGTAAAACTTTTAAAAGTAAACTTTAAACTTTTAGTTTAGTACTCTGGTCTGCCTATATTCTCAACTATTACTAAGATTTGTCAAAGACCTTTTGACACTTTATTATGTTGTTATTCAGTCAGCCATGTCCTACTGACATATTTCAAATGCTACAAATCAACTTCATAATCGCAACAATCAAAACTACATATTCATCTCCTTCCAGACTTCATAATACAACAAATACCCACTCGATTTGTTCATCCGTTATGTCTTCACCCTGCTTTGAAGCTTCCACTCTTATGCATTGTATCACATGACTTTTTTCAAGTGGTAAAAAAGGAACAAATAGGTCAATTAAAGATGATGTGATCAATTCGCTATTCTTCAGTGCACCTGGAATTTCAAGGCGTCAATTACTAATGCAAAATAATAATAAAAGTAATTAAAAAGACGAACCTTCCGCATTATAAACTTCCCTTACTAAATCTTGAAAATCGTTCAGCTTGAATTCATGCCTCGGTATTTGTTGGGTCCACAGTTCAAAAGTCTTTTTGTTTATTACTTCCATCCCTGAGTTAGATAAAAATATGAACATTGCATTCCTGTAATTTGTGCAATTGTATTAAAAATGTTGTCAGAGTCTATAGTTAAAATATAATTACAAACACCTACCGATAACCAGTTTCATAAATGAAAGGATTATAATCAATAAACATTTTGATTGCATCTAAAATTCTTGGAGGGAATTTTTCTAATTCATCGAAAATAAACACTGATGTTGGACACAAGTCAACACCATCTTTGACAGCTTTCAACAAATCTTCCTAACAATATATTAAGAATGAACCATATTATAATTAATAATCCATAATTCTTACAGTGTGTTTAGAAGATTTTGAATGTTTTGTGAAGTGAATTCTCCCATTGAAATAATGGACGTAACGGCTCGCTAGACCATTTTTGTACAAGTGCTCAACCAATATCTTCACTACGTAATTCTTGCCTGTTCCTTGGCTTCCATGAAAACTCATCACGAGTGCTTTGTCATGGTACATGTTGGCTCGACGGTGCGAAATCAGCAACGGCAATACGGCCTGGCTCACAAACGGCTGGCCAAAAACGAGTGAACTTAAATTAGTTCGTAAAGCTGAAAAATAACATTTCAGTGCTATTAGTAAACCCTGGTACTGATGCTATTGCTATTCGACACACTTATCATCACTGACTGTCTCTCTTGAGAAAAACAAAACGTCCCATACAAAAGCTAAATGTTTGTGAACATCGCCAAAAATTCTGTGCATGCTAGATTGTCTTGACAGACAGATAAACCATGGTGTATAAAACAAAAATCATTTACCACTCTCTTTAAGGTTTGAAGTAAAAAAATCAGAACATCTTTCAGAACCCAACTTGTCATAAGCATAGTCTAATAGTCCTGTCAACATCCAATTTCCAAAAGTTCGGCCGAAAAAACAGCTGTACATTATTAACAACGAACAATAAACCCACTTGAAAATCATTATTGAAATAATGGGGCATAATAGAGTTTACAAGTAGCATTAACGTCAAATTTATCTATGATTTAGTCAAAAGGAGAAGGGCAAACTGATGAGAAACCATCTCAAATCTCAACAGACAATACAGCGTGCCACTACGACTACGGCACTACACAGTACACACTACACAGTACACTTCCAGTTTCCAGTTTAGTTGTTGGCTGTTGCTACTAGTTGATTACCACTCCACTCCATCGCTAACCGTCACTACTGATAGTGAAGTCCTGATAAAATCTATTTTTAAATTCAATAAATGTACTTTTTCGCTGGAAAAACACGAGGTCTCAAAAGGAAGGAAATAGCATGTCTATTCGAAAAAGGACTTTGTTTTAATTATTATTTATCCGATATTGACTACTCAAGTCAATCAAATTTTAAAGAACTTTTGATGTGATATAAGTCCCATCATTTTATCAAGTACTGCTTACACTCTAGAGCTTAATTTCTATATCTGACAAGCAATGACCAATTGTTTGTATGATTCAGTATATCTACATTCCGACTTTATTAGCTCACATAAAAAAAATGTATGACATTCAGAATTGTAAATTTACCAGAAAATGAAAATGGTCCTTCTTGTTACCCATGGAGGACAATTTTCCATCCCAAAATTCCAGGATTTTGATTCAAACGTAAAACTAAAATTCAACTTTATATTAACATAATAGTTGTTAAGCCCTAATGTGCATTTGAGAAGATTTTACTTAAACAAATATCCTTATTTATTGACTACTGTGTCCTTTTATTCCCTTTTCAATCTGGCCTCCAAAAATTTCATAGCTGTGAGTCAGCCTTTCTCAAATATTCAGATGATATTCGCCTAGGCATTGATAATAAGTTACTGTTATTGTTCTACTTGATTTTTCCAATGAATTTCGTTCCGTAAATCATAATTTGCATATTTGCAAACTACACGCATCTTTTTGGTTTTTCTTCTACTGCTACTAATCTCATTTCCTTCTATCTGTGTGACATTACTCAGAGAATTAAAGCTTCAAATTCTATCTCTCAATTTCAGCTGGTGAGTACACCTTGGAGTACCAAGGCTCTATTCTTGAGGCTTTACTCTTTTCCATGTTTCTAAATGATCTTCCATTAGTTCTTAATTTCTCCCTATTTCATATTTATGCTGATGGCACTCAGCTTTACATTCAATGCTCTACAGGCAACATCTATGAAGCTATCTCCCTGCTCAACCGTGATCTTCATTCTCTCAATCAATGGTCAAATAATAACAGCATTCTTTTAAACCATCCCTTAACAAATCCCTGTCCTTATTAATTTCCAATAAATCATTAGTACAGATTGTCTATTCCCTCATCATATCAACAGCTCCCTTATTAATTTTTGTCCTAAAGTTAAAAATCTCAGTGTTATTTTTAACTCCAAGCTACATGGCATGATCAGGTGAGCTCTATGATCAAGTCTCCATTCATTCTCATTGCCTTAGCTTTTACACTCCACAGAAAATTAGAGTTCTTCTTATTAAATCCCTAATAATTCCTTTATTCTCTTACTGTAACACTATTTTTTCACTTTCCTTAGACTTTCCATGTGCTCATCTCCTTCGAATTGCTTATCATTCCTGCATTAGTTACTATTATGATATTAAACCAAGGGATCATATTTCATCCTGTATTGTCTTCTTCGACCTTAACATTCTAAACACTTATAAACTTAGAGTTTTAATACATACATTTAAAATTAAATCAAATAAATATCCTCAATATCTATTTTATACTAAAATATCTATTTTCCCCTCATTCCTTATCCAAATGCACCAATCTTATCCCAAGCGTTCAACATTCCCCTAAACTTTTAGCCTTACCCTTCAGAATTACAGGGTCAAGACTTGGAATTTGCTTCCCAGGGAAGTACGTTCTGCTTCCTCACTGGCATGTTTCAGATCCATGGCAGCAAAACGACATGAATAATTTCCTGTTCTTCCCTCTACCTTTTCTTTTTTCTTTCTCTTTCTCCTTTTCTTCAATAACGTGGTTTCATCATTTGATTATAAATAATTAATATTTTAAAGAATATATTATTGTCATTATTGTTTTGTATATTTTATTATTACTATTGCTGTTATTATTTGACTATGTCTATAAAACTTAATTTATTTGTAATTTCTACATGAAAGGGGGCCCTTGAAGTACCTTTAAAATAAATAATTTTTTATTGTATAATTTTTAAACAAATTTTCCCTATCAACAAATGTTTTTAATTTACCCAGGCCTTGAAAATCACCCAAATAAAGATCCAAATGACGTTAATCAAATGAAAAAGATGGTTTTCTGAAATACACCTATCCTGACCGTACCTCACTACTTCAATCATTGATTGAACCAGCAGTCGCAAAACAACACATATTTTAAATTTTGATGATATTGGTATTTCATTTTCGAGAAAAAAAGTTGATAAAATAGAATTTATGCCAAATGTTGTCTGGACAGAGTATATGCCACTTTGGATATATAAATTATATCCAAAAAATTCTAGCATGTAAAACCATTAATAGTTATTGTTTTCCCTTCTAGATTTTTACAAAAATGTCCTTATTTTTATAGACGACATCTGATGAAAACAAATTTTAATTGATTTTGTTTTATTTTTTAAACAAATTTATTTAGTAATAGTGTAATACGATATATGTACAAAGATGCAATTATAAAAACTCAGTAGGTTCATAGCAAGAGACCATATTTGTTAGTTGTTCCGCATCAGTTTCCAAATCCATCATTTTAAGTCCCATCTTGTCCAATTTGGGCACCGCTCTTTTCATAAAGTTCTCGTTCAGATTAATCTCCTTCAAGAGACTGGCAATTTCCCTCGTCTGTTGCAGACCAGCGATAACTTCCATGCTGCGAAGATTCCCATAGTAAACACCGTCTGGGGCCTTCTCCGGTATTTTGTAAGAACAATTCTGCACCTGCTTGAATATGTCTGGGAAGTTCTTAGGCAGACGGAATTTTTCATTTATAGGAGTGGCAAGAGTCTTGGTCCGATTCAACAGCGTGTAGAAGTAATATTCAAATATTTCTTTATTTTTAGTAAAGCTCAGTACGGGATTGATATCCTGAAGCATCTTTTTATCTGACTCCCTTATCAATAAAGGGATGTTAAATTTTGCAGTGATCCACTGCACATCGAGAAAACTATTATCACATTGAAGTATAGGAGTGAGAGGTGTAAACTGTCCCTTCCAGTTCATCAGTTCGTCGTAGAGGTAGCCTGAACGGTTTAATGTCCAAGGGACATGAATGACAGTCGAAAGAACGCTCCGACCATAAATGTTTAAATTCTTTGTTAAACTGTCTAATTTCACAGACCTATCTCTTATGCGATATGGTAGAGTGATCATTTCTAAACCTACAGCCTGAAGACTACTTGTGTTAAAACAGTCCTCTTTGAAATTTAACAAATGGAATTTTCTAGTAGATAGTTGATAAGGATTGAAATCCGTTCCAAGAGGGACGACTAGATCACACAACTCTGTACACTTGGAAAAAGAGTGTGCAGCATTGAGTCTCTCAGAAAAGTAAGCGGACTGATCTTTGTCACCGATGTTGTTAAACAAAGGGCAAGATAATATGGTTTTTTTGCCGTATTCATCTCGCAGGTGTTGCAAACAGCCAGAAGACACCCCGGAGAAAAGGGTCTGTGAGTCGATCAGGACATGAAAGCCTTGAAGGTTGTCACAGTCTTCCAGATGATATCTGATGTCATCGACGATAGACTCTTCAAAATCGCTTCTACTCCAGATATCAGCGCCATATGAGTAGAGCCCGTCTTTTAAAACATTTTCTGGAAGAAGAAGAGAATCGATAATATGGTATGTTCTGTGATTGACTGGAACTGATATGAAGTCAGTCCAGTATTTGACCTTATCGCTGATGTCTTCATAGGAGGCCAAAGGGTTGGTGCTCAATGGCGTCGTCCTCGCCTCCTGTCGTTTGTCCAGGACGTCGACGACCGCGTCTCCAACGTTTTTCTTCACTTCCTCCTCAGGAGGTAAATCGGAAAACGTCTCCCCGGTTAATGAGACGTCTCCACCGATGGAAAAATTGGCGTCAACGACAAGTAGCCTAGGAGTGTAAGCTGGCCTGCCGTTCGACTCTGCCTCCCTGAAAAGAATGTCGTTGTCCACCTCGGGAACGAAATTCGGGTTGTAGCTGAAACCTGACTCTTGAATGTTGAAGTAGTGCGCTCCGACATGATTTGCGTACGTCCCGAACTGGATCGTCAATATCTCATTGCCTGACATGTCTGCATTAATTAACGAGGAAAGTTATATTTACAATGTAACAACTTTGTAATAAACAAGTTTGTTTTGGTAACATCAGTATTGGCTTCCCTATGCACAACTCATGCCATACACCCCAATCAAGGTCATATGACTTGAGACGTCACAGACGTTAAAACCTAACACTTCAGGACTAAAGTTTAAAAATGTATTCTCCCAACTCTTGAAAATGTAAAAATTTATTTGTATAGAATTAAAAAAATTCCTTTGCCTATCAAAAGCACTGCTCATAGGTACTAAAAGGTCATCTTCACTCTATTAAGTCTATGTAAAGTTGAAACACAATTTACACACCATTCAACTCACTGTGGTGAACATGATATTTCTCCATCACCCTTTCCACCTATTATACAACTAATCTAATTGAGGGGTCAATGGTCAGTAATTGAGGGTAAAGTTTAACTCCATAAATAGATAAATTATCAAAGCCGAAGACAAGGAAATTTAAACATACAGCTTTAAATGAACTATAGAGGAAATTGGAAGAACAAGAACTGTATTCCGCCATCGACCCTACACATTCAGGCTAATAAATACATGTATTCTTAATACACGCTAGGTATACAAAACTATCAGTACTACATACAATAAAACAATCCTGTTTCCTCCAAAAATCGGAACAGGAGTCCCAGATTCTCATATCTAGAGGCATACCTAACCTGCACGCTCTCTATTTAGAGCCAAAGAGCCAAGGAGTTGCACCCTTCAATTTGGTGAGACACATCGAGCCTTTCTTTTTTAAACTTTGGTTAACTGATTTTATTATGTTTCTGTGTCACTTCATATACTTGAATGAACTATTCAATTTTGCCACTTTATGTTTATAAATTTTATTTTTGTTATTTAATTATCCGTCTTTCAGACAGCCTTTGCCATTGCATTTATCTTTTTGTGTTTTTTTAAAGAATATTTTTTTCTTTTTTTTCATATGAAAGTATGTTTTTAATAATAACAAATTGGCCAGATCTGTTGACAAGTTAGATTTTTTTATATTACTTCGAAATAATACAAAATGTATATAAATAAACTTAAACTATTGATGTAAGATTGTCATATCTTTTAAAATACAATTTGGGTATTAATAAATTGGGAATTTAATACAATATAAGGTAAACTTTTAATAAAATGTAAATGTTATACTTATTTTAATTTATTGTACTTTTTATCAAAGGTCTTGGTTGAGATGAAAAAGCTTGTGTCTCGAGCAGGATTTGAACCACCACCTTCAGCCCATCCATGGGCTTGAATCCCACTTGTGACACTAGCTTTTTCATGTCAACCAAGACCTTCCATAAAACGTATAGATAATTAAAATAATGAATACGGTTAATTCTGACTACTAAATATAAAACATATTTATTATTTTTATAAAAAATTATACATGCTTATGGTGTTAATATCCAAAACGTCCAAATAAATGAAAATAAGCAATATATTTATTTTTTATTTAAAAACTACAAAGAAATGTTTTTTGACATTAGACAGTAAATAATAATAAATTTAACACGTAATAAAAAATGGCCAGATATGCGGGTCTAGTATTCTGAACGCCCGAATATTGTTGTGTTGTTAGTCTTTTTGATTAAAAATATACTTAATTTGATTTTAGCTTTAATATTTTTTATTTTGTAAGTTTATTAGTATATATTAATAGAAGGATTGAAGTATAAAATTTTTAATTCTTTTAAAACGTCAGGACTGTATGGATTTTAAATTACAATCTCGTTTTTTGGGCTGTATGCCACATCAGCGAATTGAATGAAGCGCAGGTTTGTTGGAGACTGTTGGAAAGAAAGAAGTCAAATATAAATAAAAACCCTACAAAAGTACGTTTGCCTTTCTATCGATTTAACTAGTAAAATGTCACATTTACCAGCTTATACTGGGCATGCCCGGCAATCGCATCTAAAATAGCCCCCTTCGGCCTGTCTTGCCCGGTGAACGCGACTCGAAACTTTTCCCCCCAAGGATTTATGGTCGTAACAATAAAACAACGGATATTATGGTAGGTGAAGAGGGCTCTTCTGACCATAATGGATCAGAAGATAATGTACGCGTTCAGGGGGTGGATCGCCTTTGTCGCATTCATGGATCTCGGCGTCGCAGTGCGTTCTTTCATTGAAAAGAAGTGCATCTTGGGGGAGTACTCGTTCACGAAAACCGACGGCCTTTTAGAACAAGGTAACGTTAAACAATTTTTTAACAGTAGTTTTTATTATCTTAAGTCGCTTTTTTAAATTCAAGATGATCCAACCTTGCCCAGAGTCCTCGGCATGTACTCAATCCTCAAAGCCATCGCGCTTATTCATTGCACCGTCTTCATCCACTACATCCCGTAAGTCATAATTTTCAATAATTTTACTATTTTTAATTAGTTTGGTGTGATTTATGAACAATTGAGGTAAATTATATAGGTAAAGTTTACGTAGATTAAAAAAAAGTCATAACTTTCATAACAATTTTAAAATAAGAGAAGTGGAGTAATTCGTCTTTTGAAAGTTTGTATAAAAAGAAATATGTATTATAATTTTAAAAGACGTATTTTAAAAATACATAAGTCTGCGAAATATTTATGGAATTATTTATGTTTTCAATTAAAGTTTTATTATCGCAAGAAAATGTTCGAATTTTCTTATATAATTAATGTATTTTGAATCAGTTAATTGTGAACAATATATGGACTAAACTATTACTTTTAAGTACATTTAAAAAAAAAAAAAAATCATAACATCCATAACAATTTTAAGATAAGAGCAGTGGAGTAATATTGTAATAGATTCGTCTTTAATTTTAAAATACTTTAAAATACATAAATCTGCGCATTATTTATGGAATTAATTATTTTTTTATTATCGCGGGAAAATGTTTAATTTTTCTTACATAATTGATATATTTTGAATACATTTATTGTGGTGAATATATTGACTAAACTATTACTTTTAAGTACATTTTTATGCACAAAAAAAATTCATAACTTCCATAACAATTTTAAAATTATTTTTTCAATTAGTTTTATTATCACAGGAAAATGTTTAATTTTTTACATATTTATGTGTTTTATGCTTATTGTGGAGAATATATTGACTAAACAATTTTAACAACTATTATAACAATTTTAATATAAGAGAAGTGGAGTAATATTGTAATAAATTCTTTCAATTAATTATTCTTTTTATGTAAGGTCTTGGTTAAGATGAAAAAGTTAGTGGCACAGTGGGATTCAAACCCACAAATGTTTTATTTTCTTTTTTTCTATCGCGAGGAAATGTTTGAGTTTTCTTACATAATTGATGTATTTTGAACTAGTTAATCGTGGAGAATATATTGACTAAATTATTACTTTGAAGAACATAAAAAATTGCAGTAGAATAAACACAGTCGAGTAATAATATATTAACTTCGACTTTTGAAAAAAAAAAAAAAATGTTGAATGGCATTTGGCATTGTTTAAAGGCGAACTAGTAGATAAAGAAATGTGCAAGACAATATGTAGGATATGCTCTAACCATGCTATTTGCAATGTGTATTTATTCAAAATAAATATCACTAACGCTTGATAGGTGGCTTTTGGAGGATCCTGATTAAAGATAGGCCATGCTAGGTAGACACATAATTAATTTTGGGCACATATGTGTCTGGCATGAAGAGAAAGATTGCTCGATGTGTTCCTAATTCCTCCTAATTAAAGAGTACCATTTCTTGGCTCCATAGAGAGTGCATGGGAATGCCACCCATTTTGTTTGAGCTGTGAGATCTGGGTCCCCTGTTCTAATTCTTGACAGAAACAGGGTTGTTCTATTATATTTAGTACTGATATTTTTGTGTACCCTAGTGTGTGTTGAGAGCAAATTATTAGCAAGAATGTGTAGTGTGAGAGAGTAGATGGTGGTATAGTACACACCCATTGACCCTCAATTAGAGGTTGTATAACATATAAGTTAAATAATAAATGTAGTGGGTGATGAAGGAATATCAAGTACTCACTGCCCTAGCTGAGTGAATGGCGTGTAAATAGGAAACCACTAGTGTGACAAATACAACTTTGATGCTCTAACCACTCAGCCACCATGGTCCTCATCAGAATGTATTTCATTGTTGTATATTTCCAAATGAATTGTTCAAAAGGATGTGCATCCTTCTGGTCCATATCCCTTCCCAATCTGAGGACATATTGCTGCAGCCCAAGGATTCCGTATTATATTAAATTCCATAATAATTTAATATAAATGAAGTGGAGTATTGATGTAAGACATCTGTCTACAAACATAATCCAAGTTTTAGTATAAATAAAAATTTACATTTTTAAATATTTGGTTTGCAGATATGTCTTACAATTAATTGATTTTTTAATTTACAGTGTTATTAGCATGGGAATATGCTCGATTCTTCTTACAGTACTGATGTATTTGTCCGAAGCGTTGTATTTTCAATCTGCTACGTTGAATTTCTATATTGTCTTCCCTTGTGTCTTAAACTGTAAGTCTATCGTATTTGATTACAATTTGTTTCAAACATTTATAAATACTAAATATTTAAGGTTTGACGATGATTGGACTATTCATTGTACCGAAAAAGTATTTAAATGCGCCTACTGTCGCTGAGGATGAAAATGCTGAGCTTTTGCGACAAGCCACAGCTTTTAAGAAGAGGAAGCAGCCAAGGAAAATTAGTTAATCGAATTTAAAAAGCTTTATTATTGACTTTTAATATTGTGATAATCCTTATTAGTCAATATTTCAAGTGATCAAAAAAATGTTTAATTACATTTTTAAATTTTTGCACAATAACATAGTTTTTACTTACTAGCGACAATATAGAAATAACTTTTTAATAGTGTATTTAATATTATAAACTTTTGCACTAGTATGTGCTATGATGCTCTCAAGTATTTTAGAAAAAATAAGTGTTAAATTAATTTTAATAAAAACTTAATACACCAGTCACCACCTATATTTATTAAACAACTTTAATGCATTAATTTATTGCATTGCCTAATTCTCGTACCTCCTTACTTTTGCTGCTGTATCATCGATTGGATGGGATGAAAGACTAGGAATGAGGTAAGATGGTCCCATATATTTATATACAAAACTTCATACATGAAAGGTAACCTTACATGAACTTATTCAAAAGATTTACTATTATGTAACATTCTTATATAATATATTGTAATATGTACTATACCGATACCTGTGGGTAGCAGTACATCATCTGAACATACATCACAATAAAAAAGGAATAATGAAACAATAAATATATATATGTATATTTTAAAGAATAACACTGGCTACAATAAATCACAATAAATACAAATTATACATATGATAAATTAAATTATAATGATAATTTGAAAATACTTTTGTAAAATTTTTTTTGTTCAAAAAGTCTAGGATCACATTATTTTCACAAATGCCTTGATCACAATAGTTTTGTTTTTTCTCTTACCTTATTTGTTTTATTTTTGTTGGTTTTTCCAAAATAATTGACAGGTGTTTTTATCTTTCAAAATATCATATTTGTGAGTGCGCTTTGTTTTGTAATATCATATTCAATATACAGGTGATATTTCTTTTTAATTATCCAGCCTTGAATTCAAAAGCATGCTAATTACTAAAAGACAATAATTTACAAATAAACATTCCTATAAAATGAAGATAACTAATATTGCAGGAAGTACATTACCACAAATTATTCAATAATATGAAAATAAAAAAGCAATTTGTATATTATTTTTCTTTATATTTAAATATTTAGAAAATGGATTTATTGTGGAATCTTTTGTTTATAAGGAGGAATTGCATAAGCAAGTTTTATTGTATATACATAAAATAAATACAATAATGACTAATTGAAAGAAAAAGAGGCAAGACATGCTCTTGCCCTTTATTCAGTCAATCCTCTTTTCTTTTTGAAGGAGGAATTAGATGGTCAGGCAGTTGAGCTGGTAAATCATGTCCATCTAATTTAACATTTATTAAATGCATTGCTAGGCAAAACTCATCACAGTCGAGAAACCCATCTTTGTCAACATCCGACAATTTCCAGATTTTCCCAAGAACGGGATTGGGCAATTTTGACTTCATCATTTCTTTTTTAGCAGCTGAAAATCAAACAAACATCGTTTACAACAAATGATTACACTATGGGTTTACACATTGTGTAAAATTGATTTACCTTCTCCTGAAAGTTTACCGTTGATGGGTGCAAGAGATTCGAAAATGTTTTCAAATTTGTATCTGACCTTGTTGACAACCCACTCAGGCTCACCATGTCCTGCATCAATGCCTTCTCCCCGTTTATACCCAAAAGGACTAATGCTATCTTCCACTCCAACAAACGCGCCACCTAAATTGGATGATGATGACAATGATATACATACATAAAATCACACCAAAAACATGCTTTTTCTCAGTTTCATGGATTCTCCTAATCTAGAGAGAGACAAATATTTGCTCTTTTAAGCCCAGAAGAGTAAAAAGAAAATGTAAAATTTTATAAGAAAGATGAAACAAACGTTTGATAGTGTGACAGCAGCATGAGAACATAAAGAAATGATAAAATAGTTGATATAGTAAATATTTTGATTAAAAAAATAAATAAATCTAAGTTAACACGATTATATAAGGAGGTAAAAATCTGTTATCAATTTATAATAAAATATATACTCGCAAATGTATTACCTTATCAGATCATCTTAGTTATAATGGCTTTTCTTAAAATAATATTAAAACAAAGAAAAATCATGTCGTACCGAATTTTATGTCAGAAAGTGAATTTCCATGAGTGCCATTGAGACCAGAGTTTACCATCCCATCGTTTGATGTTCCTAAGAGTCAAATGTTAAATATGATTTTTTTTATTTATATGGTTATTTCACACGAGTACGCTTGCTATTGCAATTACAAACGGTTGTATTTACAAGGTGATGTGATTACAAGTTTTATTTGTGTGATAGTTTTTCTTAATAGTGACGTAATGAATCGATGAGATGTACGTGGCATGCAGACACAGAAAAAAACCAAAGCTGCTAGCTTAAAAGCAGTCACACTGATGATATTAGATTACCTGATAAATTATTAGGCGCCTGGAGAGTCTCTTCCTGTGGTATTTGTGACATCAAATTAGAAATATCATCGGACAACATTTTATCTACCACTGCAAGTAAGTGAGGCTTTAACTGGTTGAACTTGCTAAAATCGTGATTTGCTAAGTTTTCCTAAATAAAACACAATCTTTCATTAGTTATCACACCATTAAATAAATGTACAAAATATATTTTGTTTCATTTTTCCATACTTTTATATATACACACTATTTTTTAAGGCTATATTTTTTCATTTTCAATATGGCAACAATTGCCATTTTCAATTAAAACCATAACTTATAACTTAAGGTCAAAACAAAACAAAATACGGTGTACTGACCATATGAGTCATTAAGTTATAGATTTCAAATATATATATTAAAAAATGTATATACAGTGAAACTTCCATATAACAGACACTTAGGGGATAAAATATTATCACATTGATGTCTTAATTTAAAGTTTAAGTTTAAAGTTAATTTTACATATTCCCTCACTTGAATTATACAAGTTCAATCCTTTTAAAAAAGATGTTTGCAAAGTGGCATAATCAGAATCTAAAAATTTGTGACAAAATTAGCAAACAAAACACAAACAAGAGGCGGCGTTTCTCATTAAACATGCATTTTCGGGAGGTTTTGGGAGAGTTTGAGTTGGAATACAGTTGAAAATGTTGTCTGCATCTTTATTGGGAGTGTCTGCTTTACATAAGACTTTAATGTGAAGAAACCAACGGAAAAATGTAGGGAAATTAAAATTTGCCTGTTTAAGAAAGATGACCGTTTAGGGAAGTTCCACTGTATATATATTATAGGGAAAAAGTTGAAATAAAATATTAATTGACAAGAAACTGAAGCATGCGATATAATTAACAAAAAAAAAAAGTTTTTATCATTCTGTTTGTTGCAGTGGGATAGAGATAAGAAATTAATGCAGTAATAAATTTGATATTCTGTTTAAAATTGCCTGCATCTTACAATAAAAAAGGAACTTCCTATAAAATCTTATGTGATAACTGATAAATAAATATATATACATACCAAGAGAGAAGAGAGGAGAGGAGAGGAGAGGAGAGGAGAGGAGAGGAGGTNGAGAGTGAGATTCAATGTTTGATACACAAAGGAAGTAAGAATAAATGTAAACATTTAAAAATTAATTAATCTTGACATTTGACAATTTTGATTATTGCCAATGGAAAAATAATATAATTTGGTTAAAAAAAACCCATAATTTTTGTTCCCGTTGCCATGACATATCCTCTTTAGACCAGGCGTGCAATTTTCCTTTTGACTGCTTTTCAGTATTCAATGCACGCACCACCCCTCAAAACCTTGGAATCAGTTCACTCACTTCCTTTGTTTAAAAAAGAAAAAGGGAAAAAATCATAATAAGAACTGTCTAAACCCAGAATGGTAAAATCTTTTGGTATCTTATAAATTTCCTTTTTCTCGTAAATATAAATGAGGCTATAAAATTGAACTCAAAAACAAAAAACAAGCAACTGTTTGAAAAATTGGTCAAATTGGTAAACAATGTAAATCAGCGTAGCTGTGGGTTGAATATCGCATTCTCTAATCACATATAAACCAAAACCTTGTTTTTTTAAATAATAAATAACTTAGATATAGATAATGAATACACAATATAAAATTTGAATACAAATACAAAGGCTTACTTGCATAGTCTTGATTTCTGGAAAGTCTCCAGGTGATATATGATATTCCCTTTGTATTTGCTCATAAATATTACCCAGGTTTTTTATAAGCTCTTTCTTCCTAGAGTCTTTTCCAAACATTGAAGGCATCTCTTTCTTCAAAGAACTAATTATATAGGCATGTACCTGTGTAAAAATTAGAATAAAAAAAATTAATTTTCTTGTGTAAAGTTAAATTGATTTAAGTAGTGCATTCAAACCAGAACAAATTTGCATCCTGATGTATTCTAACATTGCACTAGTTTAAAAATAGTTTTTCACCCCTTTTTTTTGTATCCTTAACAAGCCCAGTTGCCATTATCTACCTGATAATGGCCAGTTTGTAATTCAATGCCTCCGACAAATTGCCCGACCTTATTACAGTTTGAATTACTTTGGAACGGAACAAACTCACTGAGCCAATGAACGGATTGACCTCAAGTGACACATTTCAATTAAACAAATCTTTTTGTTGATTTGCACATTTGCGCATGTTACAAACAAAAGAAATGAGTGAATAACAATCTCACCTTTGCTAGCCTAGCTCTCTTGATTAAATCATTTAATTTCCTTAATGTCGCATTTCTTGGAAGTGATTGCAAATCCTTAAACAGATCTTGTTCTTCATCCTCAAACAATCTGTAAAATGGAATTTTAAATATAACATTCAACCAAAGCACAAAACACTGTAAAGATATCATATATCAGTATTACGAGAAGATAAAAAAAAGACAATTTTTTTTTAAAAGCAATTACTTTTCAGTTTTTGAAAAGAAGTGCTGTGTTTGAAATATGATAGTTTTTTTATTAAATAAAAATTGAAATTTAATTGAATAAATCTTTATCTCATCATTTTTCGTAATATATAAATATTCGCAAAAATAACCTAAAAAATTGAAACTTATCTTGAGTGAGAAAATCAAAATATCTATTGTTAATAATTAATGTATTTGTTTGGTGTTTTCTAGTGGACATGTTAGAAGATAAGATTGACAACAAGGTCATAAAATCAATCGTAAAAATTTTCAATAAAATAAGTTACAATTCATTCTGAAAATTGAGGTTTAGAAAAAAAAATATAGAGAGAGTTTGTAGAAATCAAACAAAATCAATCAGCCAAATCAATCAATCAAGCGTAACTATTCGATCACATTATCTGTCCTTGGGGAGAGAGGAAACGTTGCAATTAAGATAATACATGATTATGATTGATGCATGGACTTTAAGCATGTGAGTGAAAAATGTGGTGACTCATATGCACTTAGTCACCAACAGTTCTAAGTAACCTAATTTTTTTATATATAATTTTTAAACTTTTTTCTGAATTATTGGACATCAAGTATGAAATATTAATTTGTAGGGTGATATGACACTACAAGGTTGCATTGTCATTATATTGATCTAGATGGATAGAAGGGTCGTCGAGTGGAGAAAATATATTTTTTTAAATGCTGCTATATATATATTTTTTTTAAACTATTATTTGGAGATCGTGGGATGCGGTCTGGTGTGATGTAGGTTTAGAAAAACATGTTCTTTATCGTGCCAAAGTTTCGATCTTTATTGAGATCACCTTCAGGGCCTGGGATTTATAAACATTGTTTAAATTAGACAAATGCATATAAGTTGTGAAAATGAATTTATACGATGATGTACACAATATAGAAATTTTAGGTTTAATTGAAGTATTTGTACTCACTTGAAGTGTACGTTTTCTATGTAAATGTGTAATGGTTGTGTGTCGTGTTGGGAGTATTAGTGAGATATCAATGTTTTTTTATTTATATATGTTTGATTTTGAATGAGTGGGGTAGCAAGTAGGAATCAATAAAGATCGAAACATTGGATCGATAAAGAAAATATTTTTCTAAAACTACATCACACCAGATCACATCTCACAATCTCTAAATAATTTAACGGATCACTAAATACTACATTTTTTTTATTTTAACTTGAAATATAAAATGTGCATTTGAGGTTTTTAATTGCTTATATTTTAAAAATGACTATTGTCAACTTAGATTATACCAATTTTTATTTTGGTATTGGTCGGCAAATAAGTAGAACTCATGTCAATCAGTACAATACAAATTAGTGTCATAAAGAATGTTTGGACAAATTTTCAACATAATAATTCAATTTATACTGAACAAATTCAACAGTGCATACACGCACAAAATTTTAATATCATGATGGAATTAATGTCAGTTTGGATCAATTGATAAATCAAAAGTTTTAGTTAGTTTTTTGTCCCACAAATTGATATTTTTATAGTATATTGTTGTTTAAATAAAAGTGTGGTAAGAAATGATAAAAAAACACAGGAATCTCATCTGTTTGATAAGAAAGTGATAAAAAGTAAACAGATTGTAAAGCTAACATCTTTCTGAACAAACAGACCTTCTATTGGTGTCAAATCTCAAGGGTTGGTCCCAAAATGAGCCTATGTAGACCCGTGCGACTTCAGGAGTCTGCAAGACCTTTCCAAGCGACCACATCAATGCTCCGTAGACTCGCATGAGCTGTTGGTGATCTATCATATCAGCTTTGTTCAAAACTATCCTTATCTTGTCGTCGTGCCCTCTAAGGGCTTCTATAGACCGGCGGAACTCATCCGATATGTCCAGCTTGTGCGCGTCGAACAGAAGTATTATCCTGTCGACTCGTTCCGCAAACCATTCGAGAACGCCCGTGAAGTTGTAGCCCCTGTCGACCCTCTGCTTCTCCCCCGATAGAATCCCTGGGGTGTCGACGATCGATATGCCTTTCAGCACGGGTGAATTGACCATAGAACATTGAAACCTGTTCAAAAAAGCGTTGCCGTATTTGCTCAGAGGTCTGAACTGCTTTTTAGGGTCGACGACCAGGGCATTGCCGGGTATGATACCATCCTTCTCGTCGTACATGACAGCTATGAACCTGTCGGTAGTCGGCTCCGGGCCTATCCTTATACCAGGGAAATCCCTTTCCAGAAGGTACTTGATGAAGGTCGTCTTCCCTGTAGAATACTGGCCGACGAGTAGTATCATCGGTTTAGCGTCGAAATCGGCATCGTCTAGCTGGGGCGAGTGGAAATCGTGAAACTGATACGCTAGCTCCAGTTGCAAAAGCTTCGTCTTGTAGATCTTCTTAAGGCCGTCTATAACCGAGTTGTATAGCTCGGCCGATTTGCTATCGTCCCCTTTCAGCCAGCTGAACATTTTTCAAACACAATTGAGACTATCACGATTCAACAAAACGTTCCATGAAACAAGAAAAATCTACTCTTCTTCACTGGGAACTAACGTTGATAACGGCCCTACACCAGTTGTTTGTCCACTGAGTCTCCTTTTTTTTCTGGAGATGTGCCACGACTTTTTTCCACCTCCCTTCACTCCATGTTACTAATCATCATCCCCACTTTTATGTCTAAACAAAAACTAACAATTTCCACACTAATAATAACCTTTTAAATAAATATAAATTCTCAACCTATTAAAACCTATTAATTAAAAAAAACAGAACCAAACGTAATGAAGTTAATATATATAAAAACTGATAAATGAAGATTTTTTGGAAGGTCGTGAAATTTGAAATCTAAAAGCTTACACTATTAAGAGGAGTTCAACTCCATTCCACTTTTCCTTTAAACACAAAATATTTGTATTTATTTACTTTACTCGCAAAGCCTATTAAAATTATACAATAGTTACAAATATACACGAGCTAATATAGTGGATTCGTTATGAAACATAAATAGTTGATTAAAGAAACAACTGACCTAGTATTTCAATACAATAACAAATAATTGAAAGTATGAATTATTAAATAAAACATAGCTGTAAATATATTCAGTTAACATAATTGAATACAAAGAAAATTTAAACAAATAAAGATAGTTAATAGTAATATCAAGCTAACTAGATAGACAATCCCTCAAGAAGATTATCTTACAATATTTGATCAGGTAAACCAAACACAGTTAAAATCTCCCATTTGTGTTTACAATTGGATTTTGTAAATAACTTTTTGTTGGTTTTTCAGTAATGCTTCTTTCTAATGTTGTATTTTGATTTTTTTAAGTTGTTGTTTTTTATACCCTTTTTTTAGATCTGATATTTGTTTGAGTGATGGTTTTAGGTGATACAGATTCGGCTGTAGTCATAGCATATGCTGGAAGAAGTCAAGCGTATGTGGCCAGGGTGCTTGACATTCCAAGAACAACTGTCCAAACGGTCTTCCGTTACTACCGAGTTACTGAAGGTTACTCAAGAAGGCATGGATCAGGTCACCAGGATGTCATACCTCAGAGAGATGATCATTTTATCATTTCGAATGTACTCCGTAAACAATTATATCGCTGTTGAATCAAGCAACGACTTACAAATTGGAAATATTAATGCCAGTTTACACATTCTAAGACGAAGTCTTTTAGAAGTTGAATTACGTGCGATAAGACCTGCCACTGGTCAGAACTTCTAACAACACAAATTGGTCTGAGCAAGAGTGGAATAAATTTTGTTTTCAGATGAGTCATGGTTTTGCATGAAGTCTTCTGAAGGCCAAGGGAGGGTTTGAAGAAAAACAGGAGAACGATACATCCCTGCAACATTTCCACTTCAGAGAAGCTATGGAGATGTGGTTTTATGGTTTTAGCAGGCATTTCTATGGAAGGTCATACAAACTTGATCTTCAACAGTTGTGCTATCCGAAGAAATTGTTTCTTATATACTACTAATATATACCACTAATTGGCAATAGTTTCATTTTTATGCATGATAATGCAAGGCCCTACACAAATCATTAATGTCTACTTGGAATGGGCTTCCATTCAATGTTTGGAGTGGCCAGGACACCAAGTAGCCCCAAGTTAAACCCTATCAAACAACTTTGGAACAAGTTGTCAAAGAAAATAAAAAAAGTCACCCACTGATGCCAGAGAATTGGCAGGAATTAATAATGGCGCTCTTGGAGGAATATGAAAATATTCCACAGCACTACATTTAAAACTTCATAAAATCAATGCCATGTCGAATGGAAGTGTTTATCAATAAAGAGGAGGAAATAATACTGAATTGAATTTTTTTTCCCATTGTTTCCATAACAATATTTTGGGTAAAACTGTTTTACTTTTTAATTGCTTTATTTAGCTATATTTTTTGTATTTAATATTATATATATTTTATCATATTTTTATTTAAAAATAGCCAGTAAACAACAAAAAATAAAAATTATAATGATTGCAAGTAGTCATTATAATTAAAAATCAAATCAAATCTAATTTAAAAAAAAAGTGGCCACTTTTTTGCCTCTTGGTGTAGTTATGATTACAACTATTCTAAATTCTTCTTCTATTAGCATATACATTGCTCTTATACATATTTATAATTGTGTCATTTTGTGTCGATAGAAAAATTCCATTTCATTTGGTGGAAATCAAGAGAAATTAAAAACTAATGGGAAATCATTTAAAAGCATTGAAAAGAGGAAAGGTTCAAGAAAAAAGCCTTGGGGTACACTAGCTGATATTGAGAGAGAATAGGAGTTAGGATTTGAAGCCTTTTGAGTTTTGTTAGCCAGAAGAAGATTAGTAGCAGCAGAAAAAACTAACCAGTTTCCAAATAAGCAAATTATAATTTACAGAGCTGAACTCATTGAAAAAATTAAGTAGAACTATAATAGCAAATCTATTATCAATGCCTAATCATCTGAGATTTTTGAGAAGGGTGTCTCACAACTATAAAATTCTCTACTATTTATTCTGTTTTTCATTGCCTAGAAATCAATTCCAGCTTCTAAATAAAAGTAAACCAAAACAAATTGAAATTCATTGTTTTAATATTTTTATGTAATGTCTAAACAGAACATTTCTTTCTAGTATAATCTTTTCTTAAATCCAGAGCAAAAATTAAACCGAAATAAGACACTTTTAGATGTAAGATGTTATCAAGTCTTATGATTTATGCCATATAACACCATTTTCCATAAATTTTAAAAGTTTTACATTATTTAAAAAATTGGTGGTTGATCCCTCCTCCTCCAGATTGTGTCTGTAGTTAGAACTTGCTCATCCACGTGCTTGAGGTTATACCTACGTTCGCATTGTAACTTGGTCTCTTAGATCAGTATTTTATAAGTTTTTCTTTAATTAATTATTAAACTATTATTAAACCATGGGTCTCGACACCCAAGTCCACAGACCGACAGGTCTAAAACAGCAGAACAAGCAGCATAAACACTGGCATAAGAGTAAAGGTTCGATAGAAAGGATCAACAAAGGTGAGACACAGTGATGTATTTAACGTGATACTTTTAAATTGAAATAACTTAATAGTATAAATTAATCAGGGTCACCATAATTTTGTACAAAGATTTGTTTATTTTGTAAAATCATTTTTAATAGATTGAATAGCAAGATTGTTATCCCTCCTATAAAATATATTTACCTTATAGATTCTGGGTTTCGTTGACATCTAATTGACAGCTCTATTGCAGCATATATTTTTGTTTTCTATTAGCAATAATCGCATCTCAGAAGAACTTCATTGATTTGGATATTGCTGCAGAACAAGGTGGACTACTGAGTGGTTAAGGTGTCTGACTTGTATTTGCCGTGCTAGCAGTCCTGGGTTTGAATCCCGGTACAGCCAGTGGCTTTTTCATTGAGAATAGTATGAAAGTGCAGGGCTCTTAAGGAAAGAAAGGGTGATGTGTTACACATAATACAGGCCAGTCATGCCTTGGCTCCTTACAGAGAGCGTGTAGTCATGTAGCCAAATTTAAGAATTGTTCTTAGTCTCGGCTGTGATTTTGGATCCCCTGTTTTTATTTTTAGAAGATGTTTTTTTTTTTTTAACTGTATATAGATCTGTTTAGGTGTTTTGTGTAAGTGCATGTATTTATTAGTGTGAACCATTGTCCCTCCAGCAGTGTGTGTTTAGGGTTGATGGCAAAATATTTATAAAAGTACTACATTGTCCCTATTTTAAATGAGCTTATTACTATTGTGTGTAGGTCGATTACTCAACCAGAGAATGAGTGCAATTTTACAAGACGCGAATGAATTTATTTATGCGATTACACTATACATGTAGCATATAACTTTAGGCTAGGTTACAATTTTGCATGGGTTGGTGGCTGAAATGACCATGGAAAGCCCCCTATTGATTGAGAAGTGACAATCTCCTGAGAATCTAGTTTAAGGGAGATACTAGCAGCCTGCCACTTAACAGTGTAGGTGAACTCCCCTGAGCTATAGATGTTAGTGTCAGGACATCAGGGAGTAACAAACCTTTGAGTTTTAAGTCCAAAAAATAGTATGAAAGAAGTATTGCAAAATGGTTTACCTCCTGTCCATGACACAGTTGGATGTTAATCCCTCCTGCATGACAGAAATTACTTTATTTATTTTGTTTCCTGCAATCCTTATAATCCTTTAATAAAAGCTCTTCTAAAGCTTCTGCACCTGGTTTCATCGTAGATTTGTTGTATACCCTTTATATTGTGACAAACTTTTTTTCTTTTTTTTTTTACAGGGAGATCTATTTCGATGAAAGTAAACCCTAAAACCAAGTTTGAAATGAAGAGGGAAGAAAGGCGAAACCAAGCACAACAGATGCGCCACAAAAAGAGATTTGAATACCTCGAGAAGAGAAGGGGTCTTTGCCAAGCTCCGTTTCTTGTAGGAGTGATCCCTTTGAACAACAGTATAAACCCTTTGAAAGTGTTTGACTATTTGAAAGAATCTGATCCAGAAGCAGTCGTGAATTTCACAGAAGAAGGCTTCTTACACTTACACAGCACGAGGTTCAAACAGAAATTTACATTCGCCACTGTTCACGGTGACAATCTGTTCGACAAGCTTGACCTGCTGAAAGTTTGTACGACTTTACTGTTCCTCACTTCAGTTGAAGGAGTCGATGAAGACGGTGTAGTAACGATCACCTCTGCTATAGCACAGGGTTTACCAACTGTTACAGTTGTCGTAACCGATCTGGCGACACAACCGCAAAAAGTAAGCCTTTATTGTATCAATTTCAATTTTTTTTAAAACTTTTTCTTGTGTTATTACAGAAATGGCATGAAGTGAAATCTAACATTGAAAAAGAACTTCAAAAATGGCTGCCTCCTGTCGACAAAGTAATGACGATGGATAAACCTGGCGATGGTTTGAATATATTAAGGAAGATCGCATTTCAGAAACATCGGTCTATACTTCAGAGAGATCGGCGGCCCCATATGTTGGCTGAGGTTGTCCAATTCTCTGAAACATCAGAGGTAATAAAGTTTCTTAAATATTAGACATCAATGGAATACCTCATAAGCCTACCTCTGGTATTTTTATACCTAGGCAGATTTTTCATTGTGTATATTGCATTTTAGGGTAAAGGCACTTTAAAAATAACAGGATATTTAAGAGGGAAGAATTTAAGTGTAAATTCCCTAGTACATATCTCTGGCTGGGGGGATTTTCAAATGAGCCAAATTGACGCTGTGCCTGCACCTGGTGATGGAGCACACAAAGAGATAAGAGTTTTAGAAGTGGCCGATCCTCAAAAACAAGTAAACACATTTCTAAAAATAATAATTTTTAAAGTTTAAGTTAATTTTAAATTATCACCTTTAGGAATCTTTACAATGTGAAAACATTCCGGACCCGATGGATGCTGAACAAACTTGGCCGACTGAAGAAGAAATGGAAGAAGCGGCAAACGAAAAGAAGAAAGTTGTTAAAAAAGTCCCTCATGGCTGGTCTGATTATCAGGCAGCTTGGATTCCCGATTGTGATGCCTGTGAGAAATCTTTCTATATTATTTTTGTTAATTTATAATTAATATAAAACAAAAGACAAAAATTCTAGTTGAAATAGAAAGCGGTGATGAAGAAGAAGAAGATGAAAACATGCAGATTCAGGCGGAAGATGAAGAAATGAGTGATGATCAAACAGAAGACTATGAAACTTGTACTGTAACATCTGAAGCACCAATTGAACCTGATAAGTACGACAAAGAAATGGATATGGACGAGGAGAAAGCAGCCCTCGAAAAATTAAAACGTAATTTAATTAGATATTATTAAAAAAAAAAAAAAAATCAACAAATTATTTTAGATATGGATGTTAGATGGCATAAACAATTTAATTGTAATTATAGGGTTGTGTAAGAAAGTGATTGCTTACCAATTTTATAAACTATATGGTAAGCCTTTCTTATCCAGTTCTTTTTTTTAAACATTATTTTAAAGAGATACTTGTTATATTTTAACCCATTCAGGAAGATCAATGCACTTTGTTCCCGAGTGAGGTACCTAGACATGATACTATTTAAGTTATTATTCTTAGTGGTAGTGAGAGTGAGAAATTTAGAAAAAACAACACACTCCTTTGAATTCAAACTAAAAGTGAATAGACTAGATCAAAATATCTGTAGAGTTTCACTCATTTGGCAGTGGACATTGAGTTACCAAGTTGATCCAAAGCTTCCTCTTTCCAGTGATTGCATAATTCAAATTTTTATCTGGTGAGTCGTGAGTTACACAGAATAGAAAACAGCCAGAGCGCTGCCAACCCTTGCATTACACAATTCAAACTCAAAGTCGTATCACCAAGCTGACCGTATAAAATAAAAAATGACACAGACCAAAATGATATAGAACATACTTTCTGTACCGATATATTTTGGTGCGATTTTAAAGACATTTCATATTAAAAATAATATAAAATAACCATCAAATAGTAAGGTTTTTTCTTGGTGTTATATGGCCTCACCGGTTTAAAAAAAAATATATTTTTTTTTAATTATTAGAAAGGAAAAACTTTCCATGGAATTCAGCTCAAAACAAGAATTTAATAAAAAAATTAAAAAAGCAAGTCACCTTATATTTGATTTATTTTTAAAAAAAATTGTATAATTAAAAAAAAATTTTCAATGTTCATTATATATTGCAGAGGCTAAAGAAGACAAACAGTTTCCTGATGAAGTAGACACACCTCATGATATACCAGCGAAGGATAGATTCATGAGATACCGAGGTTTGAAATCATTCAGAACTTCACCCTGGGACCCAAAAGAAAACTTACCTAAAGACTATGCCAGAATATTTCAATTCCAAAACTTCGACAGGACCAAAGCTGCTGCACTGGCCCAGGAGCAGGGCGGTGCTCAGGTGAGTTTCAAAAAAAGAAAAAAAAAAGCTTTGATTATTTTTAATTTTAATACAGGCCGGCTGGTATGTAACAATCCACGTAATCAACGTACCAACGATCCTTCATGTCCTTAGAGGAGGTCAGCCCATCGTTCTCTACGGCCTGCTTCCGCACGAAAATAAACTATCGTTGTTGAATGTCGTTCTCAAAAGAGCATTGGGTTCAGAGGAGCCAATCGCTTCAAAAGAAAAACTCCTATTTCAAGTTGGCTTCAGGAGGTTCAAAGCATGCCCAATCTTCAGTCAACACACCAACGGAAATAAATTCAAGGTAATATTAATATTATAATGTATTGTCATTAAAAATTACATGATTTTTTTTTCAGTATGAACGATTTTTTCAACCAGATGCGACAGTCGTTGCCTCAATGTATGCTCCTGTGATTTACCCTCCGGCTAGTGTACTGGTCTTCAAAGAAAATAAGGACCGGACTATGGTAATAACAATTTTTTTGAAACCTAAAGCACCATGGTACCCTCTGCAAACCTCACCCTCAGGACAACATTACATTTTTGTTGTTTTAGTATCCCTAGGGTATAAATGGAAAAAAACATTGATCTTTTCTAGTTTCTTCAACTACAAATGTGTCAATTTATGAAAAAATGTTAGCAGTCCCACAGGTGTGAGGGCTGGATTTTTAAAATGTTCATTCTGCAGTGCCAAGTGGTACCTCTTATGGCGGTCCACTGGCAAAAAGATTGTAGGATCTTAGATTTATTGTTATAAAAAAGACGTAATACAGAGGCTTGATTAATTTCACATTAATTAGCCTTCAAAAGTAGAATACAAAAAAAAAAAAAATGATCTCGAAGAAATGTCATCAGCTAATGTGTTCTGAGTTTTGTTCCAAATGGTCTGCAATGAGTTTTGAATGCAGGAAAAAAAGTGCAATTACAACTTGTGGGACCGCCGTGAGGGTGAGGGTTCACTCTGGACCACTAACACTTTACGTGTTAAAAATTATCCTTTAATTCAATTTAATTTTGTAAAAATTTGTTTATTCAGAGCATAGTCGCTCAAGGCAGTGTTTTATCAGTCGACCCGAACAGAATTGTAGTAAAACGTGCCGTGTTAAGCGGACACCCAATGAAAATCCTCAAAAGATCTGCTGTGATACGTTTCATGTTCTTCAACCGAGAGGATATCGCTTGGTTTAAGCCGGTCGAGCTAAGGACAAAATACGGACTACGTGGGCATATCAAAGAACCTTTAGGTAATTCTATAACTTTTTATTTTACTTTTTTATTATTGTTAAATAATATATAATAAAGGTGAAATAAAAAGTTATAAATTAATTTTCAAGAAATGATAATTTTCATTTTTACAGGTACGCACGGCCATATGAAGTGTGTCTTCAACCAACAGCTCAAATCGCAAGACACCGTTTTGTTAAATTTGTACAAAAGAGTTTTTCCAAAATGGACCTATGAGTCAGAGGTCAATTTCGTTCCTATACATGAAGAGACGTAAAACTGTAACAATTCTTGTTACTTTTTAACAGTGAATTGAAGATTATATACCTTTTTTGTATATAAAAATAAGTTTTTTAAGTTTGAATACTGTATATTATTACACAAATATAATTTTTTTTCTGTTTAACCCTTGAGTCTTGTTAATTAACATAAGTCCGTGCACTGGCACACAATATGCACCAACTTATTTTACCCATTTTTCATAAAAATCCTGTTTTTTTAATATATTTATTATTTTTGAAATTTTTATTTCTTTGTCAAAATATAAGAGTTCCTGTGTTATGTGCTATTAAATTATTAATATTGTTACTTTTAATTATTAACATCACATGAATTCTGCAGCGCGTTTTTAGATGTTTTTAGACTTTCAAGTAGCTTTTCTGGTGAAAAATATCTTCTTTCTCTAAACAAAATGAGTATAGTAATTAGTATAAACTCAGCTCGAACCGTAATGAATAAAAAATAATAATTTCAAATGATAAAAAAATACTCAATTTGCCACAATAAAGTGTGCCATGTGGAAATCATAAAAAAACTGATTTGTGATGAGAGCTGATAAAAACTATAAATTTACGACTTGTCCACAACAATCCAAACAGCATATTGAATGTGCCAGAAGCTTGGACTTAAAGCTTAATGTTTTTTTAATATCACTTATACACTTGAATCACATAAGATAGTACAATTTTATTTATTAATATATTTTTATATAAGGTATTGGTTGAAATGAAAAAGTTAGTGTCACGAGCGGTATTCAAACCCACGACCTTCGGCTCAGGTACGAGCAGCAGCGTATTGAGCCGAAGATCAAGGGTTCGAATCCCGTTCGTGACACCAACTTTTTCATATCAGCCAAAACTTTCCTTCAAAAGATTAATTAATTGAAAGAAGTAATTTGGTCAATAGACCACAAAATTATTGGATTTATTAATATATATGATTTACAATTGGAAGACACTAAAATTATTTGGTAAAACAAATAAGAAAAAAATTGTATAAAAACAAGAGAAAAATATATAAATAATATCTTTTTTTATATTACTTTTCAAAATTAAATATAGCAATATTAATTATTATTTTTTACAAATTGTGAGTTATGTGGAATGTTTCTTGTTGGCTCTTTACTCTTAGTAGTTAGTTAAATTTGGCGTGAGTGCCAAGTTTTGTAGCGACACAATCCTTTTCATATAGTCCTTTTCACCGGACCTGGTGCCTAATGAATTATCTGAAGTTTATCGGAGCGCTGAGCAAACCTGGTTTGCGTTTTACTTGAGATCAGTCTTTGGTCAATCGGTGGCACAAAATCACAGAGGTTTCGTTAAGACGAATGCTACCTGTTGGCGTCGATGATTTGTTGTAAATCGCGATAAATCCTTTCGAGGTGTGCCAGCCTAGGCCTCATATTCGGAAAAAGTATGATATGGCTCTGGCCATCAATTGTAACACCTTCCTTGAACTGTACGGCCAAGAAGGGCAAAACCTGCTGGCACGTTATCTCGTCGATGATCATCAAGTCGGCAATCTTGTACCACGGAATGGACACTGTCGACTGTTGTCCGTAGTAATAGATTGAAGTCATTTGAATCCGCAAAGGTACGACGAGAAGAAGATGTTCTTCGATAACCGTATAGAAAGCTGACAAGAGTTGCAATCCGAAGACCACTGAGACTAGAGTCGCATAGAAACACTTTCTAGCATGACACTCCCCGTCCAACAGGCAAGTTAAGAACAAAAGTGAATACACAGTCACTGTTAACTTATTGACAAAACAATAACTTTTTCTGAAACTAAACTGTTTATAAGACGCCTTCTCTAACGATCCGTTGGAATATGACTTTGTCTTTAAACTGTCCTCCGAGCCAGGGCACATTTTTAAACCACATTAATATTTTAGTTTCATAATAATAACAGAAGTCTGTAACCTTTAATGATAAGAAAAACTTGAAAGATCCCGGTTATCGATAACAGAAAAATCGAATTCAGAAAGCCACTAGCCAAATTTTAATAAAAGCTAAGTATTAAATAAAGGCTAATCATTGTTTATTTTATGTAGTTTATTGGAAAAACCAAAACAGAAAAAACTGATGTCAATAAGGAACAAATTATAATTTCATGCTACAAAGACCTTTATGAATTAGTACAATATAATTAAATTTAATAGAATGAGTATGCTTCATTACTTTGAATATTAAGTAATATAAAAAATATTAAATTAATTACAGGTTAATAAAAATCAAGTTCAATTATCAGTAGGGAAGTTAAGTAGTGGTTATATTTCTTATCTATAATACAACCATGCTTGAATTTGTATGACCAAGGGCTACTTTGTTTTTACAAAAAAAAAGCAAAAAAATTGATCAACATGACAAAACCGCCTTTGGTGAGCATACATTTTAAAACTTTTGTATAGTCTGTTTCAATGATTTTATCCAATGTTTCATTAACAGTACAAATTAAAATCCACGCTGAGAGTTTGCAGCGGTGCGTTTGCTGTTTTTTCCGCGTACTGTTTGTACAAGGAGGATGAGAAATTCTACGATGGCTTTGTCATGCCTCTGGCGCACACTTTCAGCCCGGAAACTTCGCACAGGCTTGCTGTTGCTGTCAATAAATACCGGCTCCTGCCTAAATCGCAGTACAGCGATCCTTCTTGCCTGGTATGTTTATGTTGCAGAGTACTTTATGATTTGTTTGCCTGAGCACTATTGTGTTTAATCATCATACTTGCATTGAATCGATGCTTTGTTAATATAATCAATATTATATTTTAAGAAACTTTTGAAAGAAATCAAACTAAATATAGCTCAGTATTTTCTTCATGTTCTAATGATTTCAACACTCATTCTCATGTTATAACACATCTATCGGAAAAATCATCACAAGTGTGATAAAGATTTCTTCCCCTTAGAAAACAAAAGTATGGGATTTGAGCTTTTCGAACCCGATTGGTATGGCTGCTGGTTTTGACAAGGACGGTGAAGCGATCAAGGGACTTCACGAACTTGGATTTGGCTTCGTTGAAATCGGTTCAGTTACCCCTGAGCCACAACCTGGCAATGAAAAACCCAGGGTTTTCAGGCTAAAAGAGAATAGTGCTATTATAAACAGGTAAAGGACAAAATTAACAGAATGTGAAACATATTTCTGATTTAATTAATAATACGAGATTGTTCAAAATGAAAAATTTGCATCAAGCAGGGGGTGACGGATGTGATGGAAAATCGAAATAAGAAGTTTGTGACATGGGCGATCGAAATCACAGTAGCTCAAGTGGTAGAGTATTAAAGTATTTATCTGAAGATTGTGTTTGAATCCCACCTGACACAAATTTTTCATTTGAAAAGTCGTGTATAATTAATTGAATACGCATGAAATAAAAATTGATACATATCACTGATTATTTATTGCCCCAGGTATGGTTTCAACAGCGAGGGCCATACAAAAGTGTATGAAAGAATTAAAGAATTGAGGGAAAATAATTTTCAAGGCATTGTCGGTGTCAACCTCGGAAAAAATAAATATTCAAAAGACCCAATTGGGGATTATGTCAAAGGAATAAAAACATTTGGCCCTGTCGCCGATTATCTTGTTATTAACATTTCGAGGTGAGTTTTTACATCAGTATCATGATAAAAACTAATTTATCAATAGTTTTTTTTAAAGCTTGCTGGATTGGTTTTAGCTGCTTGGTAATTTTTAAGTGTAGTGTAAATTAGTCGATTGTTTAACTAGTAATTAAGATATTTGGCTATTATTGTTACTGAATGACGGTTCTCATAAACAGAGTGACATTTGACCACCAATTTAGATAAAAAACTATATTATCATCAGTTGATTTATTATTCTTATTTATCTTCAATAGATTTTTATTAAAATGAACAATTTATGACATCATATCATTGATAAAATGACATTATTGCTAAATGATTTCCTTATTGAAATGTTCTGATATACTAGTGTTGTAACTTCTGAGTTACGGTGGGACATCTGGATGATATACGCACACATTGATGAGGGAACAATTCAAACCAATTAATCTTCAGTGAAAGCAGTAAATCAACACAAGCATATCCTCATAAACACACTCAACAAAATATTGACTCAGGAATTGTATTTCTTTGCTTATTTGGATGTATATAAAATAAGGGTGAACAAGCTAAACAGCTGATCAAGTCAAGCGAGCTTTAGTGTTTTTTTTAAACAAGTTTAATCTGATGTAATAAGAGGACTTTTATTAATCAAATCAGTCTGGAGAGGTACTTAACATAATTTGTTATAAAGTTCATAATATAGGTCTCCTTGACGAACATCGTTCTGTTTTTACTTTATTCTTTTCCTTCTAAAACAAATATATGTTATCTTAATGATAATAATAACTAATACAATTAAATCTGTTCATGCAAACTTGAAAACAATAGATTTTAATTATATTGAAATTATAAGGATTTGAAATAATGAATTGGGAAGTGTTTTGCAGCCCAAACACACCAGGGTTGAGGGATTGGCAGAATAAAGAACAACTGAAAGAGCTTCTTATCGAGTTAGTAAGGACAAGAGATTCATTGGAAGATCGCAAGCCGCCTCTTCTCGTCAAACTTGCCCCGGATCTTTCCCAATCTCAAAGAGCTGACATCGCCAAACTCGTCACCGACAAAAAGTGTCGAATCGACGGACTTGTCATTTCTAACACGAGCGTCGAAAGGGGAAATCTCACTGGCAAACATGTCAATGAAGAAGGCGGCCTCAGTGGTAAACCGCTTTCAGATACATCAACCCAAATGATATCAGAAATGTACAACTTGACTAAAGGTACTAGTTTTAAAATTATAAAAAATATTTTATTATTTCAAATATATTTTTTTTTAATATTTTTTAAGGGCAAATACCAATAATTGGAGTAGGTGGAGTATTTTCTGGAGAAGACGCTTATAAGAAAATCAAAGCTGGGGCTAGCCTTGTACAAATGTATACAGCTTTTGTATATCATGGTCCTCCAAGAGTGTCACGCATTAAAAATGAATTATATCAAATACTTAAGTATGCTTTTATGTTTAATATTTTTTTTATAAGTTTAACATAGAGTTACTGCAAATTTAAAAAATGAAAGTTGAATCCTTCCAATGTCAAGTGATATTACCAATACAAATGTCAATGATAATTTTTTACTTAAATTCAATAAGAGGCAGACCAATATGATATAACGACCATTTAAAAACTGTCCTGTTGTTTAGTCAATGATTAATTTGGGTCATATGAAAATTATTTTTCTCACCAACGTTGGTTATTGGCAAGCAAGTTGAAAAACTAAAAACTATATGTTTTTCTAAGGCTTGTATAATGATGAATACTTGATCATATTGGTATGGCTGCTATCACTGTATTTTCTTTTGCTCTGTTTGAGCAATTCATGGGTGATATAGCTACAAAAAGAAAGTATGGATACCGAGTTTCAGTATTGCTATAAATTTCCAGTTAATAATGATACATAGTTTACTTTTTTGGGGTCACTAGTGACCATAGTCTCCCTGTCTTACACTGTGACCTAAAAGATGTGGAATTGACCCTTCTTTATTTCCTATGTAGTTAGCCCTTTTGGGGGTTCCTCTTCACTTATTTCCTTAATCTTTAGTATTGTCTGTCTGAAGAGGATGTACTGTTTCCTTGTTAATGCTTTGCAGCTGCAAAGGATATTCCAATGTTTTCTTCATGACATAGTCGGCAAGTTTCTCTCTCAGTTTTCCAATTTTTTTAAATGGCAGTTTAATGGACAATGGCCAGTGTAAAGGCCTATTATTTTGAGAGAGAGAGAGAGTGTGAGAAGGAGGAGAGAAGGGTTTGATTGAGGAAAGAAAAAGAAAAAAGAGGATGAGCAATAAAGAGAATAATTGCTTAAAAAAAGAAAGAATGAGAAGAGTTTAAATAAGAAAAGATAAATAGTGTGAGAGTATTTAAAAGAGAGAGAGAGAGTGTGTGTGTGTGTGAGAGGGAGAGAGAGAGATTATTTTTCTTGGTTGAGTCGTTAAGAAACCATATAATTATAATTATTAAAAAAATTTTAAAATAGTATACCAAAAATATGTCAAATTACAAAAAAATTAAATTGTGCCACTTTTTTTGCGGATCAGTATATTATTATATATATTTTTGGGCTTAGTTTGTGTATATTAAATAACATAAATGTAACAGTTATTTGTAATCATTTTATTCTGTTTTTGTAGGTCATCTGAATATGAAAATGTAACAGAAGCGGTGGGAAAAGAAAACAAACTATGATCTATCTTGGATGTTCTAATTGCATTATTTTTCCAACACAAAATATTTTTTAAATGAACCTCATTTTGTGTAAATGTGTATATATAATGTTAACTGTAATAAATTATTTTTCTTACAATAAAAAGATATGTGCCTATTAAGCGACTCTACTCACTGTTGTGTAGACTAAAATTATTTTTGATGACTATTTAAGATTAATTACACTGTTCTTATTAATTTGGGATGTGTGGATATTTTGTGTTAATAGAAAAATTATATTTCATTTGGCGGACATTTTGAAAAATAATTTCCTACCTCAATGACTGGTTTTTGATGAGCCAGAGTAACCACATATCACAAATTAATAATTTTTTTAATAATTTTTTTTTTTTGTCGCCAACACCCTAATTAACACCATATATTAATAGGCATTTAAAACTATGAGAATCTAATAATTTTGAATATGGATGTATTTTTATGCTTGGGGTGCATGTATTTAGGTAGCTTACGGTGAATATAGTGAGTGTGTTGTGTATATGCATTTTTTAGTCCTTTTTATGTTTCCTTTTTATTTACATTTATAGTACTGTTTACTTTGATTAACTAATTGACCTTTTCGTGTATATATAAATAACAAGGTTATTTACATTTAATTTAACCCTACAGCAGGTGCATATATAAAAATTATGGAAGCGAGCACATGCTGTACCCAGTTTCGTATTTTATTTTTCATAAAATCATGGCAAAAGGGCTTCAAAAATACAAAGATCGTCCTTAACAACATTTTATCTGTAACAATAAATACCAGATAACCAGAAAAGTTCATGCAGGTTTAAATTGTCACAATTAAAATTAATGTATGGTGTTTAGTTACCGTTAGTCAATGAAAAAAAAAGAATTTGTATAATGCTAGAAAAGTTTAGATATAAAAAAATGAATTTATACAATGCTAGAAAATTTTAGATTCAAAGTATTCGTGCTCACTCAAAAAAAATTATTATGAATTTATACAATAATAGAAATTTTAGATATTAAAAAAAGTGAATTTATACAATGCTAGAAAATTTAGATTCAATCAAAGTATTCGTACTCACTCAAAGTAATTGTTTTCCGTGTAGATGTGTCATTCTTATAGTCGTGTTGAGAGTGCCAGTGAGAACGACTCACTAGAATGACACAATCTACACGGAAGACAAACATTTTGAGTGAGCACGAATACTTTGAATCTAAAATTTTCTAGCATTGTATAAATTCACTTTTTTTAATATCTAAAATTTCTATTGTATAAATTCATAATAATTTTTTTTCACATCCTACATGTATTTGTAAAATTTTTACAATGTTTATAAATCCCAGGCCCTGAAGATGATCTCAATAAAGATCGAAACGTTGGCATGATAAAGAAAATGTTATTCTAAAACCTACGCCACACCAGACCGCAACTCACGATCTTCGAATAATCACTAAAATTAATTTAGAAATATTTTATTCGCTAAAATAGTCTCCATTGGCATGACAACCTTTTCCCAATGTGTTACTACCCCAATTGTCCTTATAAAAGTTTGGGTCCCGGGACTTTACGTTGAATACACGGAAAAAGTGGTGCTGTGGCCAAAACATAATCCCAGCTGCAAGTTGTTTAAGAAGTACCAGGGACTGCTGAGGAGTGAGGGTTCACTTCGGACCACTAGCACATTACATGTTAAGTTGGACACCTTAACCACTCCGCCACCAAAATTCTTAATGAAATGCACCAAGTTCTTTTTTTTCCTAGTACTAAGTTCTTTGAAGTTATGTACATGAAAGGATAAGTAAAAACAACCAACGTGATAATATTTGTATATTTCTGACATTTTATCGTAGCAACAAAAATATTTTTTTCCCATTATTGTCCTTCTAAACATTTCCATTAAATCAATGAAAAATAAAATTATTACAAATCAACAATTTATCAGGATCTTTTTCTAATATATATATATATATTTTCTATAAGAATAAGACTAGACAATGTTACTTTATTTTTTAATAATAGATATATAATTTCACAAGCACCGATTATCACTTGCACACAATCCCCCGCTGACCCATCAGTATTTACAAAAATATATTTTTTTCACATACATTTTACACTGATAAAATTTAGTTTCTTTTTAAACGTTTTTACCACTAAGGATGATGAATGTTTAAGTAGATCACACTAAGGAAAAAAAGAGCAAACGATTTGGTCTATTCTCGTACATTCGCAGGTACTACAATTTAAGAGATTAAATAAATTTTCGTTTTTTTTGAGATTCGCTTAAAGCTTCGGTGAGTGAAAAAAAAACAATAACAACTAAATGATAACTAATAGCAAAACTAATGTGAAAACTGCAAGGTAAAGGGAAAATGTGTTATTCTAATTGATTCTAAAAAGAATGAAAAAAAAAATTATAAAGGACAAAAAATATGGTAAATATTAGATTAATCATTTAGGTATACTTGTGAATAAGGAACAATTGTGTAAAGAAAGAGAAATTAAGTAAAAATGATAGCTCACTTCGAAATAATACCACAACTACAATCACAATTAAATTAATTATAAAGAAATCAAAGATAAGGACGGACAATGATTAACTTAACAAAATTAAATTAACAACAAAAACATGACTGTAAACAACTTTGGAATTTGAACGCCAGGCTGAATTTTGGTTTTTAAAGCTTATTAAATATATTTAGAAATATAAGGCTCACATAGACAACATTTTTAAAAATGTTAGCTTATTCTATCCACAAGGTGCAAAAAAACTGTTCAGGTAAACTTAACTGTTAAAAACAAAACAAGTAACAACCTGGAAAAGATTAAAATATAACAAGAAAGCTTTAAAAATGGAATGTTTAAATTATTTGTCTTTTTCTTTTCTATCTATAGGAAATTCTCAAACCTATAAAGCTAGTAGCTATAACACTTTTTTTTAAATAAATATAATGTTTTACATTTGTATTACATAGTGCAAAAGCAGTCTGGCTGCTTTCTCCCATGTTCCTGTTTCAAGGTCCTGGGTTTAGAAGTGCCAAATTGTATACCCGAGCCAATTCTATCTGGATCGAGTTCACCTGAGGAACAAATGAACGTTAAAAAAAAAAAATTAATAAAAAGTTTTGCTTTAAATAATAATGAAAATAACATTTAATTTGTATACAGACCATTTTGTATCTTGGATAATATCGTTTGGCAACACTTTAAAAATGCTTCTTCGACATTTTCGCCCGATTTTGCACACGTTTCCAAATAGACTAGTTCTAAAAATGGTAAACTAAACTATGAATCTGTTCAATTCACATAAAAAAAAAATTAAATACCGTTTTCCTGGGCAAATCGGCAAGCTTCCAAAAATGTAACTTGACGCTCGTCTTCGAGATCTTTTTTATTACCAGCCAATATTATAACAATGTTAGGGCTCGCTAGTGACTTAGCATCGGCAAGCCATTCACCTAAGGAGTTGTAACTTTCTCTATTAGCAATATCGTAAACCAACAATGCGCCTGCTGCTCCTCTATAATAACTTCTTGTTAGACATCTAAAAATTAAAGTTTTTTTAGCGTTTCCTTGATTCATGGATACTATTTTAACAAGGGATGTGGCCAATACATAGAGATAACCAATTACAGAAAAAAGTGAAACAAAGTTTGTGTAGAGGTAAATCTTTAGTTTAAACCATTTGCCTTCTTGCTGGCTAGTTATGTCTCAGTGCTAGATAGATCATGTATTTAATTGATTAGAAACCCATTTATTGCTTTTTTTTTCTTCAGACATTGAAATTGATCTTTCATTAAGAAAACGCGGAATCTGCTTTAGAATTATTCAAGACGAACAAGATGAAACTACAGGGAATCTTGGAAGGTGTCTGCACTCAAATTTGTTGGCTAAGAAGTTTCTCTCAGCTACAGTGTCCTCTATTTCACTGAAAGGATAGAGATGTATTGACAAGCACTAGCAGGTATAAGCAAGTTGGAAAGGTTCATAAATTGGGCAATTGAATAAAATATGTCAAAGGACTTCCTTTTCAGCTAAACGGCATAGAGAGCAAAATAGGATCAATCTTATTGATGTACTTATGATTGGAAATAACAAATTTTAAGCAATATTTACTACAAGTACAGGTCTGGAAAAAGACTTTAGTTATCTCAAAAGGAGCCATGTTCAATAGGTAGGGGTAGTGCAATGAGGATGAATCAGTTGTTTATAATAACTACCATAATTAGATTCTCTTAATTTTATGCAGTCATTTTCTTTTTTTCATACACACCTATAAGATAAACTATACTAAGGGCCAGTTTATTAACATCTTGTTGGTACAAGTCAAGGCACCCTATTTCTGAAAATATGCTGATTATCTGGGTAACCGAATTGTACTGGGCCCTGTTTGCCAGTGAGTAATCAAGTAACAAATTGTGGAGTCTATGGTAACAAATTCGGTATCTGGACTCATAGCTGATTAATCCCAATATCTTCTCCATACCAGCCGTGGGACATGTTCTCATCACTCCCGTTATACAAATGCATGCAAGTCTCTGTATTTTTGTGAATTCTTTGTTTTATTATTTGTTCTACTTTATCGGCATAGGATACGGCACCATATGTGAGAATAGGTCTCACAAAACGAAAAAAAATTAATCAATTAATTAATAATAATAATAAAATCAGCCTACTGAAAATGACCCCATTGAACCATGAACCTCCTAGCCTAAAATCAAAGGTGGTTCCCCTGAGCTATGAGCTTCTTTTTTAGACCTGACTGTTCACCTTGTTCAATCAATTAAAAACCCACACATTATAAATTCGACAGTTGTCAGAATTACAAAACAAATAAAAATGAAACAATATGAATTTAAACACATCAAAATTCTTATTAATTTCAGTTTAATTTAAAAAAGAACAATTACACGAAGGCCTCATAAATTAAATAAAAATTACAATTTCCTGGAGTATCCTCTCCAAAACAAAAGAAAAAAAAAGAACACTTTCTATTATTGTTTAAAAAAAAATGTTTTCTACAAGTTTGGTCTCCGCGGAGAGCCTTGTCTTGACGTCTGTCCTTCTAGCTCCTGCTAGGATGAGTATGCTGATCCCAGACAAGAAGAAATCCCACACTGGAAAAAAAGCATGCCCCCTTTCTTCATTTTACCTCCTCCTTTTTCTTCTCTTTCTCACTGCTCACGCTTTGCCTGCATCCACTTGCACACACCTGTCTGCCACTGTGTTCATGCAGTCTTTGCTGCCTCTGCTCCTGATCCAGACATCCTACTGTGTGACTCCATCACTCACTTCAGATCAGGAATGATCCCCAACAAGTTAGAAGTACACCAAGTTTTTTTTTCTTTTTTAGCTCAGCTTTACAGACATTCAGTTAATATCATTTTGTTGGTGAGAACTCTTGCCACCCCAACAATCTGCACCAATCTACCTGGGCCACCTCCAAAGGGCACTACCCAATACACCAGCTTCTCATTTGGGTATACACCAAATTTCGTTAGCATTATTAGGATAAAAACCTTACACGGCAACAGAAGCCCCTGAAAAAGTCCACATCGTCCCCACTTCTTGGGGATCATTGGCCCTTTGCATGTTAAACACCCCCGAAGACCACCAAAGACAGCACCCCCCAGAACGACCCAAGCTCCTTACCTCTTAATAGCTATTAATTTGTATTTAAGCCTTCAGTTTGTTTTCATTTAAAAATTCAAACAATATTCTAAACACCATTTCATTTTACAAACCTATAAGGGTATTGAAAACGAAGGGCTTCTCTACCTCTGTGCAACTGAACACTTTCATTGAAACTATTAGTTTTTATTAATTTTTCAAGGACAGGAAGTCCCAAAATCGAGCGGGTGTCAGGGGGTAACTACTATCATGGAGTACATCCAGAGTAGGGTTTCTGGTCTGCACCTTCACTTTTTCCCGCTATTCTTCTGCACACCATTACTTAGTAATGTGCTGTGTTTAGTGACCATTAATTAATGATTATTTGGAGATCGTGAGATGCGGTCTGGTGTGTCGTGGGTTTAGAAAATCTTTTTCTTTATCATGCCAACGTTTCGATCTTTATTAAGATCATCTTTAGGGCCTGGGATTTATAAGCATTGTTTAATTTATACAAATACATGTAAGATGTGAAAAAGTGATGAATACAATGATAGAAATTTTAGACTCAAAGTATTTGTACTCACTCAAAGTGTTTGTTTTCTGTGCAGATGTGTCACTGTGGGTTGTGTTGAGAGTGCCAGTGAGGTATTAATGTTTTATTTTTATTACTGGATTTTGAAGGAGTGGGGAAGGAAGTAGGGAGAAAGACGTTTTTCTATGAGGAATCTTCTTTGAGGTGAAAGAAGTCGACAATGGGAAAAATGGTTTGGCCTGATTATCCTTTCAGGAAGATGGAGATAATTAGGGAAAGAAAAGACAAATTGTTGAAGAATTCGACTGTAGAAATTTGATTGTGGAATATAAGGATTGTGTTATATGTTGTAATATGTTTTGTGTGTTATATGTATTTTATTGATATTGAATTTGATCAATGATATTAGCGTACCTGCGGCTGAGTTTACAGTGCTGTTTATCTTTGTTGCTGTAAATCATTTCTAAAAAGTTACGTTTATGATGTTTTGTTCTGTGTGTAATATTTTTGGATTGTTAAAGTCGAAATTGTGTTGGTGTTCAAAATGGTGGGTAGCCATTTTATCCAGTAATCAATGTAAGCTACCGGAGAATTTGTACAATTGATTTTGTAAATTACATCAAATTTATTTGTTACAGATGCGGGATCTTTAATTTTGGCAAAAAGTGTGTGAATAGTGTTATAGTTTTTGAAGGATGTATTAAAGTTATCAGAATAGTTTAATTTATGTGATAGGCCGTGAATAATGGCATGGATATGTATGTTGGTTTGTGTGTATTTCATAGAATTGTTTAGTATTATTAGTAATAGTGGATGGTGTTAGTGTTGAGTTGTAGTTGTTGATTATTCTGTTGATTGTTCTGATGATTATACAGTAACTTCATTATTTTTTGTTTAAACTAGAGAAAATCTAGTTTAGGATGGTATTACCAAATGCTAAGAACCTTGGGAAAATAGTAGAGATTTTCAAAAAATGTAGGGGCTTGTATTAAAGAACAACCGAAATAAGAGTAGAAAAGAGTTTGAATTTGTCCAAAAAAATTTTAATGTACCTATATCTTTCTTGACCCGCCGTGTCCCATATTTGCAATTTGATATTTTTCCCACCGATTGTGACGATCTTGGTCCCGAATTCCACGCCGATCGTGTGGCTGCTCTCAGACTTGACTGGAAGAAAAAGAAAAAGAAAAAAAGTAAGAAAATTTTGAAAAATCTCACAATCCTACAAACCGCCTCCTGTCAATCCTTAATTACATTTCTTTTCGATGAACTGGTGCAGGAGGCAGGATTTCCCAGAGCCGGCGCTCCCGATCACAATAAATTTAAAAAGAAAATCTGAAAATACAGATCAACGTTTTCAAACCGTACGGTTTTTTTTCGAATATGCTGTACAAACTCACCGTACGATTCCGTCATTCTTTATCTCTATTTACATCACTCGGCAAAAACTGGGAATACTGTGAATATACGAAAGAAATTAATATTTTAATCGTTAAAATAAATCGTTTTGACATAAGCTTACTTATTTTTTTGTGAAAATGAAGTTTTTTAAAACTTAAAACCTAAGTTGTACTTCTCTGATAAAATATAGATCTAATGTTCCTTCATAAGGGGATTATACTGTTTTTGTTTCTCTATTAATAATGATTAAAATAAAAAATAAAGAATATTAAAATTTTATTTTATATAAATTGATTTTTTTCTACTTTATTTTAATTAGTGATTTTATAATAGTGAATTTTATAACTGGAGGTTTGGTCTTTTTGCGATACATACGCTAGAGACGGCGGCCATGTTAATGTTGACCTGTGCTGATCTCGGTACAGTTGTGTTTTTATTTGTGAACGCTGTGTCGGCTTTCGACATCTTTTTCTTGTTTTTCAACCCGTGAGATGTTTTAAGAAAACGCCCGGCCCTGGTCGTTTCTCGAGCGAGATGACGGCGCAAACGGACATCCCTCCGGTGCCTTCCACCAAGGTGGTTCAAATCACAAACATCGCCCCTCAGGCGACGAAGGACCAGATGCAGACGCTTTTCGGCTTTCTGGGCAAGATCGAAGATATAAGGCTTTACCCGACGATCAGGGACGTCTCGGTCCCTGTACAGTCGAGGATTTGCTACGTAAAGTTTTTCGACGCGGTATGCGTCGGCGTCGCACAGCATATGACCAACACGGTCTTCATCGACAGGGCCCTGATCGTCACCCCGTACGTGTCTTCGTCCAACGAGATCCCGGACGAATACAGAGCATTGGAGATCGCGGCTCAGGCCAACGTCGTGCCCGGTTTGTACGGAAACAACTCGAAACTGCCTCCTCATGTGACAAACCAGATCGAAGGTACTCAGCCGAACCAGGTCATCACGACTCACGACCCTGTGTTGATATCCAACGGGCTTCCTCCTTACCCTCCTCTCCCGATAAATTACGATTCCGTTCGTATCGAAGAAATCCGCCGGACCCTCCTTGCTTCCAACCTCGACAGTAACATAACAGCCCAGCAGCTCATCGACTTTTTCGGTACGGCCGGGGACGTGAAGTACGTCAGGTTTGTCAAGAGGGAAAACGATCCTAACACGTACGCCCTTATAGAGTTTTCCGAACAGTTGAGCATAATCAATGCTTTGAAAATGAATGGGCAATCTCTTCTCGGACGTCACGTGCAGATTTGCCATTCGACTGTGAACATAGATAAACCGCAAGCGAAGAGCAACGAAGCGGCGCAGAGAGAGATCGAAGAGGCCATGACTCGTGTAAAAGAAGCGCAGAATTTGATATCAGCCGCTATTGATCCTGTAATCGGGATCTTGTCCAAAGACAAGAAGAGGGGTCGATCTAGATCGAGGTCGAGAAGGAGGTCCAGGTCTAGATCTAGGGGGAGAAGGCGCAGATCCAGGTCCCGGTCGAGGGGGAGGAGAAGGCGGTCTCGTTCCAGGAAACGCAGCAGGTCGCGTTCTAGAAAGCGCTCTCGCTCTCGTGACCGCAAGAAGAGGTCCAGAGACCGCCGCCGGACCAGGACGAGATCCCGCACAAGAAGCCGAGACAGATCACGCAGGAAATCTCGCAGCCGTTCACACTCCAAGCGCAGCGATAAATGCAAATTGAGACACAAGGAGGATAAAAAAGATAAAGACAGGAGTAAAGAATTGTCCCCGATCAAAGAAACCGAAAAAGCTTCGAGTCTAGAACCAGAAAAAGACTCACTTACAGACGCTCCGGAAAATATTTCAAAAGAGGGATCAAAATCGCCTGAAAAATCACCTTCGATCAGAAGAAGCAGAAGCGCTTCTCACAGAGAATCGAGATCCGTGAGCCGTAAAAGATCCCCGGTAAGGAAGAAGTCTCGCTCTATATCCAGAAAGAAATCCCATTCTCCTTCTCATAAAAAATCGAGATCCCCTTCTAGGAGGAAATCTAGGACGCCGACGAGGAAAAACAGCCGCTCTCTGTCAAGGAGGAAAACTCGGTCGCCTTCCCCTCGTAAGAAATCACGCTCCGTGTCGAGGAAGAAGTCCCGGTCCCCTTCGAGGAAAAAGAGCAGGTCACCTGAAAGAAGAAGGCGGACAAGGTCGCCTCGTAGAAGGTCGAGGTCGAGGAGCAGGAGAAAATCGAGAACACCGAGGAGGAGGAGCAGAACACCGAGAAAGAGCAGATCTCCTAGGAGAAAGAGGAGCAGATCTCCACGAAGGAAAAGGAGTAGGACTCCTATCAAGTGGAGAAGCAGATCTCCATCATCACCCTTAAGAAGAAGAACTAAATCTCCTTCTCCTTAGTTTTACTTGTATATTTTGATTTTTTCCTTGTAATTTATGGCTATTCAATTTAAATTTTCTAATCTGTTCGATATAATAATAAAAATTAAAAAAAAAATTGAACAGCACTTGGTGTTTTAATATATCCCATTTTCTTTCTCTGGTAAATTCTATGTGACTGGGTACTCAGGTCTGCAGGGGAATGAAAAGGCAGCTAAGGCCAGGACGTCCCAACCTCTGGACTTAGCAGCCACGATCTCGCCCCCTGATGCTATAAATGCTTTAAAAAAAAATGTTTAAAGGAAAGTGAGTGGTGGATCAGTAAAGAAACACATTTGATAGGTGGCCTTTAGAGGAGCTCCCCTCAACCGATTAAGGATCATCGTGTGAGGTTCAAACGTCGACACTAACTTTTTGGCCAAAACGTGCATTTGTGTCCTGCAGGCAAGGAAATGTTGCTCAATGTGCCTCAACAATTGAAGGAAGCAATTTCTTGGCTCTATATAGAGAGCCAAGTAAGAATATGTAGGAATGTCATCCGATATCAGAATCGTACTTGAGCTTGGCAACGAGTAGCTGTGTCCCTTATTTGAAGGAAACAGAATTGTTTTGTACTGTTTAATACTGATAGTTTTATATACCTAGCGGGTGTTGGGAGTGAATGTATTTATTGGCTTGAATGTTTAGTGTAAGAAAGCATATGATGGAATATTGAGTATCCATCGACCCTCAATTATATTAGTTATGTAATAGGCGTAAAGGTTGACGAAGAAATAATGTATGTACAGGTTGTATTGTGTCATCATGTACAGTTATATGTATTGTAACTGAATGTAATCATGTTGAACCGGCTTGTAGAGAACGGATACTCGATGTGTCCTGCTTAGTTGAAGGATGCAATTCCTTGGATCTACATAGTGTTAGAATACAACCTGAAGCGAGAATAACAGCATGCTGGTCCTCTATGTTGGGAATGAGTGCTTTTATTGACATGAATGTGTAATGTGAGTAGGATGATGGTGTATTATTGAGTAACATATCCACCCTCAATTTGGTTAGTTATGTAATAGTTATAAAGGGTGATGGAGGAAAATTGAGTACTCTACCACCTCTACTGAGTGAATGATATATAATAGGAAAGAATGCGAGACTGATTGATTGTGCTGGGACTGAAATGACCTAGCACCCAGAGCCCAACATCCGTGGCTGGATGGACAAAACCAGTCTGATCCCGGACTGCCAACACTGATTCTTCAGGTCTGTCGGTAATTCATTGTAAATTACAACAGCTGGTGGACTGCGAGAAATGATACACAACTCTGTACACGTGTGTATGTAATACGTATGTGAGTAGTCATCTTCGGTTTTCTTTATGTATGCTTTACAAAGGTGTTACCACTTCATTTGTAATTTTAAGCCTTGCCTCGATAAAAATACAATAAGTCAGAGGTCGATCTCTTCCATGTAGAGAGGCACAGGATCTGTTATGTAACTCAGTACGCTTTCGCATGCCTTGCCTCTGTGGCTAACGTTGTTTCCAGATTCACCAATTTCCGACTCACTTTGTTTTTAAAAAGAAAATCCTGTAAGTTGTGTAATGAGTAAAAAGTAAAAGTTCCATTTTAATGATTATCTTTGTAAAATTCTTTTTTGTTGATTGTATTTGCATTCTTAATGTATTATTACTTAAAGTACTTAATGAGTAACAGCTAAAAATTCTATTTTAATGATTATCTTTATTTGTAATTTTAATTATTATGTTCTAATTTTCCCTTGAATGTTTCTTTTTGGGCCACAAGTCTGTTGAAATTGTATTTGTAATTACTTAGTAATGAAATTGGCAAATTTTAATTAGATTAAAAATTTTAAATTTTCTAAAATTTATTCAGTAAAGAGCTATCTTGGAGAGTTCATATTTTCTGTAACAATGTCTATTGAATTTTTAAAACTTTCGTTTTGATAAAAATAGTTTTTTAATTAGTTGAATACGTGTCAAGGATTTTGAAATGAATAATTTATTATTTCGATTATGCAACATGGTATGCATATTAAGCTAATTTTCATACACGTGAGTTAATGTGGTGTTGCATGATTAATCAACAAACAAATGCAATTCAAATTAAAAAATTAAACATGGGTTTACATAATTTGGTGGTTTAATGTGTTTTGTTAAATATAGGATTAATTAGAAATCAATAAATTATCCTTAATTGTTTGGGAATTCTGATGTAAATACATTACATTTTAATTTTTATTGCGCTGATTAAATAAAAAAGTTAAAATTTTATACTCAATATATATATTTGACATAGATAATTTAATACTGAAAACAAAATTTTCATAGTGCAAGTATCTTTTAAATTCATAATAAAAATATAATTATAAATTTTCAGTAAATTGAGATAATAATAAATATAAAATAAATTATAAAAAATACTGATTTTTGTTTGTTTGTTTGTTAAAGCCAATTCCTTAATATAAGATCACATTGAAATTCTCATGGTAACTTTGTAAAAGCTTTAAGTATACAACAAGCCATTTTATGACAAACATGCAAACAAAAGCAGCAAAAATATATTGTTTTTCTTTCTCTTAGCCTTTCTAAACATTAAATTTTTAAAATAATTGCTAAAAGAAGACCCTGATCCACTTCTCGGTCAATTCAGATCCAATTAAGGCAAAACTTTTTTTTAAAAAGTAGCAGCTTGAAGTTTTATTTTTGTGTGAACCAGTCAAGTGGGTTGGCTTCGATCTGTGCCTTCGAAAGGCTTTTTCCATTATGAAGTAATTCAGCGAATTCTGCTGCTAGCGGATCAGTTCCCACAGTGGTGACACCTATGACGTTGTCGCCCTTGCAATAGTAAACCACAAACTTAAGCCCTTCGACATCGCCCTTGACAATTGCTGCGTCATGCTTATACGTGCTACCTAAAATATATTCATCAATATTATTTATTTTCTTAAATAACCATTCATGATGGTCAGCACTCATCATTCCCCAGGAGTTCATCCTGAAAGAGTTAACAGTAATTTTCATTTGACAAAATATAATTTCTCACCAGCGACTCTGAAACTTGTGCCAAAAAGCATGGTCCAGAAGAACGGTATGGTCTTAAGTGGTGTTGCGTTTGACATCATATTAAGAGCAGCGATTCTTCCATGGTAATGCGCCAAACCCCAATGACCTATGCTCAGAGACTCATCTTTTAAAGCGTAAACAGGAGCTTCAGCAATATCTCCTCCAGCAAAGATGTTCGGACAGTTTGTTTCAAGAAACTTAAACAAATAAAATCTTGAGTGACAATTCGATATTAAAGATTGAAAATTAAATCACCTTATTTACTGGCACGGTTCCGTTTGAATTCAATCTAACTTTGGATCCTTTTAAGAAATTGGTGGCAGGAGAGGCGCCAAGGCCGAGAATGACAACATCGGCTGGAAGCTCGGTACCATCGGATAAAACGACTTTTTCAACTTTTTCCTCTCCCAAAAATGACGTGATCGTAATGATCATTTTCATTTGGACTCCTTTTTCTTTGAACAATTTGGCCACTCTTTCGCCCATGGCGTTGCCGAGACTTTCGGCAAACGGCACTGAGCTTCGGCCGACTACTGTCACACTTTTGACTTTACCCAAACAATATGCAGCCGCTTCCATTCCTATTTTCTCAATTAAAATAAATAAATAATAATAATAATAATAAAAATCTGCCAAAAAAAAGTAATAAAAAAAGCACACCAATAAAGGACGATCCGTATATAACAACATTTGCTTCTGGGTTTAAATGCTTTTGAATTTCATTTGCGTCATTCAATGTTCTCAATGTAAATATGTTCTTTAAGTTAATTCCTGGGATAGAAATCCTTCTGGGTCTGCAAATAATTTTTTATACATTTTGTATAAATTTTAATGTTTTTTTTTAATAAAAAGAAAAGAAAAAAGTCTTATGTCTGTGAGAATTAATAAGCTATATAATAATTGTTGATCCTTACATTCCTCCAGTAGCAATGAATAAAGAAGTGTAATTAATTTCTTCACCATTGCATAAAGTAAGTTTTTTAGAATCTGTACACACTTTTGTTACTTCAGTATCAGTTTTCACTTCTATATTATTTGTCTAAAATTGTACAAAATCACTTGAATAATGCAATATGTGTTATATTGTACATTATTATTTACCTCGTAGAAATTTTCAGGGCGTAGTTGAATTTTATCAATTGTCATATCTAGTTGTTTGCTCAACTTGATCCTGTCATATGGTAGGTATTTATCTGAAGTCACCATGACAAGCTTTCCGCTGAAACCTTCTTGCCTCAATGTTTCGGCACAGACTAGACCAGCCGGTCCTCCTCCGATTATAACGAAGATGTTATTATTTTTACAATCAATGGTCATCATCGATTTCTGCCGTTTGTTGGCACTGAGTTCGCTCAGTTTTGCCCTAACCTTGACCCCGCCTTCAGGCGTGACTTGTACATTGTAGCAAGGAATGCTGTCCAAACCTGGAAAATCTTCTATGTCTCCAGTTTGAATGTTGAAACAGGCACCGTGCCATGGGCATCTTATCCTGTTGTCTCCAAGAGCACCTTTGACAAGAGGTGCACCGTAATGAGTGCATTTTGTGCCGAGGGCGCTGAAGCGCCCATTTTTCTTGACCACTAACACTTTCCCGTCATCTCCCAGGTCGCAGACTTTCATTCTAGATAATAAGGTAAAATTAATTTTGAGTATTACAAATAAATCTTGTTATGTAAGTTGTTTATATAATATACCCATTTTCAGGGATGTCTTCAGCCTGGCAGACAACACCTTCAATATAATTATTACCTCCATTGTGATCTGTAAATTATTTTTAAATTATGTTATTATTATCTAAAAATAATTTTGCAAAGGAAATGCAAGTATGATGAAAGACAGGTGATTATTCACGAACATCATCAAATTCATAATTATCATTATTTCAGACTTAAAATATACTTTATATATGTATGAAACTTATGTAAAAGTAATGGCCCTTTTAAAAAAAGCAATTTATTACAAAATATTTTTCGGATCTATAATAAGTAAATATAAATATTTGAAAGAAACAGACTTTTATTTTAAATGGTGTTGTGAAGGGGGGTGAGTGGCCGAAGTAATTGGTCATTATGATTATTCCTTTTCTTCAGTTACAGTTGGTAAAGTTTCAGATTTACCACTGGTCCTTCTGCTATGCCTTTTTCCATCCTTAATCGAACCTTTAGAATTTTTATAGTCTGATGATGCAAATTGTTTAAAGTTATTAGAATTTACTGGAGTCAGAGATTTGCCACACGGATCATCTTCCAAATTTATCCCAGCGCCTTTTTGGCTAGTTTTCCCTTTATGGCCCTCGCTTATTAAATCTCCAGATGGCATTGCACTGTTTTCTGGTTTTTTACCCTGCTTCGCTTCGACCGTACGATTTGTCCTGTTGGCAACCACATGAGAAGCATGACGTCTATGAATGGAACTTGCAGATGAAGAGATATTAAGTTTAGGTGAGGACACATTTGTAACATCTCCTCCTGGATTTTGAAAGTCTGAATGTGGAAAGGCAGATTGTTTATTGTTCATCATGCTAGAATTTGAACATACAGATCCTTCTCGGGCATTATTAAAACTTTCATTTTTCATGCTTCCTCTATGCAGATTTTTGTTGGAATGTTTTTTGTTAGGAGAGCCGTCCTTTGCATGTTTTGATTTAGAACTAGTTAAAGATCCTTTTCCATGTTCTTTACCAGTTCCACGTCCAGGGTCTGATCCAGTTCTTGATCTGTGGCCATGGTTATTAAATCCATGTTCATTATCACGACCTGTTTCTGATTTGAGCTTTTCTTGTTCATCATGGGATGATTTACTCCCCTTTTTGGTTCCATTTCCCTTCCCTTGGCTATCTTTGGATACCTTTTTCTTATTGGATTGCCCAGTTCCATGATCAAGCAGCCCATTTCCTCCACCTTGTTCATTATGCATCGCACCACTGTGTCCCATCCCTGATCCATGCAATCCAGATTCTTCGCCTTGTCCTACTCCTGAAGGGCGACCTGTACCATGTAAATTGGATTTTGCTTGACCACTGGCAATAGAACCTTCATTTCCTTGCTGTCTCATTGGAGATAAGTTACCTCCAGATTTTCCTTGCCCCTTTCCTGAAGGATGGCCTGAAACATGCAAACCTGGTCCATTATCGATGGAACATTCATTTGCCCCATGTCCCATTTGCTGCTGTAAGTTTCCACCAAATTGTGCAGGTCCCTGTCCAATTTCTGAGGCATGGCCTGTCCCGTACAACCCGGATCCTCCTCCTTGTCCCATTCCAGAAGGATGCCCTGTCCCATCAAATCCGGATCCTGCGCCTTGTCCCATTCCTGAAGGGTGGCCTGCCCCATGAAGTCCAGATCCTCCATCTTGTCCCATTCTGGAAGGGTGTCCTGTCCCATCAAGTCCAGATCCTCCACCATGTCCGATTCCGGAAGGGTGGCCTGCCCCATGAAGTCCAGATCCTCCATCTTGTCCCATTCTGGAAGGGTGTCCTGTCCCATCAAGTCCAGATCCTCCACCATGTCCGATTCCGGAAGGGTGTCCTGTTCCATCATATCCAAATCCTCCATCTTGTCCTTTTCCAGAAGGGTGTCCTCTTCCATCAAGTCCGGATCCTCCACCTTGTCCCATTCCTGAGGGGTAGCCTGACCCAACAAGACCGGATCCTCCGCCTTGTACTACTCCTGAAGGGTGCCCTGTTCCATCATATCCAAATCCTCCATCTTGTCCCATTCCAGAAGGGTGCCCTGTTCCATCAAGTCCGGATCTTCCACCATGTCCGATTCCGGAAGGGTGTCCTGTTCCGTCATATCCAAATCCTCCATCTTGTCCCATTCCGGAAGGGTGTCCTCTTCCATCAAGTCCAGATCCTCCACCATATCCGATTCCGGAAGGGTGTCCTGTTCCGTCATATCCAAATCCTCCATCTTGTCCCATTCCAGAAGGGTGTCCTCTTCCATCAAGTCCAGATCCTCCACCATGTCCGATTCCGGAAGGGTGTCCTGTTCCATCATATCCAAATCCTCCATCTTGTCCTTTTCCAGAAGGGTGTCCTCTTCCATCAAGTCCGGATCCTCCACCTTGTCCCATTCCTGAGGGGTAGCCTGACCCAACAAGACCGGATCCTCCGCCTTGTACTACTCCTGAAGGGTGCCCTGTCCCGTCAAATCCAAATCCTCCATCATGTCCTATTCCGGAAGGGTGTCCTGTCCCATGAAGTCCAGATATTCCTCCTTGTCCCATTTGAGACATATTTCCTCCAGCTTGACCAGGACCTCCATATCCAAATTGCATGCCGTCTCTACCCAGTTGCCCGCCGGTCGCTCCAGATGGATTATCTTCCACTCCCCAACGTTGTACTCCCGGAACGCTACGTACTTGTCCAAACTCATCAACATAAATTTCGTTCCCATCAGTACTCGCCGTGCCATGGAATGTTAATCTCGTATTGATATCATTCTTTGAAACTGACCATGGCCCTTTGTTCATATGAGCTACCTTCATCCTTATACTTGGATTCGAGATGACAGATGCCCCTCTGACAAAATGAGATTCAGAAGGGTGTTGGTTCTGTTTATCCATTGTCCTTGTTCCATTGTAACTTACGCACTGCGTCATTTTCGCCATCCCATCTCCAGTCGAAATGCACGGAGGCACGATGTAAGAATCGATCACGATAGGAATGAAAGAACATGACCGTATTATGAATGATATAAGCAAATACAAGAAATACAATGATAAACAAAGCTCGAATAAGTAAATTATTCTTGTCAAACAAACCATGGCTTGGCTCAATGACTCAAAACACCCCGGCCACTCATGTTTAGTCTGCTCTCTCTAAAATTTTATTTTACAAAGACAGAAACATCTGTTGAAAGGTTACTACAATAAAATATTATTTATAAAAACTTGAAAAAATTTCTCACCCAATTTCCTAGTGACTATAATGGCACGAGAATACCCGAGATCCCAAAACGACCTTAGCCACTTTATCATAGTATTTATTTTAATCGAAATAGTGTAAACTATAAAAAATTCACACTCATACCTTTGCAATTGCTGAGACCCATTTCTAAATCGATATTTGTCCTTAGTTTTCCTCCCTCTATCAATTGGAAGTATAGAAAATAGAATCCTATCAAGGAAGTGTCGGAAATGTCACTGTTTCCTCAGGAAACAATATTTAATATTGGCGGAACGAAATCGCTAAGGAATTCTCCCCAGTCCAACCTTGTTCGCCCCCACCCGTTCTTAGAAACTAAGGACAGAGGAAACGTTCAGACTGGAGTTTCCCTTCACTTTTTTTTTTCTTTTCCTCCAGTTAAATCTTCTATCCCGTCCTTGAAAAGAAAACATGTGCCACTTGTAAAATTTCAAATCCAAACAAATCGTAAAATTTATCAAGTGGGATATTTACTAAAAATAAATTTGACTAACGTCGCCCCTAATCTCCTTTAATATACACGATAGTGACATTAGGGCGATAAAGGGGAAACGTATAGAAAATTGAAAGTGTAACAGTTCCACATCGCTGTGCAAAGTCCCTGACACTATTCCTATAATTGTTTTCCTTTAAAATGCTCCAATTATATTAGAATATTAGGAGGTTCGGTATCTGTGGAGAAAACATTCACAAGGCTGGACACTAATGAACTTTACAAGCTCATTACCAAATCAAAACTAATTCTAATAAAGAATTATAGTTTAGAAACAAAACGGTGATGGTGTGTCCGTACGGACATAGAATTGAGAATCATTGAATGGTAGAATGAGTGCACCAAAAGTTACTTAACTTCAATAATAAAGTAACAATAAAAAAGTGTTCTGACAAATTTTGCAACAGAATAAAAGTAATCCTAATAAAGATACTATAGTTTACAAAACAAAACTATACCAATATACCTTATTAATCACAGGCATAGAATTGAGAATATTCAAATGGTAGAAGGAGTGTACCAAAAGTTACCTGAATTCTGTAATAAAATAGCAATAAAGTGTTATTTTAAATTTTACAACAGAATAAAAGTAAACCAAATAAACATACTATAGTTTGCAAAACAAAACTAATGGAAAATATCTTACTGATCATAGAGAATTATCAACCAACTTTGAACGGTAAAATGAATGTACCAAAAGTTAATACAATAACAATAAATAAGTGTTCTTACAAATTTTATAACAGAATAAAAGTAATCCTAATAAAGATACTATAGTTTACAAAACAAAACTATGCCAATATACCTTTTTTAGCGGTTAAAACGCCCTTAAAAATTAATAATAATATCTTATTAATCACTGGCATAGAATTGAGAATATTTAAATGATAGAAGGAGTGTACCAAAAGTTACCTAAAGTCTGTAATAAAATAACAACAAAAAAGTGTCCTAACAAATTTACAACAGACTAAAAGTAAACCTAATGAACGTACTATAGTTTGGAAAACAAAACTAATGGAAAATGTCTTACTGATCATAGAGAATGAATCGAGAATTGTCAACCAACGTTGAATGCTAAAATAAGTGTACCAAAAGTTAATACAATAACAATAAATGAAAGCGTACTTACATATTTTACAATGGAATAAACTTATCCTAATAAAGATACTATAGTTTAAAAAACAAAACTGTACCGGTATATCTTCTTAACCATAGGGAATTGAGAATCTTTGAATGGTAGAATGAGAATACCAAAAGTTATATAAATTTTGTAATAAAATAATAAAAAAGTGTTCTTTTAAATTTCACAACAGAATAAAAGTAATCTGAATAAAGATACTATAGATTGCAAAACAAAATGGATGGAAATTGTCTTATTGATCATTGACAATGAATTAAGAATTGTCAGCCAACCTTGAATGGTAAAATGAGTATCCCAAAAGTTACATAAATTTTGTAATAAAATAATTAAAAAGTGTTCTAACAAATTTACAACAGAATAAAAGTAAACCAAATAAACACTGTATATTGCAAAACAAAACTAGTGGAAAATGTCTTGTTGAACATAGACATAGAATTGAGAACTGTCAACCAACTTTGAATGGTAGAATGAGTGTACCAAAAGTTACCTAAATTCTATAACAAAATAACAACAAAAAAGTGTTCTAACAAATTTACAACAGAATAAAAGTAAACCTAATGAACGTACTATAGTTTGCAAAACAAAACCAATGGAAAATGTCTTACTGATCATAGACATTGAATTGAGAATTGTCAACAAACTTTGAATGGTAAAATGAGTCTTCCAAAAGTTAATACAATAACAATAAATAAAAGTGTTTTTACAAATTTTACAATGGAATGAAACTTATCCTAATAAAGATACTATAGTTTAAAAAACAAAACTGTACCGGTATATCTTCTTAACCATAGGGAATTGAGAATCTTTGAATGGTAGAATGAGAATACCAAAAGTTATATAAATTTTGTAATAAAATAATAAAAAAGTGTTCTTTTAAATTTCACAACAGAATAAAAGTAATCTGAATAAAGATACTATAGATTGCAAAACAAAATGGATGGAAACTGTCTTATTGATCATTGACAATGAATTAAGAATTGTCAACCAACCTTGAACGGTAGAATGAATATACCAAAAGTTACATAAATTTTGTAATAAAATAATAAAAAAGTGTTCTAACAAATTTACAGCAGAATAAAAGTAAATCTAATGAACGTACTATAGTTTGCAAAACAAAACTAGTGGAAAATGTCTTACTGATCATAGACATTGAATTGAGAATTGTCAACCAACTTTGAATGGTAAAATGAGTATAGCAAAAGTTAATATAATAACAATAAATAAAAATGTTCTTACAAATTTTACAACAGAATAAAAGTAAATCTAATAAAGATATTATAGTTTGCAAAACAAAACTAATGTTAATGATTGTTTGAAGATAGTGAGATGCGGTCTGGTGTGAGGTGGTTTTAGAAAAACATTTTCTTTATCGTGCCAACAACGTTTATAAATCCCAGGCCCTGAAGATCTAAAATTTCTAGCATTGTATCAATTCATTTTTTTTTCACATCCCACATGTATTTGTAAAATTCAAACAATGTTCATAAATCCCAGGCCCTGAAATGATCTCAATAAAGATCAAAACATTTGCACGATAAAGAAAATGTTTTTCTGGACCCTACATCACACCAGACCGTATCTCACGATCTTCAAATAATCATTAACTAACAGTCACTAAACACCATACTAATGGAAATGTCTTATTGAACATGGACCTAGAACTGAGAATTGTCTAACTTTGAATGGTAGAATGAGTACAAATTATACAATAGAATAAAAGTAAACATAATAAAGATACCAGTTTTCAAAATGAAATTATTGGACCATATGTTATCAATCATATACATATTAATCTATCATTTTACAATTTTTACTTACAAAAATATAATTGTCTTCTCCCTTTCACTTAATGTAAATTATGTTTATTGTGGGTTGAAACGGGTAAGAAAATGTAAATTCTCTAATATAACAACAATAAAAAAGTTTCCTTCAACAAGTTGACTGAAAAATGAGAAGTCATAAATAAATTGCCAAAACTTGTACAAGGTTTACCACATTTAATATTAAACAAATTAATGCATATTCTTTGTCAAAATGTAAATAAAACTAATAAAGCAATAGCACAATACGAGGGAAGGAGTCATAATAGTCACAGAATTGAAAATTATAAATAAAAATGTTTGATTGTAATAATAATAAATGCTTTAACTATGATACACGGAAAAAATCAAATATAAACTTCTGACAGACGATAATCATGGACAATTGGACGGTCTAAGGTACAATATATATTTTTTTATGCAAATGTTGATCGCAGTCTTTAAAGTTACTTTTTATGCAAAGTATGGTTGAGTAGAAAAATTACTGTGACGATCAGGGCTTGAACCCATGTCTGGATCAGCACCCTGCCACTTGAGCTACTGTGACTTCTGTCCTTGAGACCAACTGAACATCTCAACCTACAACTTTTACACCAATATTGTTTTTAATATCACACAACACTAAGTAGAATATAATTTTTTTCTGAAATAGCACTCAAGAAAACATATGTAATATATTTATCAGTTGGATTTTATAGTGAGAATGGTTCAAGTAACTTCATATGTGCATATGGCATAGCACCAGATTTTGGGGTTGTGGAAGACATGCTGATACCTGTACAATGTAGATAACATTAATTAAAAAAACAAGGAATGGGACATCACAGGGAAATGACTAATCATAAATCAAGAAATAATACTAAAGCGAATCCTTCCAATTTTGCTGCTGGCAATTTAAGACAAACATAATTTCCTTGTTCGATTTATCTTCTCGTAAGCTGAAATTTTTCAAGACGAAATTTAAAAATGGAGAAAGCCTTATATTTTGCAAATGGAATTATCTACATAACAGAACTTGCAGTGGCTATCTACTTGTTTGTTGCGCTGGTATTGTTCATTTTTAAATGGTGTCAATTTGTGCCAGTACGTTCATCAGCGAAGATTGATTCAGTGGAGAAACTGGAGACAAAAGTGGCTGTACAAGGATCATCGCTGAATAAATCTGAAAAGATTCTTTTAACTGAGGAGAAACATGAAAAACAAGTGAGCCCAGCAAGTAAAGTAAAATTCTCGTATGACCCAGCCCAAGAAATAGCTCAAGATAAGAAGAGTGATAGTATCCAAAGTGACAAAGTACGAGCACAATCTCAACCACAGACACAGACACAAGCCCCCCGGTCTAGCAAATCTTCAAACAAAGAAGAGAAAACACGTAACAGCAAATCTCCGAACAAGCCACCACAAGAAAATGACAAAATGTCAAGAATGAGTAAAACATCCAACAAAATACCACATGAAGAACATGAAACTGAGAAAACGCAAAGAACAAGCAGAATGTCACAGAAACTATCACTTGAAGAACGTGAAATTGAAAAAATGCAAAGAATAAGCAAAACTTCTAACAAATTACTCGAAGAGAATGGAAATGCCGAAGTCAATCAAGATAACGTTTCATCCAATAGTAAATCTAAAAGTCCAGAAAACAAAGAAAAACCATAAACAAAAAAAAAAAAAATATTGGGAGGTAAAAGGCAAATGGAGAAAATGAAGCAAATTGTTCTACATTTTGTTACTTCTTAAAAACACCAGAAAATTAAACATCAAAAACACCATACTTGAAATGTTTTTCATAAATAGTCGAATTAAGCACAAGTCTTCTAACTAAGTAAAAAATATGTTACCTTAAAAACCATAAATCTTGAAAATGCAATGCGTCTTAATAAAATTAACATACTCAGAATATAAAGGATGCTTAATTCTTTAAAACTGGATAGGTATAAAACATATAATTAGCTGGTTAGATAAAAATTTATTGATAAAAATTATCGGTATCCATAAGAGTTGACAACAGCAGTGTAAGGAGCTGTAGCTTTCGATACTTTCTTTCCTGCAGCTTTAGTCAATTCCTGAAACAAGACAAAAAACATTTTGTATAACAGTCTGATGGATTTTGTATGATTGGGTTGAAAATTAGATTAAAAATAATCAGAATTTTGTGTACAATTAATCATGAAAATTCAGATAATGTAGGTAAGATAAATTCAATCATCATATAATAAACATAAATTGTTAAGTTGTATGGAAACACTACTGACCTTAAGACCCTTCCTCCTACGGATGTCAAAAACTGCTCTCACTTTCCTCTTGGTCTCAAGAGCTCTAACGACATCCTTGTACTTCCAGCCAACTTCATGTGATAGGCGACCGAGATGGCAGTAAGCTCTGCCAGGTTTAAGACAGAGTACCCTCATGGCACTTGGGACGACCATCCTTTTCCTCTTGTCATAAGGAGAAGGACAGCCTTCGTACAGCTTGATCCTCCTCAAAGCTGCCTTCCCACGTTCAATCTTGTGCGGGACCATGCCTAATGAAAAATAATACAGTCCTTGGAATTTAGGACATTTTATTTAATATTTACCTCTAATTGTCCTGTACAAAATTTTGCTAGGTGCACGGAAGTGGAATGGGCCTCTTGCAGGATTGATGTTACATCTTTTTCTCAAGAAGGACAGGTACTTCAGTTTACTCCTAGAATGTTGGAATTATAAAATAATTAAAAAATTGATTACATGAAGCATACATTTAAAACAAGACAATTTTTTACTTTCAGATTTATAATCTACATCAATTACATATCAGCTAATGTAGGTAAGGTGATATTAATCATCATTAGTAATTTTTATCATTTAGCATTTTTTTTTCATTTTAACATGTCAATCAATACAAATCAGGCAAAGTAAAATATTAAAATAATACAGAATTCTTTTTCTATGTCAAAGGATGCAGATCATGCAAAATAATTTGAGTTAATTTGCTTTTATAAATGAAGAATTTTTGGTACCCAAACTCAGATAATATAAAATTGAACATCAGGTCATTATTTTACTTTTTTGTTTGTTAGTACTAACGAGAACAACCAGAATATTTGTTTGGATAGATTTTCGTGTTTTTATTGGTTCATAACAATAGGATCGCCCAAATTGGGTAATGTAAAATTGAATGTCATATTGTTATTTCACTTTTTTTGTTGGTTGGTAACAATCGCACAAATTGATCAATCACTTTCATTAAGAAAGATATAGATGACTCAGAATATAAAGGATGTTTAATTCTTTAAAACTGGATAGGTATAAAACATATAATTAGCTGGTTAGATAAAAATTATCGGTATCCATAAGAGTTGACAACAGCAGTGTAAGGAGCTGTACCTGTTGTCAAGCGGCTGTTGTCGTTCATTAGTAGTATCGTTTTAATGGCTATCGCTGATGCAAACTATGAATTTATCATGTGAATGTAGGTGCGCAAATGGCCATATTTCAGGTGATTTCTTTCATTCACCACTAACTTATAACGACCTAACCCCCCCCCAAATGAACACTTTTAAAACCTTACCGAAGAAAATGCTTGAACTGTAATCCAAAAATATATATAATTACAGTGTCATGAGCTAGAAGTGTGGAAAATGCCTTCAACATTATGGTGTCTGGATTTCGGATTTTCCATACAATAAACTTGAGTTTATTGAATATCAATCTGGCTGTGTACTACAGAAATATTTGAGAAGAAAGGCAAGGAATTCCACTGAACAGTTGATACAAAAGATTTTCATCCGCAAGCTGATGTTTGCTGGCGAGTGAAGAAATAATGAGACAGCTAATTTTGGTTTACAAAATACTCGACAAAGAAACAACATGAATGCTAAAGAAAATAGCACAAATATGAACAATATTGGTTCATTGAATTGGCAAGGCTACATGATATAAAGAGTGTTTTTTATGATATAAAATAAACAGTAAAACTGTGTGTGATCATTTATAGGTTATCTCTGGTACTCGAAAGTACCACAAAGAACCTAATGGTTATTTTACGCAGCCAACAGTTGTGATGATCGTTCTGAAGAAAGGAATCTGCACTATGGAAGAGAGGGGATGAACATCGCAAACACATTGGAAAAAGAGTAGATAAGCCGGAATCCGGAAAGAAGTGTGCTGGCAGAAAGAGGACTGTTTTGTGCCATAGTGAAAAATCATCACACAGTTCCAATATTTCCTACTGGTGGTAACAGTGTATGGAAAAATGCTAGGTTCTATCCTCTAATTAGATCGCGAGAAAATTGCTGAAATGTGTCTTTATGATACAAACGTGTACCTGTGGCGCCCACAGAGATTTCTTATTCCTCTCCTGTCCAGCTTGCCACTCTCTCAAACATTAGAGTTTTCCCAAGGTTTAAAAACATTTTTTTTATATAAGTATTATTTTAAAATGTCTAATGATCGTATTTACTCATTTCAATTCCAACATCATATTGTTACTACTATGTTATTTATGTACGATTCCAGGGCTTCTGTTCTCTGATGCACATCAGTATTTTGACACATGCGAATTTTTCCTCCGGCTTTACAGAGTAAGCAATTATCAACGTTTCTATTTATTTTTCTTAATGATCTTTTTTTATTAATAGTTTCACAAGTTTTGTCATTTGTAGTAAATTTTGTTTATGAATAAATTCTTAACATTCACTTATATCTCATCTTTCAAAATTTTTATTAACATTATAATTTTATAACAAAAACAATAATGGTCGTAAATTTTAGATGAGAGGAAAGATGAATTTTCAATACAACTAAAGGAACCAGGAGGGGTTGTGGAAGGTGTATCAACTTAAAAACGAACATCAGAGAGCAAAGAGTGTTTCTTTCCCTTTAACAGGCCCTAAATAATGTGTCATCAATTATTTTGATAATTTAGTGATAATAAATAACAATGTGAAGTATAATAACTATATTGTACAGTTTTATAAATATGTTTAAGAATTAAGTGTGAATTGGGGGGGGGGAATTATATACATATAATATATAAATAAATATCTTTAAACTTCTTTTGATAAAAAAAATTGCTAGAAAAAAATAAAATAAAAAATAAAAAAAATAATAATAAAAAATTAAAATTGTGTCATAAGAATTGAATATTTTTATATGATAGTTGATACTAATCCCATAAAACATCTCAAATTATAGTAATAACAGACACTTGCAAGAAAAAAAGGGATATGATTGCTGGTAATGACACTTACCACAAATATTTTTTTCTCGATGGGCACTGGTACATATTGGTACCAACCACAAAAATTGGACCTAATTTTTTTTTGTTTTTAATATTTTTACCATTTATAGGATAGATGACAGATTATTATTATTTTTTTTAAGGAAAAAACGTACAGGCTGTTATTCCATATAAAGGGTCAATAAACCACACAAGCTGAATAAATGAGATCTAATGTCTCTCCCCCCTAAGACACCCAGCTTTGACTGGTACTCTAGATGCCAGATACTTGGCACCTAGTAGCTCACCCCAACATCCCATTCACAAACTTTTCTTTTACGCCAAAAGTCCGGCATTTTATATGCTGAGCGCTCGTGAGTGGAGGGCTAAAACAGGCAACCATTCTAACACGACTCAGCAAGGTTAACACAAAGATCTTGAATACCCCTACTAAATTCAAATTCCACGTTGTTTTAACTTTTATGCTGAGGGTACCGATGGGAACAACTTGGATTGTGTCGACTTGTTCCACTTTTTGTGACTCGATTCGCCACTCTTCATCAACAATGTAAAACGCTTGTTGGTTCGACTAGAATAAACTCTTTAAATTTGACCTACAATAAATTACACCCATGGGGTGAAATTACCTGAAGAAATTTCCAGAAATGTTGATTTGTTCTGCCCTCACGACGACGACCCTATTTCCATTAAGGGCTGCTTTTGCGATGACGGAAGCCAACCTTCCAAGAAGGTGGCCTTTCCCATCGATTAATATGGGCTAGAAAATAAAGATGAAAAATATAAATTGGAAATAAAACAATACATACACATACATACACCCCAGTTTACTATAGGTTAAACCTCTTAGAACTTTTAAACAATACACTTAAATAAAGTATCAACAATAAGAAAAAAAATAAACGTTAAAAATATTTTTAAAAACGTATACACTTTTTTAAGAAATAAATCTGAGGAAATAAAGGTTAGATCTGAAGAATGTGCGCTCTTCAAACCACGTGTAAACATGTACCCACGCTTTTGCACTTTTGAAGACCGTGCAATGAAATTAATTTGAACTAAAACGTCTACAAAACGACGAATTTGTTAATTTTAAAACTTTAATGCTTATAAACTATTAATTAATTATTAAGTATATAATAAAATATGAACCTTGTCGCTAAACCCAGTCATGGCTCTTGCCGGACGATGTGGAAGGACTGCACGGTAAGAACCTCACGGGCGAATTGATCTCCCAATTGACTACAATCAACTTTAAACTTTCTTTTATTTAATTATATTCAGAGGCATTTACATTGATTTATTATATTTGTAAATATTTCTTTTGTTTAATTCAATGATAATTTTATCAAAGTGGATTATTATATTTATAACATCACTATACAAAGTGTTGCAATTATTATGGGATTTATTTTCTTATTTAATTCAGTAAAGAAAAATACTTTGTTTTATTATATCATCTGTCATAAATGTTAAAATTATTAATGCGAAAAAAATGTTTATTTTGTACAAATCAAATACTAAACAATTCGTTTTACTCCGCCAAAACACAAATTTTCAAAAAAACAACAATAACATAAAACGTTCATTTACAGCACAATAATTAACCTTTAACCTAATTAAACTAAAAATAAATAAGAAAAACTTTGTAATCTTTACTTTTTTAAATAATGTATATTGATAAGAAAGTTTGTTCCACAAAATTAAGAACAAGACATTTGTACCAAGTGGCTCAATGACTAACCATCATAACAGTTTTTTTAAAAAAATATTTCTTTTAAAGGTACAATAGGGCTTTAAAACCCCTTATATTTTAGAAATAAATTTTGCTTTGTAAATATAATAGCAATAATAGTATTCAATAAAATATTAAAAACAATAATTGGCATAGGTGCTCTCATGTATCAAGAGAAGTCTCATAAGTGGCCCTCGGAGGATATGAGTCGTAGAAGGTTGACCCTTCTTCATACTTGAGCTCGGCAACGAGTATCTGTGTTCCTTTTTTTTTGGAGGAAACAGATTTGTTTTGCATTGTTTAATACTGATAGTTTTGTATACCTAGCGGGTGTTGAGGGGTTCATCCTCACCCACTTAAGGATAGGCCGTAGGAGGTTGACACTTTTGGGCCAAGGCCTGCGTAGGTGTCCGGCATGCAGAGAAAGGTTGCTCCATGTGTCCCACCTAATTGAAGGAAGCAATTACTTGGCTCCATAAAGAGAGCGTGTAGGAATGCCTCCCGATATCAGAATCATAGTTGAGCTCGGCAACTAGTATCTGTGTTCCCTTTTTTTTGGAGGAAAGATTTGTTTTGCACTGTTTAATACTGATAGTTTTGTATACCTAGTGGGTGTTGAGAGTGCATGTATTTATTGACATGAATGTTCAGTGTAAGAAAACTGATGGTGGAATATTGATACCCCATTAACTCTCAATTATGTTAGTTATATAATAGGTATACAAAGGGTGATAGAAGCATATCAAGAACTCCATCACCCTAATTGAGTAAATGGATAGAAATAGGAAATAGAATGCCACCCTATATGAGAATTGTGCTTGAGCACGGCTATAAATATCTGGATCACCTGGTCCAAATTCTTGGAAGAAACATTGTGTATATTAGTGTTAGTTTTGTGTCCCTTGTGTGTTGAGAGTGAATGTATTTATTAGCTGAAAGGTGTGAGAGGGCTGATGACAGTGTCGTGTACTCTTACAAAAATTTATGAAATATATGTTTATTAATGGAAGTAATTGCATTGGTCAATAAACTATTAATCCTTTTTGTTTATTCTGTTTTAATAATAAAACCAAGCATGAAACCATTATGGGTCATAATTTCCCTTGAATAGGGCCAAGCAAGGCTGTTCATGTGAGAGATACCAATTTACATATTTAACACAATAAAAAATTATTGCAGACATCGCAGTTCCAACCTTTGGACTTAACCACGCAATCCAACCCCCTGAGCCTAAAAATGCAATAAAAAATGATTCTTTAAGTAGCAACATTTGCTTGCGTATATATGCACACGAGGAAAAAAAATCCCATAACATATAAATTATTGTAGCAGATACGTGGGAAAGCAGCATTTACAGAATGTAGTCAAGGACACTATGGAAATAATGGCCAAATGTCTGATTTTGTACTTTAGTTGTCTCAGATCACCGTGATTTGTTCACGCAGATCAGTATGTTCAAACTACAGGTTCTTCACAATTTCTGACTGTATTTCTCTTTTTTATAGTACAGGATAAAAATTAGACACTTTATAGAACAAATTTATTAAGTAAATAAACTATATTAACAATATGTATTGTATACAGAACGTAATCATATTGAACCGGCTTTGAAGTCCCAGTCTTCAGTCACCTTCAGGTGTGACAATTGTTCTTCGAGTGTACGATGCTTTCCATTTTCAAACTTTTCATTAGCAAGAACCACGAATTTCGTATGGTACGGCGGGTCACCCCGCAACGCCTTCAGGGCTTTCATGTGGTTGAAAGACTGCTCCTGGACAAAAATAAAATTAATTTTTTATACGTCTGACAGAGAAACAACACAAACGTACTTTTGTAAGGTAAGGATGTCTTAGGTAAAACATATTTTGTTCCTCGATTTGAAATTCTCTTTTAAGCAGTTTCACTGCTTTCGGAGTAACCCGTTTTACAAGACGGTATTTCCTGAAACAAACAACAGTTAAACTAGTCTTGTGAATTTTTTCTTGATCCAATTTATCATTTATAGTTTCAAAAGTATGAAATTAACAATTTCAAGCCAACAAAAACAATCTGAAATGATTTAATTCAATGCATAAATATCATTATTTTCAAAGTTCAATAAACGGTTAATTTTAATAAGCAAATCTTACCCTCGAAATAAATGCCCGTTGGGCAGTTTGAACAAAAACAACGGTACAGTTATCCTCATTATTTAATGAAAAACAAACCAAAATAATTTCAAAAAGTCTCTAAATCAATAGAGACGTAACTTCTAGAGAATGGATTGATGAAGGTTACAGGATTGTTACCATTTTAGAGATCTTTAATCTGTATCTGTATATCTGTGTATCAATAGAGTCAAATATTAATTTTATAAAAGGTAAGTGGCACAATATGCAAGGAAGTTATCAATAATTGATTTAATAAATAATGTGAACTGTTTGATGAATTAAGTTTCACTATTTCCTTTTTCAAGTATTTTTTTTTTAATTTCAGAACTAATTTCTTTAATAAAAAGCCCTACAAAGTGAATTAAAAATAGTTACAACTAGGGATGAGGTGGCTAAAGCCGGAACGTCTCAACCTTCGGACTTAACCACTACGGTCTACTCATCTGACACTAAAAATGTAATAAAAACATGATTAAAGGAAAGTGGCCGCGTCGATGGGCTGGATTAGTAGAGAGCTCTCACGTATAAAAAGCAAGATTGATAAGGTGGCCCTCGGAGGATCTGACTCGTCGTCAAGGGGTCATCCTCATCTTTTATGCCATGCTAACCGAACACTTTTAACCGTGTGTGTGTCCAGCATGTAGCAAAAGGTTGCTCGATGTGTCCCGCTTAATTGAAGGGTGCCATGAGCATATGAATCAGGGTGTTTTATTGTTTATAGTACTGATAATTTTGTGTCAAGCGTGTGTTGAGAGGGCATGTATTTATTGGTGCGAGAGGGCTGGTGGCAGAAGATTGAGTACCCCATCGACCCTCAATTAACTTGGTAATACAAAAAGTGTAAAGGGTCCTAGAGGAATATCGAATACTCCACCACCCTCACCAAGTACCTAAATAGGAAAAAAATGTATTTAAGTGTTAGTGAGAATGTGAATGGAAGGGCTGACTCCAGACTTCCAACTCCCTGGGTGGGGATTCTCGAGGCCTGCCGATAATTTATTGTTAATTTCAAAACTGGAATTGCCATTGACTGCGAGAATAAGAATTTTGGCTGGGTTCGAGTCCTGCTCATGAAACTAATTTTTCATCTCAACTACACTTTACATTCAAAAATTATAAATCAATTTAAATCATTACTTTGGTGAAATAGGACCAACTAAAGAAAAATAAAATGGATTAAAATAATAATAATGTGGTAAGTTTGGGGGCTGACAAAGAGCTGAGGTAATTTGTTTTTCATGTTTTTACTTCTTTTTTGATCTTTCATGTCTATTTTTCAACCTGCAGCAATTTGAGCATTTCGATCTGTTACTGACTCTTTGCTTTTGTATGAAAACTAAGTTGATAGCCTGAAAAGCAAGCCTCTCCTTTGTACCTGGTAGTCAACTATAGAACAGGCATGCAATAGATACATCACCACCCTATACAAAACATAGATGTCTGGTCACATTCACTCCCCCAGCGTACTCAATCTTCCTGGGTTGAACCCACTTCTTTCTCACTAATAACTTACTTTTACTCTCCAGACATAACCAACTCACCCCAGAGTACCCGATATTCCTTGGGGCAGGGGTTAAATAACATCTTCCTTTCACACTAATAAATTACATTCATTACAGTAAATTAACATAAACATAACACTGACACAACACAAACCCATACAAACACTATATACATTTAAAATTCCCTGTTGGCCTTTTAAAAATCCAGTGCCGGAACAGCAATCTGTGCCCAAGATATGCATAGGTCTGATGATATATCAAAATATCAAGCCTTCTAAAATTGAAAATGTGCTCGATTGTCATTTTATTCTTGCATGTACGCAGTTGCTTTCCAGCTAGAAGGTGCCCATGAGTTATTCTTTTTGGCCTATGTGTAATCTTGTCAGTATGGCCTTTTACCTTGTTGAACTGTTCTCCATGGACCAAGGACTGACGTCTTTTTTTACCTGCCACAGTTTGGCAGGGTTATTTCTTTTTATGAGCCTAGTGGTTTCCCCATTCTTCTTTTACTGAACTTGATATTAATAGTTTTAAATCTGCTGGGCATACTGGTTAGGAAGTGGGGGCTTTCAGCAGTTTCTTTGGCCGCCCTGTCTGCTTCTTCGTTTCTGGCTATCCCTATGTGACCCAGGAACCCATGCCGACACGACCTTCTTCCCAACTGCGTCAATCCTTTTTTACTATTCTTTTAAATTATTTATTAGAGAGCCGAAAGAGGTTTTTTCCTGAGCTGAGTTGGTACATAATAAAAAAGAGTTGTGGATATGGTATATAGTCCTGCTATGAAACTGCTATAATATAACTATATAAATCAATAATAAGTAAAAACAGTTACTTTGTTCTCAAAATGCTCAAAAAATAGTAGATAGTTTTTGCAATACCTTCAGTAAAACATTTTACCAAGTTTGACAATATTTTGTTTTAATTTAGATGTTTAAATTATTTAGATTTTTGTTTTGACAGATGTCTAAAGGGAGAAAATCAGTTTTGTTCATATGCTTGGGGAACATCTGCAGGTCGCCGTTGGCCGAGGCTGTTTTCTTACACCTGATCAAAGAAAGAGGGCTCGAGGACGAATGGGATGTCGACAGCGCAGCCTTGGGCCCCTGGCACGTTGGCAACGGGCCGGATTCGCGCACGATGAAGGTTCTCAAGGAGAACAATATCCCGTACTCGCATAGCGCCCGACAGATTGAAAAGGCAGATTTTAACAAGTACGACTACATATTTGGAATGGATCATGATAACATGTCAGAACTAAACAGGCTAGCACCAAAAAATTCAACGGCTAAACTGGAACTTCTTGGTTCCTATGATCCAAACGGGGAGCTGATTATTAAAGATCCATACTATAAAAGCGGAGACAGTGGTTTTTACAAATGTTATGATCAATGTTTAAGGTCTTGTACTGCCTTTTTGGATAAAAATTAAAATTTTTGTTATAAATTTTAAGTTTTAATCATATCCTTGCCCTTAATAACACATGTTAATTACTTATCGTTCCACCTAATGTTATATAAATGAAATCTGATTTCTAATTTTCTAACTTATTACTGTACAGTTATGAATAATCATTATATTATTTATAACTTATCTTAATTAATTTAACAATAAACCTATTTTAGCGGCATAAAAGCTGCAGGAACATTTTGCAATTATAGAAAAACTTGCATTAACACCAAAATAAAAGTACATAGTTGTTAATCTTATTAATGTATAATAAAAATATTAATTTATTCTTTCTTACTTATTACATTAATTTGTGTGGTGCTTTACAAGGAGAAAAAATTAGCCCACTTTTGTTTTCTCTGTTATTTTAATGTACAATACTTCATAAACCATACTACAAAGTGGCAAATTTACAACATACATAGATGTATTTGTTAATAATGATTTGTTTGTAGTATTTGAAGACTCAAGTTGTTAGGAATTCTCATAAACTTATCTAGTATTGAGCTAAGCTGTGTCTGATTGTTTAGCATGCTTTGAAAAGATGCCAAAGTTAATAAATTATTAAGAACAAAGTTTGTTATTCTCAACCAGATCAACCAGGCTTAAAGAAAGCTGCAGGAACATTTTATAATTTAAAAAAATTCTCTTCTTTCCTGGGCGACTCTTCAACTAATATCTAACAAAAATGGAATCCCACATGACCTGAAAGACAAACGATAATTAATTTAAATAATTTAATATAGTATTGTGCAAGCACAAAAAGTGTATTGTGTGTCTGTGTGTGCCAGACTATTTTCAGATTCTTTCTGGAGTAAGGCAGGGATGTCTGATAAGTCCAATTCTGTTAAATATGTAAATTTAAGATATCTCCCACATAAACGTCCTCTTAATGGCAGACCCATAGTGGTTGCATGTCTACAAGCTAGGTAAGTACTAAAAAAAAATTTACTGGGCTTTTTATGAATTTAGTTTTTCACCAGAATAAACAAAAAGGATTAATAATTAAAAAAATAATTTATTGACCAATGCAATTACTTACATTAATAAATAATCATACAAAACACATTTTAGAATGTAAGAAACTTGTTTCTTTCATAAATTTTCATAAGAGTTTAAGGCTCATGAAATTTACATTTTTTTAATAATAATAAAAAAAAGCAAACAAATGTCATATGCAACTGAATTATCTTAAAAAACATCTCACTTATATATATCACTGTCTTTAAAAGTATTTATATTATTTATATAATTTTTGTTAAGTTTTATTGTTGTCAGCTACTTAAAGATTTTTAATCAAAAAGTTTTAAAATATTACAAAATTAATTCAGATCTAAAAATAAAATAAAATAATTCACACATTTTGAAATGTAATTTTTTTAAAATCAGTAATAATAAATTTTTTCTTTTACATATGTAGTTAACCGTCGTCAAATATCAACACTTTTCTAAAATAGGCTAGTCAAGGTGTTAAAATTTTGGCACAACTCTATTTAAATGCTCCATAATTATACGATAAAAATCTGTTTAATTTTATTCTTAAAATAAGCACGATAGGCTAGATTTAGGTGGTTTTTTATTGAGCTTTTTGCCTCCATTAAATAGATGCAAAGACTTGATTTTAAAAATCAAGCAATTTTTAACATTAGTTCAACTTCATTATATAATGTATATGCATATTCAATAAACTACAAAATCATTACAGACTTCATTCTAAACCCAAGAAAGAAATTAAATTTTTTTTTTAGATAAATATAATTTTTTAATCACTAACAATGATCCCAAATTTTTTTTGAATATAACAAAATTTTGAAAGTTAACATTCAATTAATAATGTAAATTGCTACTATTTACTTGTGGAATGAAATCATTTATTAAATATTTTTCCAGTTTGCCAATTTTGATTAATCTCTTTCTAAACTAATTCCGAACAAATTTAAACATTTTTAAGGCAAGACGATATATTCAGAAATAATAAAGAAATTCTACTGCTTTAAAAATTCGTTATATGTAAATATATACCATATAAACTTTTTTAAAAATATTATTACTATCTATTTCTATTTATTTATATATTTTTTTAACAACCATCACAAGAATATATAATCTAACAATTATCATATACATTGTATATTGTTACATAACTGAGATCTTGACATAATGAACGAGTAAAGTCATTGGGACTTAACAAATTACATCATGTAAGTAATAACATTTTTAAAAAATAAACTTACAGTTGTTTTATTGTAAATATTATAAACAGATATTTTATATCTTGGCTTTTAAGACATTCTACTTTGATAGTAATAATTTTTGTTTTTACAAATTACATATACGTACATTGTTTTCTATTATTTTTTTTAATAATAGCAATTTTTCTTTTGTAATGAATTTGTTCTAGTTTCTGTATTAACATTTTAAATAATTACCTTCAAAGTTTTTTTATTTATTTAAATCTTTGGTTAAACAACAAGCAGTCTGGTTCTTTTTAAATCTTCCAACTCCTTTTTATTTAAATCTAACATTAATGGGCTAAAATTATTTTCTTTTTTAATTTATCCTAGTTTCTTTATGGTCTAGCGTGAACTGGTGTAGTATCCTCGGGGCTTGGAGTGTTGTCTTTACTTTCTCTAAATCTGTCTTCTGCAGTATACTTAGTATTAATAGCACCACCTGCATTTTGAAGTCTCATTTTCTCCGGATCGCCAGTCATTTCGTCAGACCTCATAAGAAACAGACTGCCTAGGTTGAGTTCAGGTATTTCATAGAATATGGTCAGGGTCAGCATCATGAAAGTCAGTCCTATGAGTAAGTATCCTGAAATGTAAAAAATTATATTGACAGTGCCACCATAAGGGTCAGACAATATTTTACCTGTAGTTGCAACTTTGTAAATGGGCCTGTATGGTTGGTTTGGAAAATCGCCAGGGATGTAATCACCTAATCCCACAGTCGTTAAAGAAATAAAACAATAGTAGAGGGAATCTAAATAGTCCCATTCTGGTTCCAGCAGGGCAAAAACCGCTGCAGGCAACAAGATAAATATTGCGACTAGTGTAGTCGCTATTATTGTCAGGTGAATTATCCGTATATTGAAAGGCTGGTAAAGGTGACCGAGGCGGCTGTTGAGGAACTGGAGGAACATCGTAGAAGGGATCATGAGCCTTTCAACGAGTGCGCTAAGCAAAACAAGAGTCAAGGGTATGCCGATCATGGCGTATATCATGCAGAAAACTTTTCCTCCTTTTGATAGCGGCGTGACATGACCGTATCCTACAAAATTGAAATCGAGTAAGAAAATGAAGAATGAATGAATACTCTTATGCTCCTGCTTACCAATGGTCGTGACCACTGTGCTGGAGAAGAATAGAGATTGGCCGAAGCTCCAATTAGGCTCGCCAGAGACATTCTGGGCAGCAGAGACTCCTCGGTTGCTTGCTTTCACCACTTCCTCAATCAACGCTTCCAAATCTTGATCTGCAAATTAAAAAAACCCTTAAAATACCATTACTAAATCATCATAAAAGAATAAATAAAAAATTATCATAGTTAATACATTAGTTTAACAATTATGTTAAGAAAACGTTAGTTTAACATTTATGTTTAAATGTGAGATTTCGTCCTGAGGTGTACAGGATGATGAGCCTTTAGCTTGGTAGTTTTTAATTATTTTATTCCTGTTTTGGCTTGTCAATTATGTTTAAACCTTAATCTTTTCAACACTAACCCATCAGTGATGATAGAAAAAAGCAAAAATGCATCTGATGAGCCAAAACGACAAGGATAGAATCACAAACAAAAGTTAAGATGTTTGTTGAAGCCTGGAAAAATTAACGGAAATAATTGATCTATTATTCCAAATTCTTTCTATCCAAATTGGCATGCCTTCCAAAAATGCAAATAAATGAAAGATCTTATACTCAAAAATACTCAAAATCAACAATTTGTTTAAGATTAATTAAGGTTTTAGTTGAGATGAAAAAAGCTAACGGCATGAGAGGGATTCGAACCCACGACCTTCGGCTAGATACGTCGCTGCTCTACCACCTGAGCTATTGTGGCTGCCATCGAAAAATGGCAAAAGGAGGGAAAACTCATAAGGTGGGGTTGAGATGGGGGGGAGTTGATGTCTGAGTGGATTGAGGTCACGATAGCTCAGGTGGTAGAGCAGCGGCGTATCTAGCTGAAGGTCGTGGGTTCGAATCCCTCTCGTGCCGTTAGCTTTTTTTCATCTCAACTAAAACCTTAATTAATTGTAATGTATTAATTGGTCAAGTGGACCACGAAAATAGTGAATTAATAATTTGTTTAAGCCTACATACCTAATATAGGGACTATTCAATCGGTATAATAAAACATTCTTATAATACCAAACAAAATGGAATTTGACAAAACTTACTCACTTGATATACCAAAGGATCCAATTCAACAAGAAAGGATCAGGTTCTGTTATATACTTCAATAAACTAACTTTGAGAAATACTAATAATAATGGGTACAGTTAAATTTAATGTATAACTGAAAGAAAATACTTACTCTTTTTTTTTCTCTCTTTTTAAAAAATTTTTTTTTAAAGATAGTTCCTACTCACAGTAAGTTGCACTTACTGTAGTACTGTAGTAAGTATTTACTGTGAGTAGGAACTAATTTTGAAAAAAAAGGATTGAACACCGCACTCACTCTACCATTCATCATTTCGAGAACATACTTATGCGGAACCGACACTGGGCCACTTATTTGGTCTGTCTTCATTCACAGGTTTATTGAACTATTCAAATGCATTTTGGCATTGTGCCATCTTCAGTGAGGAAATCACACATTTCAAGTAATTTAGCCTGACTGTGTTAGATTTGATGCTGGGTCTTGTTCTGTGAGGCAGTGAACTCGTGCGAAACAACACTGGATCACTTATTGGCCCCGTCTTCACTTACTATGAAGATGGCACAATGCTGAAACATGTTTGAGCAGTTCAACAAATCTTTGAGTGAAAACGGGCCGAGTTAATTTTGACATTGTCCAGTAGAAAATATATGTAATTTGGTTGTTACCAATTATTTTGGTCTATATAATCTCACTGGGTTGGACTACACACTGAAGATGGCGAAACGCTGAAATGTGTCTAACAGACAAACCCAGCAAAGTACATAATAAACCGGAAGAGACAACATATGAACAGATGGATCAAATATGAACCATGTAAAATTTGAAATTTTTTCTTTAAGATACTGTTTTACACTGTCAGCGGGTGACATTTGCGTACAACCAGGTTCAAGAGAAATACCTGTAGATTCTGTAAGGGAAGAATCTGACAAACGTGAAACTACAACAAGGTGAAAATATATTGAGTTATACAAACAAAATCCAAATATATTTGGTTAAAGTATATTATAAAGTAACAGATATTATAAAAAATATATTTAACTAAGCCAGTCTAAATGCAGTGTCGCATGTTTCTCAAAACTTCAAACATTTCATAATAAATATATAAAAAATAAAAAACAAACATGGAATTTACAGCCCTGTATTGTTTGCCATTGTTTAGTGTTCCTGATGTTTAATAAACATTAAACGATTTCAATAAATTATGCAAAAAAATGCAGGGCTTTAAGTCCTCGTCCCCCCCAGATTCTAGATTACACTCTAATTTAAATTGTACAGTTATCTATTTTGGAATATCCATTTTTAAAATTTTTTTTGGTGGATAAACATGGTTTTTTATGTTGTCTACAATCTCTAGATGTAAATTGAGCTTGTTTACACTATCCACGAGATCAACCTCGTGATCCGTTCATTTCCTATCTTATCAACGCTACCAGTTGTCATTTTCTGACAAAAATTGGGGGAAAAATAGCCAGAATAATTATTAAAGTGTGATTTCAATTTCCAGTATATATAAATATAAATTCAGTCTATGTTTGCGCTCGCAAATGTTGACAAATTAGACGGTCGATTGACTTGAAATTTTGAATACACGCGGGTTTTTGTTTGTAAAATTAAATTTTGACACAACATTGCATTCCAGTACAGTCCTGTTTTCGAAAATCGAATTAATATCTTTAGTTTCTTTTCAGTTTTCCAGTCGATCGTCGTTTGTGTTCCAACAAGTGACATATTTTCAAGACAATTACTCGAAGTCGGTAATGGCACTGTACCTACAATTCCAGAAATAGGAAAAATCACCTTCCCATCTAATTTTTGCAACATCGTAAATTCAAAAGAAGTCTTAGCAGAAAAGGTTTTCGAAAGCATAGAAACAAATTATCGAAATCACGAGCGAAAGAGTCATTCTAGTGGCTAGAGTTCATCATATGAACAAGATCAATCTAAACAGAACTGCAGAAAAATATTGATCTTTATTGATCATTGCAGATGCTGAATTTGAAACTTGGAGTGCCAATTCTATTGCTAGGAAACACCAATCAGCCAAAGATATGCATTGGCACACGTTAGTAGTTAAAAAATTGATGACCAATCTAATTGAAGAAAAACTTCTGATTTGACCTAATAAAGGTGAGGTCATACTACAAATACGAACTTATTCCTATCGTCATGGTGTTCGAGTTCAAACGACTTCAGTTTCCAATACGCCTTGCGTTCGGTATGGCTCTCAATAAAGGGCAAGGGCAATCTTAGCAAGCGTGCGGTTTGAATTTAGACAATTGCTTCTTTCATGGGAAATTTTACGTCGCTGCTCCAGACCCGGTAAACCGTTTGATCTTTTTGTTTATGCAGAAAACGGGCCAACAAAAAATTTAGTAAATCCACTAGCTTTACAATAAAAAATGATTATGTGCGAAAAACATGTTTTTTTTCTTCCTTTCCTTTCATCCCACACAGCCACCGAAACGAATGCAGGTATTTAATTGAACGATTTGTTCACTTCTTGAATCTAAACTGCTCAAAAATGAACAGGGATATTGCCAATTTTGTAGTATTTACTTTCTCTAGCATTTTTAGATTATTTTTATAAATTGCATTAAATTTTAGGTGTAGAGATTAGTGACCGTTAATCGATAGTTATTCAGATATCGTGAGATGCAGGTTTCAGAAAAACATTTTCTTTATCGTGCCAACGTTTCGATCTTTTATTGAGATCATCTTCAGGGCTCAAAGTGTTTGTCTTCTGTGTAATTGTGCCATCCTTGCGTGCCGTGCCGAGAGTGCCCTCTCTCAAAATGGTCCACAATCTTGGGGTTTGTGAATAGGTCCAAAAGGTTTATGCAGGACTCGTGAAACGACCAGGTCCCGGACCTTTTAGGGATGGGGAACAGGCCTACCCAGGCTTTTAACCTCTCGGGTCCTGGTCGCCCGCCCTGCGTAGTATATATATCTTACAAATTATAGTATAATATTTATTCACTTGAACTTCAAAAAAATGTGGTTTTACAATAAATGACCCCAAGTTAAGCCAATTTTAATTAATTTGCTTAGGTATTTGTTCGATCTGTTCATTAGAAAGCAATAATTTACAATCAATGTTTGTTTCATAGTTCTTTTCACCCCAATACCTATGCGGACGATACCGTACTTCTGTCCTCTTACTCAGATACTACCCAAGTTACCTCCGATATCCAAGAACACCTTTAGCTTATTAAAGAATGTGTAGAGATTAGTGACCGTTAATCGATAGTTATTCCGATATCGTGAGATGCGGTCGGGTGTGATGTAGGTTTCAGAAAAACATTTTCTTTATCGTGCCANAATAAAAGATCGAAACGTTGGCACGATAAAGAAAATGTTTTTCTGAAACCTACATCACACCCGACCGCATCTCACGATATCTGAATAACTATTAAATTTTATTAGTGATTATTATGTTTTCTACTAAATGACAATTTAATTAAGGGATTTTGAAAAATAACAAAATAAAAGATTTTAATTCCATAATTTTGTTTATTGGACACAATAACTGAAAAAAAATACTGTGTATAATGTCTTCTTTTAGCTAAAAACTCTGCGCACCTGTTAGTCATATTGTTAATAAGGTTGTCACTACTTTGATAAAGAATTTCATTCCGTAGATGTTGCAACGTGGCGCACAGTTGTTGCAGGTCAACTGGCTGCGGATGGTGATCGAAAAGCTTTCTCTGAAACGCATCCCCTATGTGCTCAATGGGATTGAGGTCTGGAGACAATGGAGAAAGTAGCAGATGGGAAATTCCCAGGTTTTCAAAACATTTATGAACAACTCTGCGTCTATGAGGTCTGGCATTGTCATCCAGAAATCGAAAATCTGTGCCAATGGGATCCCCTAGTTTGAGAGATGTATTCCTCGATAATTTCTTGGACATGACGGACTGCAGTGAGGTTGCCTTTAACAACATGGAGTCCAGTTCGTCCCAGTGTAAATCCCAGCCCAGACCATTACACCGCCTCCTCCAAACTGCACTGAAAGGAGCACGAACTGGGGAATTGTATGCATCCCCTGTTCCCGGTAGACTCTTCGGCGCTTGCTATCACTGGACAGACAGAAACGC